TTTTCTTGAATTAAATATAAATATGCGAAATCGTTGATTTTGTATGGGAAATGGGTGGCCCCCACTAGGGTGGCCCCAGTAAGGGTGTTTCGACTAACAAATATTTGGAACCACCAACTTCCATCACCAACTCACAGTCAATACTTCACTCCCAATAACTCATTACGAATAATCAATCCACTACTTACCTACAAATAACTCATTGTGAATATTCTACTACAAATAATTCATTACAAAAAAACAACTACGAATAATTCACTATAAACAATCCACTACGAATAATTCATCAGACAATTTACTATCAATTATTCTCTACAATCCACTACAATAACTGCCTATAGACAATTTACTATCAGTTATCCAATACAAACAACCCATTACGAATAATTGCCTACAGACAATTCGCTATCAATTATTCAATATCACCACAACTATTACTACGAATTATTCACCATCAACTATCCACCACGAATTATTTATCAACTATTCACATCGAGTTATTCGCTACGAATAATTTACCTTCAACTATTCACCACCAGCTGTCTACCTTGAGCTGCTCACCAGGGATAATTTACCTTCAATTATCCGCTACCATCTATTCATTTCGAGTTATTCACCAGTAGCCGTCCACTTCGAGCTACTTACCAGGAATAATTTACCTTCAATTATCCACCGCCAGCTATCCGCTTCTAGCTATTTACCAGGAATAATTTACCGACAATTGTTCACCTCACCACCAACTGTTGACTACGAGTTATCCCCAACGAATAATTTACCTTCAATTATTCGCCACCAAATTTTACGAAGTTTAACCTTTCTTACGCACAGTTGAGAAATCGTCTTATACACCTAGACACTCAGCTGATACATCGACAATACAGTTAGCTAAACTTACAAAGCTAAATCTGTGACAATTACGAATTATTCACCATCAACAATTCACCACCAACACCACCACGTCAGCTACTGCCAATAATTTACCGACGGCACCAGGATGGCATCGAAATTCAACTCCCCATCTAGCTTGACAGCTATCCCAAGAGAACTAAGAAGTATCATATATGATAACCTTGAAGACGAGGATCTCGCGCCTCTAGCACAGACTTGCCAGCAAATACGAACTGAAGTCTTGTCTCGCATGCCAGGAGGTCGCTTTATCGATTTCGGAAAAGTTCATGACCACTCAGAACTCAGAAGCCAAATTCACAAAACCATCGAAATCAAGAACCTCGATCTTATCGCCGAACCATGGTACTCTTTAGGATCAGCACTAAAAATCGGAGTTACGTGGAAACCAAGAGATGAAGACTACATACACTGGAGGACTTCATATTGGACCATCCGCGACCTATCGTCGCCAATGGCACGGTACATATACCTATATTGCCCCGATGCCATTTCAATCACATTTCAGGCAGCTACTAAAGGCTATTTGCTACTTGCCTTATTAATACTACGAACAAAAATGTTCGACATATGCCGAATTTTGAAGACTATAAATCGCGATTTATGCTTCACACCGAGTACTTTGAATATACAATTCTGCGGTGGACGAGACCCGGATCGCCCTACCGTGGCTCGCACGCCTTTCTGGGAGATGCGGCCACGATGCAATGTACCGAATTGGATAATTCATCAGGAGGCATGGAAAAACACGATCAACAAAAAGTCACACCAGGACAGAGAGGTTTATCCTTTCTTTTACGAGTGCTTAATGCTTCCTCTAATATCATATTCTGGGGAGGGCTCTATGCATGTCAACTTTGACTTGCAACCCGCCCAGCGACGAACTTCTTTTCAAGACAGGACGATGCATGGCCAGATAAATAATCCCAACGACTACAATAGGATACAAATAAAGTATCTTGGCCACAAAGCGCTATTCGATTTCGCAGACTACTGCTATCACCTCCACTTGAAAGACATCGATTATTATGGGAATGACTACACAGAAAGCTTTGAAAAGGTCATGGACTGCTTGGAATCTTTCACGGAGGACACCGACGCCTTCTTGAGAAACGCCAAGTGTCAAGAGGCATACCAGCTACGATCATATTTGAGAAGGATGAGGCAAGCACCGATTTGCAATCCTTTTGCTGGTCCACTGGAGGGAAATCCATTCGAGGAGCAGGATGCGGTACAAATGAGATATGAGGGATACGTCTGGAGATGCTACGGGGAGGACAACTTTATGAGACAGAGGCTTATTGAATGGGCTATGGAATAATAGGTTGCTTGACATATTGCAGTCATATTTTGGCAGGTTATCATAGCGTTGTACTAGGATTGATGACGAAATGAGAATGGATGACTCCCCCACAATAAGAAGACTTATACCGTGATTTGTAGTTTGATTCCCCGTATTGTTGTATCCAAAATCCCCAATTCCTTGCACCATACTAGTGACAACATGAGCATCAACGTCATTAGAAAATTCTGATTGACACAGATCCTGGACCGACGTTCTCAAAAGTGCTAGTCACCTCTTGAAATTAAACCAACGCTGTCAGGAGCAATACGAAAAAGAATTACAATAGAAGTTCTTCATCGTTATCCCCTATCCTATAATCTGGCGTCTATCGTCTAGTTTTATAACGTGTTTCTGTCCTTTCCTCCGGACATCCATAGCCTTGGGCTTTAGAGGTATCCATGATACGCCCTGCAAAGTGTTCTTACTGGTGCATCAAATTTTATTCAAATTGCATCTCGGCTTTGTCTTGGGCCCCCTCGGAAATCTTTATACCTAATACTTAAGGCATCAGTAAATTCATAATCGCCATATGGTAGAGAAAAGGCGTCTCTATAAATAATAAATATACAGGTGAAGATATTAGTTCTAAAGTACTTGTATATGTTATTAGACTCAACCCTTGATTGAACAATAGGGGATGCATAGCTACTGCAAGCTTCTGGAGAAAACATTAATGTAGAGTAAGAGGAGAAGAAAATGCCCATCGTAGCTTATCATTCTTTGGCTGGTTACACATGTCACGGACAATGGCTTTTAGGCGGCTGGATCTTCGGCCGTGACACAACTTACAAATCCAGTGGCGTTTCCCCCCTGCAGTTCTCCTGAATACGGCATGCTAGATTATTACCGGTTGACCGGATATAATCCACCATTACTGGTAAAGGCAACATGAGGCTCCCAATCCAATGCATTAGTGGCGTTAGAAGCCTTAACGAATCCACACGTTTTGTACAACCGATTCTTACCGGAGTGGAAATCCTCGCAGTTTTTGCCTTTTTATTTCACCGCTTTAATCATTACCTATGTATCCGTGTAAGCCACCTGAATGCCGCTCACATGTGATCCATCATTGTTTATATCTGCTATAGTGCCCATCAAACATTAACTAAATACGGCTAGGCTTTCGGCGCCAGCAAAAGCTCTTCGGTGAACTTTTAAGGGGGTACGGAGAGATGCCGGCACACGGCATTGTGTTAACCACGATATTAGTTATTCAAAACAAAACACCGAGAGCATACTAATTAGTCCAAATAGGAATATTATAAGCCCATCCGGTTGCAGTTCATCCGGCAGAAACATAAGTGGATTCGAAGGAATAAACCGCACCGTACCGAAATGTACAAGCGAGTACGAGTTGAGGTACGTCGAGGTACATAGACTTTATCCTCGGATCATACTGGCCGAGTTCGATGCCGGTCTCGCAGCTAACTCGACTCTCCATCCCTGTCTCCATCCCTGCAGGCTGCGGATCTGATAACTTTGTCCCCCCTCCTGCCCCACCGGATCGAAGGTACGTATCGGTTCTTTGGCGGGGGCGTTGACGTGATCACCGCTCTTTTGCTTCTTATCAGATCTAATGGAAATGAAACATCGAAACCGACCGGATACCTAAACTAGGCCCTACTGACCGAAGCTGGTAATCACACATTTTCTCGGAAAATACTTAAATTAGCTATTATTGACTTGGTAAGCCTTGAAATATTAGGGAGGAAGGGAATTAAAAAGCTAAATGTCAATTTAAGTAAACTAACTTAACATAGTCACTTATATAGAGGTAATTACCTACCTAGATACCTAGGTACCGTAGGTAGGTATACCGTGCAATGGACACCCAAACGTATGAAGTGCAATTTCCAGATACAAAGGGAGCATGGTGTCCTCCTTGGCATTTGGTACGGATCAGAATGGATCCAATCGTGATTATCGGTTCAAGTAGACTGTCCCTTTGGCTTAACCCCCTAACTCACCAAGTTTACTAAATTTATTCGGGCTGTCTGGGTACCTACATACATATGACTAGGGTTAGACCTGTCATTAATTTCTTCCAAGTTTGATTTCTTTACCTCGTCTATACCTTTTTCAAATGTCTGTTTCACCTATCAGCCTATTCTTCTAGACCCTGTTCCGCGTACCGACGAGATAATATTGGCACTGGCTGATCCTTAAATTTGCCCTCCTTTTTCCCACTCCCTCGCTCAATTTATAACGCAGCTAGCCTTCCGCGTGTGAGGTAGAAAGGAGAGAAAAAATTGATGTTGTGGCGTTTAACGATTGCCAATTGTTTTCAACACCCGAATACTAGATTCTTAACTCGGCCTTTGAAATACTCTTGTATTCTCTCCCTCGCCGCAACCGCAGCGACTCCAAAGTTGCACCCCACTGCAATTAATTCTCCGACACCAACATTTGCAATGGCTTCTCATTTTGCTAGCATCAGCGGCGCCCGCTCTAACGCCAACCCCTATAGAGTTTTGATTGCTGGTGGCTGCTACGGCGGCCTAGCCGTGGCCGTCAATCTACTCGAAAAGTGCGACACCATCGAGTCTCCTATCCCGATCGAGATCACCATTGTTGATGAGCGTGATGGCTTCTGTACGTAGAACCCTTCTGTCTCCCTGCATCTTATGCATGCATCAATTACTCCAACTCGGTCTCCTCCTTCCATTGGGGTTAGATTCTAGATTTCCAACTAACTTGTAGTTTTGCAGACCATGTAATTGGTTCACCTCTTGCTTTGGCGTCGAATAGCTACGCCGAGAAGGCCTGGGTAAACTTCAAAAATATCCCTGTGTTGCAGAGACCGGACGTACGGTTCGTCCACGGCACTGTTAGCAAGGTCGATTGCGAGAATAAGACAGCAACGATTGTCGAGCAACCAGATCAAGTATCGCGGGATCAGGTGTATGATTTCTTTGTTGCTTCCACTGGACTTCGACGTGTCTGGCCTGTGGTGCCGCAATCGGCGAGAAGAGAGGATTACCTTGAAGAGGCTCGCCGACACATCGATGCCGTAACTAACAGTACCGCACCGGTGCTCATTGTTGGCGGAGGTTAGTTTACCTATTCCTAGCACATCGATTTTTAAAAGCCCCTCTCTAACGTGAAAATAGGAGCTGTGGGTATTGAGATGGCGGCTGAATTGAAAGAGGTTCAACCCAACGTCAAGGTTTCGCTGGCGCACTCCCGAGCTAAGCTATTGTCGGCCGAACCACTCCCTGATAATGTCAAGGACTGTGCTCTAGATCTGACAGAACAAGCCGGCGTCAATGTGCTCTTGAACCACCGCTTGAAGAGTAAGACTCCTATTAAGAATGAGAACGGCACCGAGGTGTTCGAGGTTGAGTTCGAAAACGGTCACAAGATGATTGCAAGCCAAGTGGTCATGGCTGTCTCCCGCAGCGTACCGTCGACCACTTATCTCCCCGAGGATTCACTCAGCGAGGACCGCTACGTCAACATTAAGCCAACGCTACAATTCTCTTCGGATAAGGTCCCTAACGCCGAGTCTCACTTTGCCGTCGGTGATCTGATCCATTGGTCGGGCATTAAGCGCTGCGGCTCAGCTATGCACCAGGGCCGCTATGCGGGGTTAAACATCCACCAGCTCATGCTGCAGGATATACAAGGAAAGGAGCCCGTGTTCAACGAACTAGGCGAGGTCCCGCCCATGATCGGCCTCGCAGTCGGCAAGAACGCCCTTTCATACGGCGGAGATGGCATGAAGCACGGAAAGCAAGTGATGGAATGGTTCTTCGAGGAGGACCTGGGTTTCAGAAGTAAGTTAACCTGCCACAGGCATATCTCTCACCTTCAAGCTCTAGTGCCCTACCAGCCGATAACTAACATTTCCCTCGTTTAGTTGTCTGGGATCATCTTCGTCTAGGTGGTATTAAGGCGTGAAATAGACCGAAAACCTTCAATCTGTGCTTTGCTTTGACTAGGGTGTATTGGCGTCACTGGGGTTCCAGGGTAAAATGATTTGACGATTTGGGACACGATTTATGGCGGGTATCTTATGACCGCATCACACAGTTAAACTAGATAGTTCTTGTTAGTTGGATATTAATATGAGTATAGTTCTCATTCCGTCAAAATGTATATATATGTATTTGGTATATCTGATGCATCTGTGATAATGTGAATGAATCTCCGTTGATAATAAATAGGAGGGGATGAAAAAAAGATAAATCCACATCGATGCCCCCTAAAAACGATAAGCGTACCTAATCAGTTCGAGGCTTTTCTTTTTTTTTCCCCCTTCTTCCTTCCACGACGCCATACCACGTGACAACATCTCTACCCTACCTCTTGAACTTAAATTTTACAACTTTGGGAGCAACCCAACCAAAGTACCACCAACAACTTTCTCACTTTCTCCAAGCGGTGAGAGCTGGAAGAAGCGCTCGCGAGAGCACCGCACAAATGCCGAACGCTTATGCGGTAGGTCTACGAACTTGTCGAGTCCGAAGCCGTGCATGAAATCGTACGTCAGAACCGAGCTATTGGTATATTTCGGTTCACCCACCACGTACATCGTGCGCGGGTCGTCCAGGAATAAATAATGCATCAAGCTAGACCACCACGCCGTCACGCGGTGCGGACCACGGAATCGTATATCCCCCACCAGTGAGTGTCGTCCTCGGTCGAAATCTCCCGCGCTGTAGTACGCGCCGAGTCGGTCTTCCTGTAGGTAGAGAAAATAGTTAGCGCTTGTGCATATAGGCGCAGGTGTGTATGCGGTATGATCGTCAAGTCATGCTAAGCTTTGTCTTACGTACCTTGGCCCAGTACACTTCAAAGTAGGCAAAAAACGTGTCGTCGAAGGCAGCCAGCAACGTAATTTGGTGAGGATCGACTTGGGCGCGACGCAGGTACTCACGATGCTGCTCAAGGGAACCTGTCTCATTCCACCCCTGCGAGACGCGCGGGTCGTTCTGCCAGTTGTGGAATAGCTCTAGGTGCTCCGGGTTCTCCCAGTCGAGCGCAACCATGCTGAAGTTCTCGCGCAGGTGAGGGATCCATCGACTATATACCACAGAGCCCGGGCGCGGCTTCGCAGGCCGTCGCGGGTGCCACGCCGGAGCTCCACTGGCCTCGGATGTCATCGCATGTTGAAGTGGCGTTAGGGGATACGTGGAGAGGGGTTTCGGCAACGAATTGCCATTATCTTGAGGATCACTGCCGGAGTCAGGGACCCAGACGCTGCGCGGTCCAAACGGCGAGCCGGCGCCCTGCCAGAAGGTGCTGCGCAGGACGAGCAGCTCGTCGCTCAACCCAACTGCTGTAGGATGGTCGATGGCCAGTAGAACAGCTTTAAGCTGTGCCACGAGTGCTTCACGGCCGGGTCCCTCGAGCGTGAGCCGAAGCCCTTCTGTCGACGGCCGTACCGTGAATAGCACATAAATCACGAGCCAGGCCTGAGCTAACGTGGGTGGTGTCGCGACGTCCCACGCAATTGTTGAGCTCGGAGAGCGGCGGGCACGACCCCATGGTGTGTTGTTGGATTCGGCCGGCCGCTCGCTTGACTTAAGGTCCGTGGGCTCGGTAAAGAAGAGTGTGTCGTTGTCAAGGCGTTCTGGTGACGGTTTCGTTTTTGCTTTTACCTCGCCAGCAGCATCTTCTTGGGGCTTCACTTGGAGCCAAGGAGCAGAGTCTGAGAGGCGCGACGTCTTAACGAGAGTGTAGGATGTAAGGTACGGATGTGGGAGCTTGAGCACCGGCTCGTTCGTAGAGGGTGCCGTCATTGCTAAAGAAGGGATGGAGTGTAACGTAATCTACAGGTGCGATTGGGTATCTAATGGACATCAATTGGAGGCTTTTTTCGATGTTTCTTAGAAATAGTACTTAATTACTCAAAAGAAAAAAGGACTGGAAAGAAAATTTCTTATTCGCAGTGAGGATCCATGATTCTTCTCCTTCCTGATCAAGCAGGCTTACCAGCAGAGCAAATGGAATGAATCCACTAGTCTATAGTCTACCGAGTTATTCCGCCAGCATCTTAGTCAACCAGTTAATTGCTCTTCCTATATGTAAGTGAATCATTTTCATCTGCCAAGTACCCTAAAGCATAATACCTTGTTCGGTGGTTCTTAATGGTAGGTATCCTCAATTCCCACTTTCCATCTCCGTATAAGTGCATAAGTCGTAGGCCACCATGTTCAAGACTTTTTTACACACTAATACAAGGGATCGCGCGGTCAACGTTAACGTCTCTTCAGTTACCCAGCCCATCTTACCATCCAGCCGAGAGATGATTTAACAGGGACTGCGGAGATTGGAAAGGTTGCGTACTGGGAAGTGACAGCGAACCGAGACCATGGCTCTTGGCTGTTGGCAAAAGCGGATCAGATAATTTCAAGCGGATGGATTGGAAGACATAAACCATGTTAGCTTTGGCAATGGGTGTGTCACGGCTAATGGCGGATCAGATAAAAATTTTAGCTTGGAAGTTAATAGCGCGCCCGAGAAATGTTGTGGGGTCGACACGGATCTGATAAATATTTATCGGACCGATACCGGACTTGAAAGGTACATCAGGTATCCCTAAAGGTACATGATCTAGTGTCGTCATCAGTGTCTACATGTAGTGTATCTTTTTTTTTGTAGCCCTTGTCTTAATAAGTACCTAATACCCGTAATTTACAAGCATTTATATCCTCAATACCAGGTCTAGACTTTTAATTGAAGAGGTTAAGAAATTATAATTAATTGTATTGTTTGACCACTCTTGGAACAACTAACCCCTATTGACATTATGGAGCCCTTCAAGTTGACATGGTAATTGGCATACACATATGATTAACATAGCAAATCTCAACCTTAGGTAGTTTGGCATAATTTAGGTCTTCCTGTCTGCTTGATAATACCGACTTGTGTTAATCATCTATCGTGTTAGAATTATCACTGTTTCTATTGCACATGTTTTTAACTTCTTAGAATTCACAGTCCCTTTTGTACGTCTGTTCAAATCATAACTAACAAGAGACACGGTATCCGTGCATCCATATCTCATATTACTTGAAGCTATATATTTATCTGAGCTAGATACCTATATTATAGGTTAAAATATATATATAAATATTTTACTATACTGGGTCCATTCAATTAACTTGCACAATAGTGATCAAGGACAGGATTACTACCTGGCGGCAGTTGATGGGACTCCTATTGTTGATAAGGAGTTAGATAAATTACATGTAACTAAGCATAACATGAGGATGATAGCTTCCAGTGTAACTAGCATATAGTCCCTATGTGTACCAAGCCAGTGGTTTGCTGCCTGAATGGGTGTTCTTGACGCAAAATGTATGGGGGGCATCGGAGGGCTTTAAGGGCCTCGTCTCCGCGTTAATAGTCGCGAGGTGTGAGGAACCGTCTAATTGCCACATAATATACCATAGGTATCGAGACAACCATAGCTGGAGCTCAACAAAAATAGCTAACAACATCAGGGGGGAGTCCTTTCCATAAGCTATGTTGCAAAGGTTAAATTCTTTGATGTTAATGGTGATATTCATTGTCATAAAATGCCTCCTCTTTACCGTACCTCACATTTCACCTTCCTTATAGCTGCAATGCTCTGACGTATGCCACTTACTCCTGGGGCTACTTCTCTATTATTAAGATTCTAGATAAGACACCTAGAATAAAGGATACTTTCAGTATGCATAGGTAGGTACCTGGGTGGCTGTTGGCTTCCATGGCTTGATTTTGGGGTTACCAACAGGACAACAGAGTTGTTTCCACGCCTTTCAGATCTGCGTGTTAATTGTACCTACCAAAATCGATAGATTCCCAAAGGAGTAAGCTATCTAGAGTTCGGAGGAAAATAAAACATCGTTCATGTTGCTAGAGGGAAGGAAAAACCTCTAATAGTAAAGTAATGATCAAAGCTTCCAAAGATATCAGCTTGAGTGCGAGGTAATTTAGAATGATCGATATCGCAAAGCTACCTATCAATACCAAATCCAATCAAGGTCCAATATTCCAAAATGAATATGATCTAACTATAGTTTTATCTATTTAGATCATACTAATACCGGCATTATTATCGTGATATCGCAGTGTGTGCGGTATACGACTGCCTGCTGACTCAAATTCGACTAGCAGTATCTAATTAGATAGCATAAAGCCCCCAATAGACGTAAACGTTCTCATCATCATCATCATCAAATTCGACTAGTGACCTGCGACAACAACCTTGGTGATGGCGGTATCATAATTTATTCTATATATTATGCGAGGCCTGCACATCCGGAAATCTTCTGCATACAATCAAGTCTACAGCCTCATATAATATAACTTCTTTTGATTTATTATCATTATCATAGTTCAATACTTTTCACGATGCCTAACCCAGACTTATCTCTCCCGCCCAAACCACCGATGCCTAACCTCAGCTCTCCAACTAGTTTAAGTCTTCCCCAGAAGCCTTCGACTGCACCCCAGCCTTACTACTTTACACCTTCAAGATCGGCAGTAAGTCTCGACTCTCAGAATCATACCCGATACTTGACCCCTGTGCCGTTTCCTACTCCAGAAACTTATCAGCTGTCTCCACCCCCGGGCCTTTCGAACCAGACACTTCTTAGCTTCACACCACTTCAAGGTCTCCCTTCACCATCAGTACTTCCGTTAGGCGGGGTTGCTGCCTTGCGTAACATAACTCCGTCGCCTCAACTTCAGGCGCCTACAAATGGCGCTGTTGCCCAGCGACGACGTCAGAGAAGGCGCGACCCGAGAATGCTTCCTTCTCAACGCTCGCCATTTGATCATTTTCCACGTCCACGCCCTACGGGAAAGACCCCTCCCTGGAGAACCAATCGACGCAGGGCTTATGTGAACTCGAATCCGTTCCAAACCTTGGAGCAATCTCGTACACCTCTGGAAAATATGTCCGAGCATCATAAACCACCTAATGTGCCTATTCGGTCAACAGACTTGCAAGATCATGCAGATAGAATATCCTTTCTAAAGGCAGAATACAACAAAGCCGTAAATGTTGCAAAGGTATATAACGTACCCACCCCTTTCCAATAAGTCCAACGTCAAACTGAACCACAGTATTAACTTGAGCAGCAGCAGGAAGCCTCCAAGGGCAGCACCGACTACATCCGCCAATTATTTGACTTATATCTAGACAATGGCGTGAACTACCTCAGTGACGAGGAGCAGGAATTGCTGTGCTGGTACATTGATCCCAAGAAGAAAGACCATCGAGACCTGGTGTACCGCTTGGCAGATCAGATTCTATGGTACAACCGCAAACCTTCACTTACTTATAGACTCACGAATTGGATCCGTAGCCAAGACAGAAACCGCGAAGTCTTTATTAGGTTGCTTCGCGAGCGTTTAAACTTGGCAGACCCCGACGAGGGACGTACGATAATGTCTCTAGAAGAAGTCAACGAGCTCATGGACTGTCAGATTGCCGTTGATAGTTACAAGAAATGGAAGGAGAAACACGAGGGTGGAAAAAAGGGCGAGAAGTTGTCTTGAATTCATTCGCCGCAGAATATCGTGGAGCGGTAAAAGATACTCGCTATTACTGCCAGTCTGCTAGCAATAGGGGTACAATCCTATTGAGACAGAGACCCAACGATGCTCGTTACGTAGGGAAGCTAGTGCACATACGGCTAAAGCACAATGCTCGGGAATAATAGTTGAGAAAGAAGATTAGTGGTCGAAGGGTAGTAACAAAATTATGAGCAATGAATGAAGAAGAATGATTCACGACAAGGATGGGTAGTGATACATGAATTTGCGTGTGATTTATAGATAATACAAAGACCGAATCTGTGTAACTACCTACTTATCGGCCAATACGATGACTCCTTAGTTCTACTACTAAGCGCATATCCTAATTCTAGATACATCTGAAATAAGGATAGTTATGTCACTAGTAGAAGAGCAGCGAGTGTTTACTCTCTTCCAAGAGGCTTCGGCTCCGGCACGTAATCCATAGTACCACCAACGCCCAGGATCCGCAGTTGGCCAGGAGTTTCAGGTACTTCGCCTATGTAGAGGAAGTTGTTAGGGAATCCCACATCGAAAGGAATAGCAGCCTCGATTTCCTTGATGTCCTCTGTAGACAGTTTAATATTCAGGGCATCAATGTTTCCCTTCAGGTGGTCGATAGTACGGCCACCAACGATGGGAAATACGTAGGGCACCTTGCTGGAAACATAGGCCTGAGCAATACTTGTGATGAGAGTGTTTTTTCGCTTCGCAACAGCTTCAAGCACCTTGCTGACTTTGATGTCCTCCTCGGTAGCTTGGATTTTGCGGCCGGCGTCACTTTTGCGCTGCTCCTCCGTCTTAAACTTTCCGCCCCCTAGAGCTCCCCAGGGAGCAATGCCCATGCCCTCGGAACGGCACATGGGGATGATCTCGCGCTCAAAGTCTCTCTGCGACGCACTCCATCTACCCTGGTACACGCTGAACTGCCGGAGGCCGTTTTGGCGGGCATACTCGTTGGCTTTGCTAACAACCCAAGCGGGCGTGTCGCTTACGCCTAAGTGAAGCACTTTGCCGGCTGCGACGAGATGGTTGAGCGATTGCATCACCTCGGGGATACTGGTAGAAAAGTCCCACCAGTGTACGTAAAGCTAAAAGTGCCATGTTAATTATACAGGGTAGAAAGTCAAGGCAGATAGCGGTGGACTAACCAAATCGATGTAGCTGGTCTGTAATTTTTCCAAGCTGGCATTCACCGAAACGTGCAGGCTCTTAGAGCCATTGCCGGTGAAATTGATCATGATCTCCCCCTTTCCACGCGGCCCGGCGTGGAAGTTAATGGAAAATTTGGTTGCGATGACCATTTGGTCTCGGTTACCACGTTTCTTCATCCATGCCCCAATGCGCTTCTCCGCCTCTTCGAACTGGTAGTTATTTGACGTATCGATGAAATTACCCCCCTGATTATAGTAATAATCGAGGATTTTTTCGGTAGTTTTCTCGTCACATTCACCCACTAAGGATTACGGTGTTAATAAATATCACTCCCGTGAAGCATGGGAGTAGATGAGTCTGAATTGTTAAAATAAGATGAGTGTCATCACTTACTAAAATCTTTCCAAGCATTCCCGAAGTTCATAGTACCTAGACATAAAGGGCTGACACGAATCGACGCCGTAGGGGAAAGCAAGCGGTAGCGAGCCAGAGGGGATTGGGGTGCTGGTGCTAGTGGTAATGCTATGTTTAGAGACATTTTGTATGATTTATAACGGTGAGTGATAGTTGTACGGGTATTAATAGGGGGAGTCTGGGCTCTGAACAATTCTATTACGAATGTGGTGGCTATCCAGGTAATCACCTACATAGTAACAGTTAGGAGAGGTCTCTTTCTTATAAGGATAATCGAAATGACGCTTATTCATCCAAAAGCCGATATTTCTTCGGTGATGTCACGTAAGCCGAGGGGTCCGGGTAGAATATGCAAGGTCTAGATATAGGCGCAAGGATACTATGTCTACCTAATTCGCCTTACGGGCATGTCGGCAATCATTAAAACCACGGATATAACCTATACTTTCGTACTCCCGAAATAGTAGAATTATAAATATCAACCGGACAGTATTCTCTCCCGGTTTATAGGGTGCTAGGTTCGGATTTATGCTAGTCCCCGGAGTGGAGTAAGATTTAAATAGCCATAGCAAGATCTGACTGCAGAGTGTATATCTGAATTTCGGTATGTTGTTACCAGCCGCCACGAGGGTGTCCGTAGCGTTGGTATCAATAGCTTCGGTTTTTTAAGGCATGCTTCTTTGAGCATTATATTAATGTACGCAGGTGCCCATATACTAAATAGAGTAAGCTAGAAGTCGTTGATTGGCCTCTAACGTCCTCCTTTTAACACCGATAAAAACATCGGTAATAGATGAACATGAGAAACAAAGGAAATATAACAGTTAACTAATAGTAGTAGTTTCTTACCACGCCAAAGGATGAAACTTTTAGTATTATTAATAGATAGCTAGGTCGTTTTAGAACCTATCCTATGCCTTTTCTTATAAATATAGCTACTAAGTTAGAAGTTTCGCTCTAGGATCACCAAGGTAACTAAAACAAAAGAATTTAAGGATAAGGACATTAGTAATACGGTCTTATATAGGTAGATATATCCATAGTAGTTCTTATAATAATAGTGTTAATATCTTAAATCTCGCTCGGATCATGAGTATGTCAGGGTATAAGTAGGTAGGGGTAGTCACAAGGGTCTATCTACTATTATATAAGGGCCGCTGCGCGCCCTCGTAACAGGATATAAGGCCAGGCGTTACTAGACCAATACCATATACCACTTGGTCTACCTACCCTAGACACTCACTCTGTGTATGACATCAATCAACAGGTAGAAATCCTGACAAAGTATAACGATGTTCTCAATACCCGTTATCCCTCTCTCTCTCGAAAAAAGAAGTTTAGTGAAAACCACTATAGGTTCCTTACTAACCGTCATTTCTTATCCATTAGACAATAATATTGTCACTGGCATCATTTAGGTACCTAGGCACCTAAGGTAAGTTGCTCGTGCTATGGAGACTTGGGTGGTAGCACGGTTCCATCACTCAGAATGATCAAGTCATATGTCGTTACATCCGCTTTATTTACTAGATAACATGCATCTCATCGAGTCACGGGCACTATATATCGGACTTAGGTGATTGGCATACCGTATATCCGTATTGCAAGAGAACGCACCTATAAAGCCATATTCAAGTTCAACTAATTTGGCCTTTGAAATTTATTAATCTATTCTGTATTTTCCAAAATGTCATCACCAGTTTGGCTTATCACAGGTGCCTCTAATGGCCTAGGCCTCTCGTTCAGCCTTCGTGTTCTGAAGGCTGGCCATAAGGTCATCGGTGCGATGCGCAACCCGACACGAGCTGCCGCAGCCGTCGAGGCCATCGAGAGCAAAGGAGGGAAAGTGGTGCAAATAGACATGACAGAGTCTCAAATCAGCATCCACGAGAAAGTGAAGGCAGCTGAGAAGATTTATGGTAAAATCGACATTCTAGTAAACAACGCCGGTTACTCACTCCTTGGCCCATTATCGGAATTTACGTACGTCTTCTTCCATTAATGATCTCGGTTATGCTACGCATTGTGCTTGCTAACGATTCTTAGCGAGAACGAAGTCAATACTCAGATGCAGACGAACTTTTTCGGTCCAATCTATGCTATCCAGGTCCGTATTACTATGATCCCCTCCCAGAGTCCCTACGATGTTATTCTATAGTCGGCTTAGTCTTGCATCGATGACGTTGCAATCACCCCTAGCCTTAGACCCACATGTCTGCAAAAGGGGGGTAAGCACAGGAGAATCATCGCTAACTCCGTGTAAAGGCCGTTCTTCCCGGGATGAGAGCCCGTAAATCCGGGACTATCGTCAACATCAGCAGCATAGCCGGCCAAGATGGCCTTCCAACATGCTCACTATATGCCGGCAGCAAGTTCGCTCTCGAAGGGCTTAGCGAGTCTCTAGCGCGCGAGGTTGCAGAATGGGGCATCGATGTTCTGATAGTAGAGCCTGGCGCATTCCGCACAAACTTCCTCAAAGCCTTAGTCGCGAACGAAAAGGGCCTTCCCGAGCATGAAAAAGATACGCCTGTTGGAAAAACCATGCAGCGTTTCCACGAAGTTGCGGAAACTCAAAGGGGAGATCCAGATAAGCTGGCTGACCGTGTCTTTGAGGTAGTAACGGGTGAAGGAGAAGCAGGCGCGCTGAAGGGAAAGATCTTAAGGTTGCCGTTAGGGAAGGACTGTTTGACACGATTCGACGCTAAGATTGCAAAGTTAAAGAGCGACGTGGAAGCATGTCGCGCAATAGCTGAGACTACGGATTTATAAGGTTTGGAAAAGCGTAAGAAACCTGGATGTGCCTTCCTAAGGTAGTCATCGAAGCTACCTTGGAACCGATCTCAACATTATTTCTTTCCTATATTATTTGGAATCTATTAGCAGCACTTGCCGCAATAGTGAAACTTTCCAGGTTTTCCCTAAATCTATAAGTACCTCCTGACCACATCCCAGTTAAATCTTGCCATAGCTATGAATTTAGTTCTAAACTCTATCTACGTGTATTATTTGATTTTGCCCGGCACGTCTCGACTTGGCTTTTTTTTTTTCGGATGTGGCCAACGCTAATCGATGAAGGCTAGAGGAGGAAGGCGGGTAAGGGGTAGGAGGGCGACACTATCGTTGATGTTTTGGGGTTTCGGTTACTGAATAGCTGTCGCAGATCTGGTTGCATAGACTTAACTCACCGTATTACAGCATAACCGTATTACCGTATTACAGCATAGGCAATCAGTCGGATGTCTAGGCATATAAAGTGATCCCTCAACTGTATGCAGCAAAACTCAGACTTAGACCTCAACCAATACTGTTACATGCACTTAAGTCTCTAGCATCCACATATGACTACTCGTATCCTGTATCTAAAAATATAGGTTAGGTAGTTTCGAAGTTCATGATTATTCACATTTATTAATTAGGTATTCACCTTCGAGTTGCTGTATTGGCAACCCCTTTCTACCAGTATTCCCGATCAGTAAGCACGTTTTCTTTCCGCCCAGCCCGGACTATCTACGAGCTCGACCTTTTCCCTTCCTGTCCACACTGGCGTTCCAGCCACAAGCTCGAGTCCAGGGATCTTCGCACCACCTTGTTCGAGAGCCCATAGCGAAATACCGATATAGTTCGTGCCGTTATAGTTCAGGATTCCCTCCGGTACGGGGAATACTGTCTGGGGACCGACGTTGCTGCTTAGCTTGCCGTACTGCCAACCGTTAACGTACAGTTGAGCCCGATAGATACCGGACGCGGAAGTGTCGTTGGAAATCGAGAATGCCAGCGGGATGTCCCATTCGTCGGAAGGCAAGTTAAGGTCGAAAGAGGTTGCGTAGAAGGCAATGCCCGGCAAGCCGATACCTTCAAGCGGGGAGTGGGATACCCATGATTCCGTCGGTGCGCCTGGGAGATGGTATCCTTGGCGCTCGATAAACAGGCCACCTTCATTTAGTGGACCGCGCACGCGGTCTACGTAATCTTCACCACCGAGATTTCCCGTTAGCTTCCAGCTGATGGGTGTATTAGTCGCCTTGGACGTCTCCAGCCTCCATCCTAAGATTCCGCGAGGCTGCTTCATTTCATCGGCAACGATCCAGTTCTCGCTTAGGCCCATATTCTCTACGACGACGGTAAAAACGTGCTCCGTACCGGCTTCAAGTCCAGCACCGGTGACGTCGTATTTGCCTTGGTAGCTTGCGTTTGCTGGGTTTCCGCCAAAGGACGAGAGAAGGTGGTCGTCGAGCCATACTGATACGGCGAAGCCGCTTCCGCCTTGGGTCCATAGGGAGAAGTTCCCTTCATTACCTGTGGCGTTGAAATGGCCCCGGTACAGGAGTACTCCGGTATGGTAGCCGTAATCAGAAGAGTAGGTAGAAACAGGGGTGAAGAGGGGTTGGTAAGTGTTATCTGTGAACTTATGGTCCGCATTCGTCCATAGTGAGTCGTCGTATTCCTCTTGGATCTCTGGGAGCGAGTCGATGTACTTCCACTCGAGATCTGCCAGATTCGGGACGGCAAATGAGGGGCTGTCTACGGAAACGTGGGCAGTCGCCGAAAAGTCTGATGACTCGGTCGAAGTTTCTACGTCATTGACGAAAAGCCTTGCTTCTGGGGTTCCTACAATTTCAACTGTTGTGGACGTGTTGAAGTCGGCTTTGATGTGTAGCTCGTTGTCCTTCAGAGAAGCAGAACGCACGAGGTAGGGCCCATTAATGAGCACCTTATCGCTTGTGTCCTCAATATCAGTAAGCCAATAGTTATATGCCGCGTTTCGATCTAGAGATAGTCAGTAAGCAATGGAAAATAGTTCCGACGGGGCAGACTAACTGAGTAGATAAACCAAGATGCTGTCACCGATATGAAGGACGGATCGCTCCTCAGGGGTCGCCCAATCTATAGTTAAAAAGCTAGAGTTGCTACTCGTTACGCTATATGATTTATCACCTTCGATATTGTTAACTTGGCTATTCGATGGCGCTTCAATTGCGAACTCATTATGCTCGTCTGATCCAGCATAAAGGATAAGAACCGTCTGGTTTCCTTGCTTCAGATGGGTAAAAACATCGGCAGTGGAATAAAGCAGTCGAGTGCCTTGAACGTCGTAGTCGGTAACTATTATTTTCGAGTCTCGACCATTGAGACTGAGCGACTGGTTTGTCCGAGGAATCGTAAGTGTCCCTTGAGACGTCGGCAGTTTGACCTTGTATTGCGTCGATTCGAAACTCGAGTAATTGGTATGTCTCACTACGAAGAACGAAGCATCATCTGTGCTGTTTGCTAGTATTGGTGTAATGGTGATGTCAGGGTTATCACTGTAGACGTTATTCGAACTACTTCCCGGTGTTGCCGTAAGATAACCGGGGCTTGACTGTAGGAACGTCGCCTGTAACTTTAGTTCCGAGTACTTCTCTCGCGTAACTGTTCTGTCCTCCTTGATGACACTTCCGTAGTCGTACGAGGTGTATCCGCCAGGGTGTCCGAGGTTACCCCAGTTAGTGCCACCGAAGATCATGTAGAGATTGTTTATCGTCACACCCTGTATATGTTAGCGACGTTGCACACTTGAGATGGCTATATGTCTCGAGGTTCTTCATGCTTACCGCAGCATAGTTATTCTTGTAGAAGACTCTCTGGAATTCGTGATTCACAAGCTCACTGCACTATATAACTGTAAGTCACATGTTTGAAAATAGAAGTTTAACGAGTTATTATACGCCTTAAGTAAAGAGCTAAGTTTGTTCGTTAATGGTGTGTGAGAACCTACCTGCTCAAACCCCCAACCTCCCCAAGGATCAAATGAGCCGGCTTGAAATTCAACCTACACTGATATTAACAAATGCAAACCAAGGAATGCCCATGACGGTTCAAGAAAGAGTGCCAGGGATAAAAGCAAGGTATTTCTTATACATACTATGGAGTAAGGCGTCGTTGGACTCTGCTCGAGATGATCGTTTCGATAATTTGTAGGCAAATTTCCTTTAGGCCAAACCGTAGGATGTGCACAGTCAAATCCCAATGGGTAACCATCGTGCCCATAGATATCAACTTCGCCCTCGCCGGTTCCTGGCGCGTTGTGACCGAGGGGGCTCGCATCGTTGCTGATGAAAGGAATAACTACCCCAGCATCACGCGCCTGTTGAAGAACGTATTCCATATATGACCCGTCTGGGAAAGGGGTATAATCGCCAGCTCCCGAATACTCGTTTTCTGGTTGAAATAGAATTACCGGACCGCCATTCGTAATTTGAGCATCTGCAATTATCTTGCCGATGTTTGACATGTAGTTATCCGTCGCATTAAGGAAGTCTGGTGCGGCACTCCTCAAAAGACCGCGAACCCGTTGGATCCATCCTGGGAACCCACCGCCGCTAACCTCGGCATTGATATAAGGGCCAGGTCTAGCAATGAGATAAATCCCGGTCTTTTGAGCAGCATCGAAGAACGGCTTCAGGTCGAAGACGCCCTCCGCAGAGAAATCCCCGGGCTTCCCTTCCAAGAGAGCCCAGTCGATGTAGAACGAGATGCAATTAAAACCGAGCGCTTTAACTTTCTGTAAGACATCGATCCACAGAGATGGCACTGGGAGCCTGAACGGATGGAACTCCCCACTAAATATCAACACTCTTTCTCCGTGGACAAAGAGCGAGTGCTCATCCCAAGTGACGATATCTTGCGCGACTTGTCGTTTCTCGGTAAAATCCCGTATTAGCGTATCAGGACGTCCGCCGCTGCTGAGAGCATAGCTCAGCAGAGCTTGCGTCGCGACCAGAAACAGTGACGACCTCATTGCCAGTCCGGTACCTCGCGTAGTCCTAAAGGAAATCTTGCAAGTGGGAGTAAGGCATGGGGGATTTCTATTAAACATTAAATATTAAAAGATCTGACCGACTAGGTTACTCTATTTATGCACCTTAAGTTACATTGCGGACGATGCGCCCAGGCTGATCTCTCCCGTTATACACAAAGAAACCCCCAGACCCCCAGACCCCCAGACCTAGACCTTATGATGTAGGCCATGTTGGGGTATGTGGGGTGAAGATCAGCGCACGTTGCCAAAGATGGGGATCACAAACTTCCATTTCCGGTGGGCGAGCGAGAAAACCAACTAAGTTTGCTCACGGGCTAAAGAGGTTGAGCGGCACAGCATCCAAGAGCAAACCCGCAAGAAGGACATCATCGGTGAGGAGGCTCGTACGGTGTAAAGCTAGCATCTCCACAATGAGAGGGTAACTCCAACGTCGTAATGGCCAACGGAATAAATCCAACAGGTCCGCGAGTACGGCCGCTATTATTCCATTACAAGGGTTCTTATTGCGCAATATGTCTAGGCGACCCGACGGTTCGGCACATCGTGTACCGACAACAGCAAGTTCAGATATTGTCTCAGTTTCTCAGACTCGGATTCGTTGAATTGCCCGGCGGGCTGCAGCCGCTACAAGCGCCACACAACGCATGGCCCGTGTCATAGGTTGTATCTGTAGGTCACTGGTGCGAAGCTTAACGAATTCTAGGTAGGTTACAAGATTCGTGGGGTAAATGTGAAGATGTGATTGGTTAAAAGATGATGTGGCTAAAAAGGTACAACGAAACGAAGGAATTTCGAATTATTGGTTTAAGCTTGCTGAGATAAATAAAATCGATTTTATAATATGGTAAAGATCCTTATGTCACACATTTAACTGGTGGAAATCTTAGGTAAGTAACCTACTAGGTTATGTACTTATGCATCGTACCTAACCTTTGCCATAGGTAACACAACTCGGCCACAACAAACATCTAACTTATATCTCTCTTATCTAAATCTCATTCATATATCTTTTCTTCTTCATCACTCATGTCTACTTTTACACAACTCTATACTAAATTATGCCAATCCTTTCCCCATCATCACACTATGCCTCCCATCTCTCCAAATACTCGCAGCGTGTACAACACTGCCTAGAAAGCATAGCTCAGCCAATCCACATAAGTACCTATTCACAACTTCTCCAAACGCCTCTTCCTCAATATTTCCTCGCCAAACCGCGCCATCTCAAACTTCTTAACCTTACCGCTCCCCGTCAGCGGCACATCAGCCGGCACACCATCCTCGCCTAGCCAAAACACATGTGTCGGTGCCTTATGGCGTCCCAGCTTCTGCTGCACCCAATCGCGAACTTCCTGATCACCCAGTTTTTCCCCTTCCTTTACGGCTTCATCTGCCAGCTGCAAGAACGCGCCGACTACCTCTCCATAATGCGCGTCCTTGAGTCCTGTGACTATGGCCCGGGTGATGGCCGGATGCGCTAGTAGCCGCTCTTCGATCTCGAGGGGGTATATGTTTTCGCCGCCGCGAATAATTATGTCCTTGAATCGTCCGGTAATGGAACAGTACCCCTGCTCGTCAAACACAGCTTCATCACCTGTCCGTAACCACAGGACGCCTTCAGCGTCGCGCTGCATTACCTCTGCTGTTTTCTCCGAGTTGTTCCAGTATCCGGCTTGTAGCTGGTACCCCGCGATGCACAGCTCGCCGCGTGCGCCCAGCGGTAGGATTTGACCGTCGTGGTCGATGATCTTAGCGCGCGCGTGTGGCATCAATGTACCTACGGTAGTCAGTCGTTTTTCGATAGCGTCGTCGGTGAATGCGTTGAAGCAGGTCGGGCTGGCCTCTGTCAGTCCGTAGCTGCTAGTGAATTCTGTCATGCCAAAACGCTCGACTAGCAGTTCCATGAGGTAGCGGGGCACTGGGGCTCCAGCGATGATTCCTGTGCGCAGGTTGGTGCAGTCGAAGTTAGGAGGGAAGGGAAGACTGAATAGGGTATCGAACATGGCGGGGACGCCGTGTACCGCGGTGCAACGCTCATCGGAGATGGCGCGAAGGACGGCGGCCGCATCGAAGGTCTCCTCCGGATACACAATCTTGGCACCGTGGGTGATGACGGCCATCATACCGAGCACAAGACCGAAGCAGTGGAACAATGGTGGCGGGCAACAGAGAACATCATCTGGTGTAAGTCGCATGCGGTCACCGATGAAGCGAGCGTTGTTGACGATGTTGTGGTGTGTCAACATAGCCGCCTTGGGAAGACCTGTGGTGCCGCTCGTGAATTGCAGATTACACACATTATGCGCGAGAACCCTTTTCCCGAGACGATGAAGATCGCTGTCGCTTACCGATCTCCCTTGCTTGATTAGGTCCGCGTATGTTGGATATGACCCCGACTCGCCTCTTAGGATGACGACGTTGGGACCCTCCTTCTCCTTGGCTAGTTCCGCTAACAGTTTGGTGTTCTGCAGCCTTCCAATTTTCTTCGTCGTGAAGAATATTTTCGAGTCTAAGTAAAGTTTAGAAGGCAGCCACGTCTTGGGTACAGACACATCACGGCTTACCCGAGAACTTCAATGCATGTAGCGCTTCTGTTGGTGTGTACGTGTTGTTCAATATCACCAGTATAGCCCCGATCCGTGCGACAGCGAAGAAGACGGCGGCGTATTGCTCGCAATTACCAGCCATAATGCCAACACGATCTCCGACGCCGATCCCAAGCGAAAGCAGCGTCCTCGCCAGCTGAGAGCTCTGCTGATTGAGCTCATTGTACGTCCACCGAGCGCCCGTCCAAGGCGTGACGATGCATTCCCGACTGCCGTGATGCTGGCATTGGAGATCCAAAAGTTCACCGAGAGTTAGATCAACTAACGGGGGGTCTACCGGGCCTTCCAAATAAGACAGTGGTTGCCTCTGAAACTGAGAGTTCGACAATGCCGAAATATTCGATTGTGTAGCCATGATAGGAAGATCGTCGCTGAAAGAAGGATTGTTCAAGAATCTCATTAAATAATCCCCTCTCCTATTGACACAAGATATTATCTATGATGGAAGAGGCTTTAGACTAAACATACGAGAATTAATTTCTGCATATACACCACCTTTTCTAGCTGCAACTTTGTCTTGAGTGTCTGGCATGCTGTATTGAGTATTATACTGATGTAGAAGGAAGTTAAGCGAGAATATGGGACATACTGACATCGAAATAACCGAATTACCCCTAGTAACTCGTAAATGGTACTTATCCTAAGTACTAAATAGCTGAGTGTAGTTAGGTAGGTAGTTAGCTGAGTATAGTAATAGCTCAAGCCCGGGCATCTCTCCCATTCCGGTATATTCTCCCCAAAACCACCCAAGTTCTCACGAAAATTCTACCAGTCCACATCCCACGGACCGGGCCCCATGGCGATACTTGTACGTAAGAAAGCCGAACAAAAAGCGCATGTTATTAAAGCATCTGCAAGCCGGCCAAGAGAACACATGGGAATCCATAGATCCCAATTCCCTGGAATACGTGACGAACCAAGAAAAAAAAAACAGGCACCCTCATCCCTGTATCCATGCTCGTATGCAACCTGGTCTTTGCTGGCTCCGACTTCTACGGGTGGGTCGGACGGGGGGAGCTAGACATCTAATCAGCGGATCTGATAAGATCAAAATTTCTCTCTACATATAGCATTATGTACCTACCTACACTAGGTAGCAGCTGTACCTGTCTTATACGTAGTTACACACGCATCCATCGTGCATGTCGTGCGAGATCGGAGTACATAGAACTACTACCGTTCAAATAGTGCAACGCTAAACTCGCCAAATGCCTTACAAGGACCTAATGCTATAATACGCAACAGTATACATGCCCAGTACCTCGAGGTACTTCAACGACAATTATTTGATGCACAATGTATTTACAAAGGTACCTTTCTACATGCAACCTAGTATCTATTTGGCCTACTATTTTTTTTTTTTTTTTTACGCGTCTTGATGTTGTCTTAAATTTTCTTATTGGGGGGCTAGTCAGGTATGTTATCATTTATGTAGAAGAAGAAGAAGAGGAGGAGGAGGAGAAAAAAAGAAAAGCTCATCTATATTCTTAATGACGGTCTAAATCCGTACTCTATCATGAATATTATGCTTATGCAAACTCGCTTCAACGCCTGTAATAACTATGCTAAGTTGCCAGACATACCAAGTTCTAATGCACCACCAAGATGAGCTTCTACCTGGGTATCATATATATAGTCCACACATACTATCATCAAAGCACAGTCCCCTTGACCTGCTTGGACTGGCTAACCCTAACGTCTTGCCAGATCCCCACCGCGAGGATTTCGAAAAGTGATATGAGGGTCCCCGCGATACACATACGGGACTGGGCTATGCCGTATGCGGTAATAATAGCGCTTCGCATCGCGCTGCCCATAGGATAGCTTAGTTGTCTCTTTAGATCAGACCCGATTAGGGCTAGTTCGTCAGAAGGGACCTCGGGTAGGAGTCTAGCAAGCTCTGTTGGGAGTGTCGTGTTCCAGATGGCGCCGCTGAGCGAGCTCCCTATTGCCGAGCCCGTGTAGTACGCAAGACCCAGAATAGCCATGATGGAGGCTAGGTCGGAGTGGTCTGCGATGGCCATGACTGCTATTTGTTCGCACATAACCAGCGTACTACCCCCGATCGTGATAAGAATTTGACACATAATAACCCATGCGATATGTGTGTCCGGCTGACGGAAGATAATCATTAATGCGCCGCCTAAAAGATGCACCGGTAAAGCAGCTAAAGCTAGCCACTTGAACCTGTCTGTCCGCCTGATTAAATACCCCACGACCACGGCCCAGATGCACGAACCAAGGCCGTAGATATGGCCTATGTAGCCGGCCTCTTGGAGGGTTAAGTTATGCACAACCTGTAAATACGATGTATAATAGCCATCCCATGCAAAATAGGAAATAAATATTATGATAGATAGTAGGAAGGACCCCGCCACGTTTCGGGAGCATAGGAGCGAGAATCGTACGAACGGCCGCTTCGTTGTACGCTCGTGAACAACAAATCCGACCAGAAATGGGACACCGAATATAGGCGTGATGGCGACTATGCTGTTTACCGCAGAGCCGTGTAGCGAAAATGGGACCAAGATTAGAGTTAAGCCGGCGGCGGCAAGGAACATTCCTAAAGCTACTAAATGTTAGACTCCAGCTTACGGATATCGCCATGTAAGTTGACATACCATCAATATCAATCAGTCCTTGGCGTAATTTCGATATAGTCCACGGGCCACTCCTAGTGCGTTCCGAGAGTAAACCTAACCTTCTCGCTTTTCGCGCATTGATGATCAAAATGGATAGGACTGGCAAAGAAAGCACAACAAACAACACGGCAGAGAGACCAAATGCCCATCTCCAACCGCTTCCTTTGAGGAATGCGTTGGCTACCACCGGACCGAGGAATGTGGTGATCAATGTAGGTGAAGAGTTGAATGCAAATGCGAGCGTTCGGTCCTTGAGCGATGAAGTATCGGCAATGATGATGTCGAGGATATAGGTAAAACCGCTGATGCCGACTTGGTAGATTACCTCGGCTGCTGCGTATGTGCGGACGTTCTGGCTCGCGGCCATGAGGATAAGTCCCAGGGTCGCAAGCGCGATTACGCACGCGAGACCCTGCGGGCGGCCCCAGGAGTCGATTAGCTTGGCTATGGGCAGTTTTAAAATGCCGCTCATGATAGACGCTATTATGCCGATGGTGGGGATTAAAGAATGGGCACTGAATTCGCTGACGACAAAGGGCTGCAAGTTGGACATGACTTGGTATTGAAGAGTATTCGCAAACGAGCACAAGAAAATGCTAGAGATGCGATAAACGATCAGCTAAAACGTCGATGTCGATGGCGATGGCCGAATGCGTGATTGTTATTGCTGTCACGATCACGACTTACAAGAAATACGCCAGAATGAGCACAGCTCTCGACCAGACTTGATTGATGGCATCGGCCTGCTTGATGCCATCCTGGACATCGATACTTGCTCCATCATCCGTTGGGTCGATGGTGACTACCACATCATCTTTGCTGGAAGTAGTAGATCCATACGAATCTCTTCGAATATTACCACCATCGTCGCTACTTGAACCCCGACCCAGCAGTGGCTCCTGGCTACCCGTTATCGTGTCTTCTTCCATGTTAGTTGACGGAGGAAGACGTCGATGGAGTCTTGACATAGATATCGACTCCAGGATGAAAGAGTAAAGTTGAAACAATTGGCAGTGCACGTTAATTTGTATCGTTGCAATGTTATTCATCCAGGATTCTGGGTAGTGGATGTTTGGTCATCAGGCCACCCTGTCAGCTGATGGAACCTCTCAGCTCTCCCGAAATAGGGCAAAGACGCGGGGGGTTTGGGGGGTTTGGGGGGTTTTAGGGGATATATTCGCGCAACTTTGACTCAGAGTGGCTTAGCCACGGGGGCTTGAAGTCTTGCGCGTACAATACAGAAAATAAAACAGAAAATAAAACAGAAAATAAACAAGTTGAAAAAGTTGTGGTGATACAAAATAACCCTTCCGTGACTCCAGCTGACTGAGTCAAGTCGTACATCAAGTCGTACATCAATCGTCAAGTTGTACAAGGCGATCCGAACATTGGGTCGGGTTAAACTCTAATCCCAGATCCCAGCATAGTTCCGCGGCATACATTACCTAGGTACTGGCCGGGCCTAGGTTACCTGCTTGCCTTGTTTGCCTACCCGGTACAGCGAGTTGCAGCAAATTGCAGCGAGTTAGAATAGTGAAATAGGTGTGAGTGATAATTGCCACCCACCTATTACCCTATTACCCTATTACTCGAATAATGGTGCGAATAATGGTGCGAATAATGATGTGTTGTCCCTGTGGGCCACCTTACCCTCTAGCGCCATCAGATAACTTCATTCATAAATTAAACAAAGCGTGATCCACCACTAATCTTGGCTTGGCTTAAAATGATCTTATCAGATGCTGCATGCCAAGACCCCGAAACAGCATTGTCCTACCACTCAAGGGTTAGTCGCTGCGAATCATGGCCCCTCATCTCTCTTAGACCCCGTCCTCGGAGGCAAGGGAATCCTAACCTTGAATTCTTTCGTGGTACATGTTTGTATCTTCTGTACATTAGAGTTAGTGTTACATCATAAAAACCATACCGATGCATAGTCGCCGAAATGAGAAGGCATCTTCATCAAGGTTGGTTTATGGAGTCCGTTCCTTGGCTCCATCTAGCCCCGTATCGTCATGGATGAGGTTGTATTGGAATTTACTACGGCGCATCGTGCTTCCGGATGCCGGCGAGGAGTAAGAAAAAGATGGATCCATGGGGTCTGTCCGCTTGGGGTGGAATAAGAAAAATTTCTTGACATGTTGAATATCCTGGAAGTTTTGTGATTCGGGCAATAAACATCACAGGCGTCTAAGCAGAGAGCGATTTCGTCACAATGGGTGACACGCCTCAGAACGATGATTCGAACGCCAGCGGAAGTGCAAAGGACACTGTTTTCCGTAGAGCAACGTCAATGGCATCAGATGTAAGGTTGCCGACATACTCTTCACGCTGCGTTTAATAAACTAATCGACTATGAAGGGATCACGAGGTCTCTTTCGATACTTCCGACTCCTGACCTACGCCGAACCGAGCAAAACTGACATTTCGCTGCTGGTAATCGGTACCATTGCCTCAATCGCTGCTGGAATACCGTTCCCGCTTCTTGGTATCCTTTTTGGTCAACTGTTGGACGACCTTAACTCGGCAACATGTGCGGGTGAACAAGCAACCTCCGCGGAGGCCTACCAGTCCGATGTAAATCAAAAGGTATTGCTAGTTATGGCTTGTGCCTTAGCCCAGCTCGCACTTGTTTACATATTCTCCGTATGCTGGAACCTCTTTGGCGATCGGCTTGCTCACCGGTTACGAGAGCGTTACTTCCGCTCCTTGCTACGTCAGGAGGTATCATTTTTCGACAAATTACCAGCCGGGGAGGTCTCCTCGCGTTTGAGCGCCGACATTAACGTCATCAAAAGTGGTACATCCGAAAAGGTTGGCGTGTATATGGGTTCACTCTCAATGTTCATCACCTCCTATGTCGTGGCCTTTATCAAGAACGCCAAGCTAGCTGGCATTCTAGTGTCATTGGTTCCTGCATTCATGTTGATGTCCCTTGTCGGCGGTCACTTTATTGGTAAATTCTCGGGTCAGGCATCGCAAAATGTTGCATCCGCATCATCCATCGCCCTGGAGAGCTTGTCGAACGTTATGGTTGTACATGCGTTCAGAGCCAATAACCGCCTTGAAGAAAAATTCGCCGATGAACTCCTCGCGGCTAAAAAGAATGGGGTCAAGAAAGCTATCGCGACAGCTGTGCAGTCTGGGTTGCTATATTTCATAGCTTTCTCGGCAAGCGGATTAGCATACTGGCAGGGTAGTAAAACCATAGCTGATGTTGTTGCTGGTCGTGAGGAGGGAGTGACTGTTGGTACAACATACACGATCATATTCCTCCTGGTTGACGGTAAGACCTCTGTACGAAGCCATTATAACTGTCTTCTGATGCCAATTTTCTAGCCTCTCTTGTGATTAGTCAGATATCGCCATACTTGCAGATCTTCGGATCTGCCACAGCTGCGTTAGAAAAGCTTGAGAAGGACATCGATCGCCATTCCAAAATCGACGGAACGCTTCCCTCGCAAGGAGACGAATTCGAATCGTTTTCGGGTGACGTTACACTCGAAAATGTCGACTTCACCTACCCGTCTCGTCCCGACGTTCCCGTAATTCAAGGTGTAACGCTTCACTTTCCAGCAGGCCAACAGACCGCAATCGTTGGTTTATCTGGTAGTGGAAAATCGACAATTGCCGGCTTACTGACTCGATTATACGATCCCGACCAAGGTACCGTGTATGTAGACGGTCGAAATATCCGTGACGTGAACGTGCGTCAACTACGAAGTTTTATCGGACTTGTTCAACAGGACCCCTTGCTTTTGGATCGATCAGTCTTGGAGAATATAGCTCTCGGATTAGTGAACTCTCCTCGCGAGGAACATGGCCCCCTGCAGCCTATCCTTCTTGGTACCCAGCTGTCCCAAATAGCAGAGGCGGTGCGAGGCGGGCAAGATATAATTACTGCTGCAGAGTTATATGGTGATCTAACTGTCGAAATTGTGAAAATGGTCCAACGAGCGGCGAATCTTGCTGATGCTGACGCCTTCCTGGAGAACTTGGAATATGGATTCGGTACGACCGTTGGCCCTAATGGCGACCTGCTAAGTGGTGGACAGAAGCAGCGCGTGGCTCTAGCAAGAGCTCTGGTCAAAGACCCCAAGATTTTAGTTCTAGACGAGGCGACTTCGTCTCTCGATTCGGCTAGCGAACAGCGTATACAAAGCGCTATCGACAAGGTTTCTACGGGCAGAACCGTGATATCAATTGCGCATCGTCTAGCGACTGTCAAAAATGCTGATAATATCGTCGTCATGCGCAATGGTAAAGTCATAGAACAGGGCAGTAACATTGACCTCATTGCTAGAAATGGCGATTATGCGGCCCTTGTTCGGTTGCAGAATATGGGATCGGAGACGTCAAGCGTGAGCACTGCAAAGGGAAGCACTACGAAGGACCTGGCCCGTTCAGACGTAGACATGGAGAAAGTATCTCGGTCCCTCACTGTGGAGAACGAAAATGTTGGCGAAGCTGTCGCCACCGAAACTGAAATGGGGGTAGAAAAGGAGGCGAAGATATCCGATCAGTCGAGGCCGACATGGGCCACAATTAAAAGTCTAGCGACAATAACTCGACCTCATCTGCTCTGGGTATTTGTTGCCCTCTTCGCAGCTATTGTTGTTGGCGGAACATATTCCGGATCGGCCTTGATCTTCGGTCACACGATCGGTGCTTTAAGCCCTTGCAACTCTGAAGATGCTATTCGAGCAGCAGGTAGCTTTTTTGGTCTTATGTTCTTCGCGCTTGCTATTATCGAGTTTTTCGCCAATGGAGTGAGTTGGTCGGCATTCGGCTGGATCGCGCAAAAGATTCTCTATAAAATCAGGGTACTCTCTTTCCGCTCGCTATTTGAGCAAGACCTGCAGTGGCACCAATCCGAGAATCGCACTCCATCGATGTTGCTGTCGTATATCACAAGCGACTCGGCTGCCGTCGAAGGTTTAACAGGTTCCATAATAGGAACTGTCTTCTCTATCGGTGTCAACTTCATCGCCGCGGTCATTATGACACTCATTATCGCCTGGAAGATAGCAATTGTCTGTCTCGCAACAGTACCGCTTATGCTTGGCTCAGGAATAATGCAAATGCGTATTCTCACTCGTTTCGCAGAACGCCACGAAAAAGCATTTGCTAAATCTGTGAGCATCACTGTCGAGGCTGTGAACTCAATCAAGACTGTTGCAGCACTATCTCTCGAGCAAGAGGTGCTCGGAACATACCGTCGCTCTCTCTCGGCGCCGCGTAATGAGATGACGCGCTCTAGCCTATGGGCTAACCTATTCCTTGCAATTGCATTCAGCATGTCAAATCTCATCTATGCGCTGATCTATTGGTGGGGAGCTAAACAAATTATTGAAAGCCATTATACGCAGGTCGAATTTTTCATCGTGCTGATGGCGCTTCTAGTAAGTGCTCAGCTTTGGGGTCAACTCTTTACCCTCGCTCCCGAAATAACGAGAGCGGGAAGGGCAGTGGGCCGGATTTTCGACCTCATCGACCTAAGCCCGTCCAAAACCATGTTGGCAAAGGGGGTAAATCATCGTGACCCAGAGGCGGCTGTTGAGTCAAAGAGAATATCAACGTCAAATGCTAAGGGCCTTGCGGTAAGCTTCAAGCAGGTGAAATTCTCATACCCCGCGCGACCAAATCGACAAGTCTTGAAAGGTCTGAATATCGACATTCGCCCAGGCCAATTCTGCGCTCTTGTTGGTCCTAGCGGTGCCGGAAAGTCAACAGTCATATCGTTACTAGAACGCATGTATAGTGCAGAATCGGGCGCGATTGAAGTGGATGGCGTAGATATCTCGGGCAGAAAAGAACCCGTCTTTCGAGATGACATCGGTCTAGTGCCACAGGACAGCATCTTATTCGACGGTAGCATTCGATTTAACGTCGCCCTCGGTGCTCGCCCTGACGAAGAACCATCAGATGCGAACATTGAGGATGCATGCAAGTTGGCGAATATTCACGATACTATCGTATCTCTACCAGATGGTTACAACACACAATGCGGACCCAGTGGAGGTCAACTTTCAGGTGGCCAGAAACAACGCCTTTCCATCGCGAGAGCACTAGTGCGTAAGCCACGGCTATTACTCTTAGATGAATCGACTAGTGCTTTGGATGCAGAGTCAGAAAGGCTACTTCAGGACGGATTAGAGAAGGCGACGCGGGGTATAACGGTGGTGGCCATCGCGCATCGATTGCATACCATCCGACGCGCAGATGTAATCTTCATGATCGAGGATGGGCAATGTGTCGAAAGGGGTACGCACGAAGAGTTGTTGACTCGAAGCGAAAGCTATCGCGTAAATGTCCTGCACCAGACACTGGATGGATGAGGAGAAATAAAAATCATCTCGGGATCTATATTTAGGTAATACACTCTCAAACATGAGCGCATAATGAGACGTCAATTATATAATAATATTATATAATATAATATGAAATGTCTATAGAGTTTTAAGTAATTATAATAGAATTTGTATATACTCTTTACTAATCAGTTTGTTGTTGTAAAGAGTATTGCTCTTGTGAGATCTTGTGAGATCTTGTGAGGTGAAAGTGTAATCACAAGTATGAGTATTAAGATAAAAAAATGTGGGTATCGGAGGACGGAGGACGGAGATCTCGGAATACAATTCGCATCTCCGAGCTTACCGGCACTATGGAATGAGATGAGACATAATTAGAGCAAGGCTAACATTAGAATCAATGTGAGCTGAATTGAAAGGGCCGCATCGATGTTTATCAATACGACATGAAACTTAGAAGTGTACTAAATTTACATCGAAACAGCCGACTTACACGAGATCAAGCATTTGTTAAATGATAGATATCAACTACTTCACCAAGTACAAGTACATATTGCCTTTGATGTTTTATTTTCGTTTTTCGTATGAACCATTTCAACCCTACCTACCTAGGTTTATCTAAAAGTCTTCGATTAAGTGTATTTGTTCGTTTAGTTAGGTACCTCCTAAAGAGGTGTTATTGCAGTTGTAAACTTTTGAATTAAACATAAAGGTTCCAAGCGTGCACATGTATGATGTATTAAAATGCCTACCTGCATATGCACATGGAATAATATAACTGGAGTACATATGTACATATGAGGTTACCTACCTTATGTAGGTAGGTATTACTATTCGTCGTATATGTAATAATAATAGTCCCAAATAATAACAGTCTGATTTTCTTAAGATATTAGATCTAACTATGTAGAACGACCTCAGCTGCAAGAAGAGAAAAAGCCACATGATGCAGCTTCCACTTCCATTCCACCGGATACCAACAGGTGAGCTGAGAGTTGTCGGGACTGAACATTAGGGGGAAAACCCGCTCCCGCTTAAAAGGATGTGGGCTGACACTGACAGCATCGTGTTGTCATTACTTTGTTGCGCACTGTACACTAGAGAAATCCTTGTCGGTTTTGTCTCCCCATTAAGACAAAATCATATGATCATAAGAAAAAATTACACCGGGTCTAGAGCTAAGAGAATCTGCCTCGACTCTGCAGAGGTTCCTTCAACTGGTGAGCAACACTACCTTAACTAACTACTAACTTACATGAACTATGCGAGGTCTGCGTCATGCAGGTAAGGATAGGAAATAATACAATGGAACAATGGAAAGAGGAACAAAGGGATCGTCCACGAGGGCGTCTTTCCCCAACTTCCCCGCGTTTGAAGCCTGCAAGTTGAGACGCTAGGTAGTATTAAAAGAAGTCGATGTGCATGAATTCTACATAGTATGTATGCACTCCAAGTCGACGGGAATGAAGACGGGGCAGGCGGAGTTCCGCGCGACCGAAGGCTCGACGCTATTCTCCTATCTGCAGCGCTACCACGAACCGAAGCATTCTCTCGCGCGTTTAGTGGTGCGGTCTGGTGCGTCTGCTCCGCCCTGTGGTACCGGTACCACAGTCTGCGCATAAGCCAAAGAAGCGCCTGACATTTCAAACCCGGTCTTCCGCGGCGCTCGTCCCTTACGCCGTACCAACCAGGTTTTTCGCCCGGCCTACTCCGTACTTGCATACAGTGAGCTACGGTCTAGCTAAAACTCTAGATCGTCCGGCGACATGGATCCGTCTGTGCAAATTACTAGTACGGAGCCCTAGGAGCCTTAGGAGCCTTAGGAGCTCCATTGTAGCTTTGTGGTGGTGAGAGGGGTAAGGTGACGTTAAGCATGCCATCGAAAGGAGACTTCAACGAGACGCTCCCGGGCGGGCGCGAGCTCTATTGGTCAATGCAACTTAATTTGGGTTACTACCAACAGGTCTTGATGTGTTGCAACATGAAGCGTCTTATTTATACATGATGATTATCGCTTCGAACATTCTCAAGTCTATCATCATCAGACAACTTGGTTATAAGTTAACTAGACTTCCGAAACCTAGACCAACACTCATCTCACCTCAATATCGATCATCCATATTGACGACTCCTCGAAAAAGAAACATGAGTTCCTTTGAAATCCCGAGCGAACAATGGGCGCAGGTCGTCGAAAAGACCGGCGGACGTAAGTAAACCCTATACTACTACCCATCTGACTACCCAACACCTATCTATTTGTAGATAGGCCTACCTCATCCAGTCTCTAACATCGAATAGCCGTTCAATACAAGAAAGTTCCAGTTCCTAAGCCAGGACCTGATGAGGTACTCATCAACATCAAGTACTCTGGTGTCTGCCACACAGATCTACATGCCTTAAATGGCGATTGGCCGCTTCCCACCAAGATGCCCTTCATCGGTGGCCACGAAGGCGCAGGTGTTGTCGTCGCACGTGGCGAGCTTGTCAAGGATATCGAAATCGGAGACTACGCCGGTATCAAATGGCTGAACGGATCATGCCTGACATGCTCTTTCTGCCGACAGTCTGACGAATCACTTTGCCCCGATGCCTTATTATCAGGCTACACAGTAGATGGTAGCTTCCAACAATATGCCATCGGCAAGGCAGCTCACGTTGCCAGGATCCCGAAGGACGTCAGCCTAGAAGCAGTCTCGCCCATCCTATGCGCTGGTCTAACGGTATACAAGGCACTGAAGGAGTCCGGCGCGAGGCCCGGCCAGCAAGTCGCCATCGTCGGTGCTGGAGGTGGGCTTGGTAGCTTGGCTATCCAGTATGCCAAGGCAATGGGCTTACACACAATCGCCATCGACGGTGGTGAAGAGAAAGGCAAGCTCTGCAAGGATCTCGGTGCTACAGACTACATCGACTTCACCAAGAGCAAGAACGTAGTCCAAGACGTTAAGGCAGCAACACCAGACGGCTTCGGCCCTCATGCCGTCCTACTACTCGCTGTCAGCGAAGGTCCCTTCCAGCAAGCTAGCGAGTACGTACGTAGCCGCGGAACCATCGTTGCCGTTGGTCTACCCGCAGGTGCATACCTCAAGGCACCAGTCTTCGACACCGTGGTCCGCATGATCACCATCAAGGGCAGCTACGTTGGTAACCGCCAAGACACCGCCGAAGCGATCGACTTCTTCAGGAGAGGGCTCGTCTCCTCGCCTTACAAGGTAGTTGGCCTCAGCCAGCTGCAGGAGGTATTCGACTTACTAAAGGCCGGCAAGATCGCCGGTCGGTACGTCGTCGACACGAGCAAATAGACGGGGTCAATGGAGTTAAAAGGGGCGCAACAATGCTTTTTTCTGCGATTGTATATAAAGTTCATACAGGCGGGCTGCGATACGGCTAAACGATATGAACGAGTGTACTAATGTACCTACCAATTGAAATTTCTTATATCTTCACGGTATTTAGTGATATTACAGTGTCGATCCTTACACATGGCATCCTTTACGATTCTAACAATGCAATCCGAAGCTTTACAAGCAAAAGGAACCCTGAATGATCGTTACTAGGTTAGTCTATTGAATTCTAAGAAGACTTCATACAGTTAATATTTAGATACATATCGTCTATAGAATATGTAAATCAGACCCGTCTCTCTAAAGTCAGGGGTTAAACAGTTTGTAGGACTCCGAACATGCTCATCCCCTAACACGGCATACCTACCTAGGTACCTATCTTCGTCGTGCATAGACTACTATGTACACGAACCCCCTGTCCAAATCTATAGATCTTCGGAAGATGGCTGAAACCGCATGCCACTAGTGCTCGCAACCCATCCACTCGGGTCCGCGTCTTTAAACGCAGAGCCCGCAGCAATCTGGTCGTACCAGACCTGCCTAGTTCCCTGAGTACCCTCGTAGCCGTGGTCGTGCCAAGCATTGGCGTACAGCCCGACTCTGAACTGGAAATATCGCCCGTCGCCCACTGTTGTCGGGAGGTTGTAGGCTTCGACTACTTTCTCTCCGTCGTACCACAGTTTGAAGAACCCGGTGTTGTCGCTCTTCCAGCTAGCTTGGATCTCGACGCGGTGCCATACCCCCGCGGTTACCGTTTTTAGCTTTTTGAATTCCTTGATCTTTTGCTGGTTCGTCGGGCATACGTTGCCGTATTTGACCCTGGTTCCGAGCTGGTCGCCGTCGATCCAGACCACTAAATTAACGACTGTTAACAATTACATCTACAAAAAGAAAGCCTGGAGCGGGCTTATAGTCTCAATAGTAGCGCTTTCCGATCATTTGGGCCGAGAAATTCCAACTTCTTAGACGGTCATTGGAAAAAGATGGAGGGTTAAGAGCAATACATACTAGTACTGGGCATATAATCCTCGCCACACTTCAGATCCGAGAAATCGGCAATAAACTGGGCGATATTGTAACCCTGGGCCGGGTTGAACTGCCAGCCATCCTGGAGTCGGAAGGCAAACCCGTAAAACCCAGTGTCGCCTTTGCGGTAAACATTATACTTGACAGCTTCAGAGTGATACCGGCCATTGTAGCCCGGATCATGGATTTGTGTCATTCGAAGAGCCGTAGGACCCTTGTAAACCTGGTCTGTCACTTCATCGACGGTGCCTTTGTGTTCGTGTGTAAAGGTGTCCCATCCGGCCTTCGTTCCGGTGTTGTGCCAAAACTGCGTAGCATGAACAACCGTTAAGCCAAGAGCGAAGAGCACGTTCAATGGATTAATATGAACCATGTTGGCTAGGAAGAAAGATGAAAGAATTTGTTATCCCTATAAAGTTATGGTCTTAAAGCTCCATAGCTTTCATTTTAGAAGCACGAAGTCTTAATATCTTATATAGTACGAGCTGGTGAGAGGTGAGCTCACTGTGCTAAGCTTACATGCCTACCTGATGTATAAGGCATGTACGAGCTATCCAACCAGATTGTGAGAAATTCTCAAAACTAGTAATTCACTAGTCGATGTCAGGGGAGCTGCTTATTTGGTCCAATACCATCGTTCGCCTTCTCGATATTAACCAGGGGGGGACTTAGTTGGAAAGGGACAATGATTCTTAGATAATAAACTGTTGACCACTCACTAGGGATCTTATTTCTGAAACTGGAAAGCTCTTCTGTTCAAAAACATGACTAAGCTTACCGCTCTATGCCAAGTAGCTTAGTTTATTACTTTACAGAGCACTATTGAGTCCCTCGGTTTGATCAGATTTTTCTAATATAATATAAGGCTAGCCCGGAGCTGAATGCTAGACTATAGAAGTATATAACGCTGTTAATATAATTTGGAATTATGTATATATCTTAAAAGCCGGCACGTCTTACATGCTGCGAGATTAGTATTGTGATCAGTCACATTATACGATGATAGCGAATAGAGGTCTTATACATACTGCTCACTTACAAAAATGTACCTATCATACTCAACTCCGCTTAGAGACATACGTGAGAAGTACGTCAGCAATAGTCCGAAGATCTAACCCCGTTGAGAATGCAATAGGCTACATGATTTTACAAAATCAAACAGACCAAGAAACAACAGCATCCGGCGGACGGAGTCTATCATTTATAACCTATGTGCTCATCTAGCACTTGTCGCATTATACATCAGTCTATGCTATTATATTCGCATAATCATTAGAATACGCTTTATAGAGCATTCAAGTCTGACATATTTTGTGACGTTCCTAAGTTTTATTTGTACCTAATCCCTCTAACCGTCTTGGCAAAATAAATACAAAGAAGCACGAGAACTATCTCGTGCCGGCAATGGCGCCTCATACTCTTTCAGAGCATCCAGTATCCGAATATTGAAGTATGCAATTTTGGTAACCATCCGATCCTACCTATCCGATCCTACCTATCCAAACCATGCCAACCACGAACTGGCTAGAGTGTCCCAAATCTTTGCCATGTCCACGTAAATGCCCCTCAACCTAGTCCCACCTAGTTTATCCTAGTATGAGGTTATATACTTGTTTACCCGGATTTCTTAGTAACAGGCGTCAAATGAATATTTAATTCCGGCTTTTCCCACACGCTGAATGACCTTTGGTCCACGGTCCAGTCTCGACTATCGTCATCGATCGACATGTCGAAATTGTAAAGAATCTTAGCCAGGATGAGACGCATTTCGGCGTATGCGAGACTACAGCGCCATGTATTAGCAATTTATACCTCCCACCAAGCTTTCATACTGGAATAACAAGGCTTTGAATGAAACTTGACTGGTACTCACTTTCTACCGATACAGTTTCGCGGTCCCGTGCTAAACGGTTGCATGGCGTCCTGCTGATCATCCTTGTATTCCGGGTCGTCCAGCCACCTCTCGGGGGCGAATTTGAGAGGATTCTTCCAAAACCGTGGATCGTAATTGACGGCCCATTGGAAGACGGAGACGACAGTCTATTGCCACAAGTCGAGTAAGCGTTGTTATATACATCTGGAGAAGGGGTAGTAAATCAATTACTCACGCCTTCGGGTATAAACGTCCCTAAGATTGTAGAGCCTCCTTTAGGTGTAACTCTCGGTAGATCGCTAGTAACTGGAGGATACTGTCTCAAAGACTCGTTGAGGCACGCAAGCATGCTAGAATTCTCGTTAGCGAGCGGTACGGTTCATGGATGGGTATATAGAATGGCACTTACTAAGGTAGTTGACTAACGGACGTGAGAGTGATCTCCTGGTCGCTCCCAAAAGTAGAACGGACCTCTTCAGAAACCTTCGCGAGCTTGTCCGGGTTCATAGTCAAGAGATATGTGGCTCCGCTCAAAAGTGTGGCTGTAGTTTCTGAGCCCGCGATGATCAGTAGATTTGCGTTGCTAACAAGAGTTCCGAAGTCTATGCCCAATTCATCCTTCTTTTTAATCAACCCTTCGATCAAGTCAGGCCTCTCTTTGCCAAGTTTGATTCTCTCCTGGAGTGTTTCCGAGACGAGGTTGAGGTTCTCCTTATTCTTGCCCATTAATCCCAATCGGTAAATATACTTCACTACCGGCCGTAAGCCCAGATGCGCCAAGCTCTGGAATGCGGATGACTCCCTGAAAGTCTCTGTAATGAGCTTCACCCAAGGATGGTACTATTGTGAGTTAGTAATTGTTTCCATATGGTCATGGGGTTTAGTGTCGTCAAGCAGTCGGATGGTGTCAAGAAAATAGTGTTTGGTATCACATCACATACGCCTGTGCCCTCTAAGCAACCGAATGGCCTCCCGAAACCCAGGTCGCCGATGACGTCGAATGTTGTCCAGTTGTACCAGTCTCGCATGTTAAGACGAGCCGCACCATTCTGGGCGTTCTCGTGTAGCCGTTGTATCAATAGTTCCACATATCCCTTGATCAAAGATTCTTGCTCTCGCATCGACTTATCAGAAAACCCGTGTGAAAGTTGCCGGCGAAGGATTGCATGTTCCTTACGTCGACTGTGATAATGCTCTGAGGGAGATCGGTATTTGCTGAGTAGAATTCTATAGGCTTCGAGTTAGCATCCGCACATGTCAAGTATGTTTCAAATAGAGCTATAGTAGGAAAGGATAAGATCATGTTTTCAAATATATACAACAAAGTAAAATCTTTTAAGATCATATTGTTCTGGTTAGCATCCATAAAATACGACGTAAGCTATAAAGACCCGCTCGAGAGTCATAAGATGGAATCACCGGTCTAAGAGTAGCTTACCTGGCCATTTGTAGTTCTCTGGGGCATTGCCGACACGGTGGCCATATATATCTTTCCATGCTTAGGGGTCGCTGAAGACAACTTCGTAAGGTGTGAGTCGGAGGACTGGTCCGTATTTGGTGTGCAACTCTCGAACTTTAACGTGTATATCGCCTTTTAATATGTGATAAACTCGCGGCAGATTAGTGAGACGCCAGAGTAACGGCCCGGGGATGGAGCGTAAAGGACCCAAGAAGAGTCTATAGAAGATACCCCCTACAATGTAGAGAGATATCTAATTAATATAGTGTAAGCATTAAGCAGACCGGTAACTTTTAGACCTTCATTTAAAAGCTGGACGTTCTGTGACTTACACATGCTGCTCCTATCAAAGGAACATTAACGGGATTGCCAAACTCGAAAATAGGCGCCATAGTGAACATCGAGTGCCAGAGCTTCTAGTTGAGTTACGTCTTTGCTTTTCTCTTAAGCAGATGTTCTTCGTGCCACTAGTAACGGGGAATGTCCTGACTTATATATCGGGAATTTAGACTCCCCATACTAATAAGCCCTTACGAAAGGATATTCGATGGCAGTACAGTATACGGTATCGATAATCCCAAAAGACATCAACACAAGCTTTAACCTCTTCGTAGCGGATAATGCACCCCTGCTACGAGGCAACCATTCTCAGCCATTTTCCGACGGCCCTGTGCCGTCCCGTAATCATTTACACCTACCTTACGATTCGATAATTAGGAATTAGATGAGGAATTTCTCAGCCAATAGCAGAACAGAGTTTCCGAACTGATCTACGTATAGAGGTTAGACTACATCATGATCCTTGTGGTAGATCACCCGTTAGCACTGGAGGATTTATGTTGTTTTGTATAACCTCCCCCACAGACGATCCCGGCCCGCACAGTCCCGGTGCACAAGGTACACGTCGGCAGTCCAAGACAAGGTTATAAATCTAGAACAGACCCATATCTATTGGTTGAATGTAATTGCCTTGCCATATCATGTACATAATACGATTCGTCGCATCGATTGTCGTAACGTCTTCGCCCCAATGGGCAAAGCGCCGAGACGGCAGCCCTTCCGAATACGCAGGAGGTACGGCGTCATCAAGTTGAGGAACTCGACGGGCTCTTCGAGGAGCCCGAAGTTTTGCTCGCTTAGCAAAAGCCGATGTCTCCATGAAATCCGTAACGTAGCAGTACCGGACCATCGTTCAGCCGCATGAAAAGAAACTCTCCGAACTAAATTTATATTTCTTATCTACAGTAAGGCACTGCTAATTATAGTCTTACGACTGCGTAACCCAACAGAGTTCATATTTTGTAAGTAGAGGCCACCCCCCCAGGTAAGACAAAAGCCTAAGATGTACACCATACCATATTCTTATAATAACATTGTCAATTAACGTAGTTGTACATAAAAGAAGTCGTTTAAGTTACAGGAGAATAATATTAATAACATTATAAGTCTAAGAAGGCTAGCTATGGCGTTGAGTATACTCGTATACATAAATAGAAAACATGATTGTATAAGACAGGAAATTTTGCAAAAGATAGCAAGGTATATGTCATGAATAGGAAAGTTTTACTAGCATTTAACACAATAAATAAATCGTAAGGTAAACAAACATTAGGCATTTAAAGCCTATTATTACAATTTACCTGGTAGGGGGTTATGTAAGTCCTGACCTCTCTCATCTGATACTCCACTGATAAAGCCGGGTATACATACATAAATGATATGTAAGATCTATACATTGCAACATAAGCACCTTAATTAAAGAGTTAAAGGATACATAAAACCCTTGGACTACATGTAGTCCATGAACAACGAGGTGACATATACAGTTGAGCTTCTGTTATCGAATGATACCGTAGAAAATAGTAGAGAAGGGGTAGTAAACCCCCGTGGAAACGATTGGATATATTATATACTAGAAATAGTAAAGTCAAGTATAATGAGACAAATGCCTGGGGGTATGTAGAATGAGGTATTGCACTGCCCCAAACACCAGGAGCATGAAACGCCCAACTCCGCTGGTAACTATGATGCATTCCTTTTTCAAACATGACTTAAAATGATAAAAGAGACATAATTATTTGTAGCCCGGAAGTATCCCGGGAGATAACCCCAACCCTTACGCCATAATGCGACCCCAGGCTGCGCATAATTCCGCAGCAAGACTCAATAGGTCCTATGGTATTAGGCGCCAACCCTTACGCCTGTAGAGGACGAAATACCCCTTTCAGTGGAGCCGTGGTTCTCATCAGGTTCTTGTGCGGCACCGCCATCCGACTGATCAGCCATCAGGGGTTTCTTTGGATCATACCCAACCGACTTGACAATTCCCAGGCCCTTGGTTCGCCCTTCACGAAATAGAAGTCTGTCGCCCGGGGCCAAGTATTCTGGACGCTGAACAAATCGGAATGCTACAGTCGCCCGGTCACCAGTTCGTATGAAGGGGCGGTCTACATCGATTATTGCGCATGTCTGGGAGACTGGCCCGACATGGAGCATTGCCTGATATTTGGTCTTGATAGTAGTCGCGTGTGAGAGAATCAAGACCTCAGCAACAAATTCACGGTAAACTTTAGGAGGTGGTTGCCCCTCAATTCTTGGTAAGACTACCATTCCTTTCCTCACATCTTTTCGGCGTATTTTCTTCAATGCGAAACTGGCGGATTGGCCTGCGGACGCTGCGGGTACACTGATTCTTTTTCGCTCGATGGACCGAATGCTAGTTTGAGTGAACTGACCCAACGAGTCCGGTCCGATTAAAACGCTATCGCCAGTATGTACTATCCCTGACTTGACGATACCGCTGACTACCGTACCAACGAAAGGGACAGAAAAAGTATCATTAACATGGAATTCAAAAGGAGCGTCTGAGTCATAACGTCCATGATGCGGAAGGATATTCAAGAAAGCGCGAACAAGGTTAAGATTCTCGCCGGTAACGTTGGAGACCTGGAATATAGGACATATTCGTTGACTCACAAACTGGGTAGCGGTGTTGATACACTCTTCGCGATTGTTAATAAATATAGGCATTTTTCGTGCTGCTGGAGATTTTAGGATTTTGGTAATCTGCTGGATGGTTTGCTCCAAAATATTTGGAGGACAGATGTCAATTTTGGTAATCACCACCATAATTGGGACATTTAAGGCCAAAGCGATACCAAGATGTTCTTTACTCATACCAATTAGCCCATTATTGGCGGCAACCATTAGCAAACAATAATTAGGGCTGCTAGACAACAGGCCAAAGACTGTAGTTCGTAGATATCGTTCGTGGCCGGCTAAGTCAGTGAAGGTGATCACTTTAGCGCTGCGTTTGCCGATTTCTTCCCACGACAGTTTCCCTACGTTACAGTAAGCGGCAAGAAAACAACGGTTAGGATTTTGAATAACTTACTCCCCGGGGTGTCGGATGTGACAACATTTCCCATGGAATCGAAACCCATTATTTCCATCCCGACAGAACTGGTGCGACCAGTTTCTATCTCGTGCTTATGACGGAAGAGATTGACGCGAGCCTTCCCTCGCCCATCGTCGAGGTCTCCCTTAACTAAAACCCCAAGCATGGAGCTCTTCCCGGCATCAACTGTATATAAGTGTTAGCGCAGTTATTTATATCATTCTACACGTATACCAAACTCACCATTGCCAACAACGGCTATTCTCGTTTCGATTACCTGCTCAATTGTAATAGGGGTTTGCCGTATTAGAATTTTCCCGGTACAGTCTTTGTCTTTACTCTGGTTCCCTGCAATTGTTGACTCAGCTTCGACGTCGCCTCCAACATTCTTGGTGAGCAATATGTCACAGTCTGCGTGTGCCTTCTTAGCCGTTTCTTTTAAACGACGTAATGCAATTTTCCACTCATCGATGGTAAAGCGCATCGATTCGCCGCTATTCTCGAATCCTAAGTCGAAAACTGCCTCTCCATGACCCTCTAAAAGTCGTTCGTCGATGTACTCGGAAAGTTTCTGTTGAGCCGTTGCATCATCGGAAGGGGCGAGTAGGAGATCGCGCAATGGTACATGAGGTTCGGAATCGCCCAGGTTTAACGAGTCGAGAATATCGAGCTCTTCGTGGTGCTCAACGCTGTCGGTGGCTTTGGCACTCGGGTATCTCAATGCTTGTTGCTTTTCAACAAATTCAGCGAACTCGCTTAGGGCCTTATAACTAAGTTAGCAAATTATATCGAGAAGATGCAAATTTCTGACGTACCGCTTCTCCTTTTCGCCGTTCATGCGGCAGCTGTTTCGCGCCTTTGCTCGTCATATTTGCTAGTATATTCGAATGATCATTGAGAGAATGAGGGAGTATTTGAATGTGTGAGTGTGTAGGTCAAGTTGGCTATAACAGGTAGTTATTATTATTGATAATAGATATGAGCGAGAGATCAAATAAGGTGAAAACTTGAAAGAACTAAGTACCTAGGTAGGTACCTAAGTTACCTCTTTTAAAGTTCCTCGAGATCGAGTCATAAAGTCAGTCGGTCAATGAGTAACTCGGGCGAGCTCGGGGCAAGGCGCAGCGCGCACCGTCATATCTTAATCCTTACACAATCCCCAAGTCAAGCCACATGAACCCTACCACGTTTCCGAAAGCTCCCCGCGCCGCTAAAGATTCCCAGCTGTTTATCGATAACAGCCCAGTAAGGCTAATTGTCGACAAGAGCCAATCACCTTCAACTAATTGCCAAGTGCGATAAGAAATGATATATAGGTAGGTACTTTTACATAGGCCTACCTATGTTGATATCGCATAAGAGATATGGTTCCATCTTGAAATACCGCCGTCCTAGAACAAAAACCGGGAGTTGTTATAATTCGTTACTCTAGAATTATAGTGAGCCCAAAGATTACATAAGACAGGATTTCTTTATAAAACATGAATTAATCAAAATACTTGAGTATACATAAAATACTCACAGCATAGGTACCCTCGTATATACGTGCGGCTAAGCTATTATATAAGAGAAACAACCCGTGGGCCTAGACACTTCTAATGATAAATTGAATATGCCTGCTAAACACGTGCCTGGACTAAATTAGATGACCATTTCGATAACCACATGCAACTTACCTATACGACAACAAGTGCCTCGACTGTTTTAAGGGAGATTGGTGACGACCTCCAACTATTATATAGCCGAGTACCTAAGATACACACGAACTGATATTCAAATCCAGCAGATACCTGATATTCCCCAGGCCGCTTCCCCTTCAGGCGAGGGTCTTACGCTCGAGCACCTTTAAGCGCACATTAGTGGGGTTGACTGTACAATATAGAATATTTCTTACCAGATAGAATTGTAGTATTATATCGTAACGGCGGTGGGAGCCGAAGATAGTTTCACGTGGCCAACTTTGTTAGTCTATTACCCAGAGTGAGTAACTCGAATAAGCCATACGGCATTCTCGCGTAGTGTAACGAGACAATATATCGTACTACCTAGCACGACCCTATAAATTAATTCCAAGCCGTCTCTGGTCCGGGTTCCAGATGCAAGGTCGTGTCCATATTCTTTAAATACTGACTAGTGGCTTTTTCATGCTGCGGGATCACCTAGCTAGAATTTTGGACCGGCGAAACTGGTATCGGTGATCATAGGTAAGCGGGATTGTCTTCCGTTTGTACGTACATGACAAGAGAAGAAATATATGTCGCCAATGAGAAACTCCCTATAGCATAGGAGAGGTAGTATCCTATCCTGCTAGCTTCTCTAGGGCAACCTTGGCCTAGACTCGGCCTAGGCAATATCTCCTGTTATAACGCCGTTTCCACTCAATCTGGATAGTGGCCGATTTGGCGCCTAGACCTCAACGTTATTTATCTCTTGTCCTAGACGCTATTAACTTCATTCGGTTTCCCATCACGGAGATGAAGGGACCGGCAGTTCAGAAGCTAGTCTTCAAGGGGTCAAGAAGCTTCTGGGGAATTGGGGTAGCTAAGCACAATCTGAACGCGTGAAGCGGGGAATTCTTTAAGAAATGAGCATTTGGGGAAAAGACATGTGGAGAAATTTGGGGACTAGCCTTAGAGAGATAAGGTTGATGAATATGATCGGAAACAACATCCGATCTGCATCCCGCGTCGAGGCTTGCCCTGTCATGTGTTACTTGATTTTGAATCTACATCTCAGTAACGAACGATTGTGAGACCCAGGTTACCGGGTCCGCTGATCTTCACCGATTCTAGTAGGGATCTATTACTGCTTATCTCACGATGAACATTCATCTATCGTAGAAGTTAACGGTCGAAGATATGAAGAATTTTGAGTTATCATGTTAAAGGAAACCTAGTGACCTAGATTCGTGATAATATGTTCGCATGATAAAATGAACTGTTGATAAAATATACGATGCAAATGTATATACGAGGTTCGACGTGTAAGGTCCATAGGAGGCTACGGCGTGAAGTAAGAGTTTAGAACGTGACCCTGTTCTAGCCCAATCTTCAACCAATTCTAATGAACTGAGAGGCAAAGTAATTTAATCAACCGAACAAGATATTGATTTATGATGTCTCTGTAGCGGCCTTTGGATTATTCAAGCGGATAGCTAGACGCTATGGCGATTTCAAGCCGGCAGAACCGAAGGTTTCGTGACATTAGTTTTGACAGTGCAGCTCTCGTGGGTCCGGCCCGTCTACGCCGGAGAATAACGATAAACTACTCCATTGGAGGATATGGGTTCCTGCTAAGTCACTTCCATCTTCAATTGATTTCAGTCCGTGACCAAGCAGCAAGCTGCGCTCGTGTAAACTGCGTATGACCCCTGTACACGGGCCTACAAACCCAGGGGAACCGCAAATCATTTCCTCATTTAACCGGATCGTGAATCTGATTTGCTATCTTCACCCAAGACTCTGGGCTATGGAACGAAAGAGGACCGTCTTTCCTTTCTCGTACAATGTGGTCCATGATCTAATCCTGCATTCGCCTCCGCAAATGACTTTGTGGTCTAAGTAGACTTGCGTTCACGATGAAAATAAAAAGGCAGTTTGGCCATGTCATTTTTTGATCTTGAAGTTCAAGCAAGCCACCAGCTTCAGACTTCTCACTTATCACACCATCTCAGCATAGTACCTACCACTTGCTAAGTTCTTTCTCTTAAGATGTACAACAAAGCTACCGCCGCCGCTTTGGCGACTCTGCTGGCTCTAGGTCATGCCCAGGAAATCGGCAAACAGGACGCCGAGACACATCCCAAGATCACCTGGCAACGCTGTACTGGACCCAATAAGTGCTCCAACGTCAACGGCGAGCTCGTCATCGACTCCAACTGGCGATGGACTCACGTAGTGGATGGCTACCAGAACTGCTACGACGGAAATGATTGGAACAAGACTGCATGCCCGGATGCCGACACTTGTACGAAGAACTGTGCCATCGAGGGTGCCGATTACTCGGGGACGTATGGTGTGAGCACTTCCGGCAACGGGGTGACCATGAAGTTCCAAAATCAACATCAGTATGGTACGAATATAGGGTCCCGCCTTTATCTCATGAACGGCGCCGATAAGTACCAAATGTTCACAGCCAATGGCAACGAAATCGCCTTCGATGTTGAAAACGCTGACCTGGGTTGTGGTCTGAACGGTGCTGTGTACTTCGTGTCCATGGACGAAGATGGTGGAAAGACGCGCTATCCGTCTAACAAGGCCGGTGCTAAGTATGGTACCGGATACTGCGACTCGCAGTGTGCTCGAGATCTGAAGTGGGTTGGCGGCAAGGTAGGCTGGACTCAAGCAGTCCCAATATCTAAATAGGACGTTAACTAACTTTGCGCTTCTTATTTTAGGCCAATGTCGAGGGCTGGGCACCATCAAAGACGGACAAGTCTTCTGGCATCGGTAACGCGGGAGCCTGCTGTGCTGAAATGGATTTGTGGGAGGCCAACAGCATGTCCTTCGCATTGACTCCTCATCCATGCAAGAAAGACGGATACTTCGTCTGCAACACGGGGGATTGTGGCGGTACATATTCTGAGGATCGCTACTCGGGTAGCTGTGATCCTGATGGCTGTGACTTGAACCCGTTCCGTCACGGCAACACCGATTTCTACGGCAAGGGAAAAACGATCGATACCAGCAAGAAGTTCACCGTCGTGACCCAATTTCACGGCTCCGGTACATCTCTTACAAGCCTCTCTCAGTATTTCATCCAGGACGGCAAGAAGATCGAAGTTCCCAAATCCAAATACATTTCTGGTGGCAGCACGATCGATGCTGGCTTCTGTGGTACGTTTTTGTTCAAATATCCACACATATCAATACCGCTAACGCTGAATCCTATAAATAGATGCTGCTAAGGATATCTTCAAGGACAACAAGCAGTTCCAGCAGATGGGCGGTTTGAAGACGATGGGCCAGGCTACCGGCAAGCCTATGGTCTTGGTCTTATCCGTCTGGGATGATGTAAGTGGAATATATCACTTGCTTTTAGCAGATAGTGCAATCTGACATTTCGGTAGGCTTACGCCAACATGCTTTGGCTAGATGGCCAGAAGTACCCTCTTGACCGCGCCGCGTCCGAGCCGGGCGTTGCCCGCGGCGAATGCGACGTCAACGGTAGCAAGCCCGAACATGTCCGCGAAAAATTCAAGAACGCCAAGGTCACTTACAGTAACATCAAATTCGGACCCATCGGATCGACTTACAACCTTTAAGTTGGCGTATGCTCCCCACTCCCCGCAAAGGCGGTTGTGGCCTAGACATGAAGGATCCGTTCACTTCGTTGTCATAATTCTAACAATAGTTAGTTTGTATGTACGGAATAGTTAAGAGATATGTAGAAGCAAAAGAATTCAAGGAAGGGTTTTCATCGACATTCTCCACCAAACATAATTTCCATTTCGAATACACACTACGTCTTACGCCACTTGTAATAATATTGACATATGACGTGACATACCCAAGGCGCCTAATAGTACCTGTCATTGATCACTTGTTGGTAACAAGACATAGTTAGGTCCATGAGATGTGTCACACTTCGTATCACCTTCCCGTCCTGTAAAATCGACGATCTAAAATTGATGTTGATGACGATACTTCAAGAACTATAAGCCTATGACAAGCGAGGTCTCCATAGCAACTATGCCGAATAGAACGAGGATGGAATAGCCGATATGAGGTATCGCGAACAAGAAATTATAGTCCCTATGTATTTGCCCTTGCCCAGGGAAAAATCTTTTTTCATCGATGGATCGGCGGCAAGTTGCGGCTCACAAAAAGAGTGGATTAAAATATCCACAGAGAAAGAAAATCTAGTTTGCGGGTGTGGATAAAGGTGGAAAGTTGAGACAGCTAAGAGAAAATTTGGGTGAAAATATTTCAGGAGTTGTGACCAGATGGGGCTTCAGAAGATTTAAGTTAGGTAAGTTCGGTGAGCCCCGCCGGGTTACATAATTGCCCATTAATTGTATGGGGAAAAAATGATTTTCCAGCATTTGCTATAGAACCTTGCAGTTGCCCGTTACACCATGTCATATGTATCATGTACCTAATGTACAGAAGTGCAAAAACAATTCATTTGATAGCCGTGGATTTTCGATATGAGATCGATTTTAAAGGATCTACTTCGTACCGAGTTCAAAATCTCAAATTATTGCGTAGCAGCTATGATAAGTTAGGTACCTTTCCAAGGTAGAGTCCCACAGGCCTATTCCAAGATTGGATAGTCAGGGGAATAATCAGATTTCAAAAATTGATCCTTTTTGCCGTTGTTTTCCATTTGGCATTTTCCTTGTTCTCTTCTAGAACTTAGTTCGGATATCTTCCAGGTCCTTCGCCCACTTCCGCCGGCCTCCGATTTGGTAAACTGTCATACCGCTGTGGATCTCATAGGGTAACGATCGAGTAACGCGGCCCACTAGCCCATCGGGGTCGTGGCTCTCCTATGTATGGCTCTCTAGTGGTTCCAGCGGCTATCGTATGTTCTCCGTCCTTCACGATGGCTTCGATCAAGTGGGTCTATGAAATTTCTTACCAGATCATGGTAAGGAGTCCGCCACGAATACATACATACATAGAGCTTTGTCTATTTCCCGAATTAGCCAAAATAGGTGATCCCAGCTCACGAGTTAATTCGGCGGTGTGGTCGTCTCCATTATATTACAACGTCCGATGAAGGCGTCATTGTCAGTAGTTGAAATGGCATTATTTGGTGCGTAATTGCTGTTTGCATGGTAGGTATTGCATCAGCTGCTCCGTCTTCCCCAGCTAACCTTATACGGGTTCTCTATGTCCATATGCTCCGACCCCGTAATGTGTGCAGGGCTGATTGCGGGGCACTTTGCGGCGTTTATGTTGCGGAAGTTAGTTGTGTAAGGGGTGTAGTATGGTTTGCAAAAAATCTTATAAGACAAGCCGAGAAGGAGTCAGACAAAGAGCAGCAAATCAGTTACAGGCGCTTGAATGCGTGCTGAGCCCCCCGTGACCGCTGCGACTTAGTGGAGGAGCTTGAGAGCCTTGCCCGCCTGTAACTTGTAGAGTTTGCGCTATAACTACAAGGGGCCGGATCCAGTCCGTAGGTCTCAATCCATGACACATAATTACTTGATGGAAAGCTCTGTTGAAAGCATGATGCGAAGCAAGCCTTTAATTGCGCCAGCTACATAACGTCTTGGTCACCCGCCATATTATACCACGATGGAAACTTTATTATTAGTATTAAAATATAACCTCAAAGGAAGACGTAAGCGTTAACGAAGCAAAGTACACCGAAACTCGACTACGTTCTAATATCACCTTTGCCTGTCAGCCCTACACCACTTACACACACCAACTTACACCACTTACACGATCCACCCAACTACACTACATAGCAACGCCGCACAAGTTTACCACGGGCTGTTTTTATCTTGTTTTATTTTAGAAACACGCATACAAGAAGAACCAATCGAGGTCTAAGACCGTTGTTAGCCATCCTTCAGCTTTTTACCTTGTCATCGTTCCATCGAGACTCTTTCGTGGTGTGCACTTAAGGACATCATCACGGCCAATCAAAAGCTTCCAACGAATCTTGAATATTTCCAAAAAGGGACACATCAAGTGCCAGTACCAGAAATCGTGGTAAAGAAGAGCAAGAAAGTGTGGTTGTATTTCGCCATTGCCCTCGAATCAGGCATTGTTCCCTAGATTTCACAGCACTGCCTAGCATTGCCCAGCATTGGCTCAGCGCAACAAAGAGGTGGCCTCCACGCGGGTGCATTAGTTCAAGTTCAGGTTTTACCTAGATCCATCGGCATCGGCATCGAGCAGCAAGCAGCAAGCGAATCGCAGTCGCACCTACTTCATTCTCTAGCTTGGATAACTCTAGCGTTGTTAAGACACAAGGAAGTCACACGACGTCAGAGGATCCACAGGTCTAAGTGACCCAAAGCTATTGATCAAAATGCCACATCGAGTAGTAGACTTTTTTAGGTCTTCCAACGACAGCATTCACAATATTAAGGCGTCCGTACAACGAAGGAGTAATCCCAACTCTCGATCCGCCTCCAGAGAACGGCCAATCGCAACTACGGTGCTCGAAGGTGCCGCTGATCACACTCAATCCTTGATTTCCACCGCGCCTCCCGTAAAGATGGCCGAACCTCTCAAGGAAAAACATAAGGACTCTCATAGCCACCATCGCCTAAGTTTTCCGAGCTTACATCTTGGTGGGTCTAAATCTTTCAAGGAGCCATTGCAAAATCCCAATGCGTCCTTAGATTGGAAAATCGAGTCTCCACCAGTTGTCATGCACGGCGAGCCGGAGAACAGCACAGGCGCCTTGGTTTCAGGTCAATTATTACTCGACGTCAAGGAGGATGGGTTTGAAGTCGAAAATTTCAGTGCCAGGTTAAATATCCATGTCACACAGAAAAGACCATTTTCAGGCCACTGCCAGCAATGCTCGGTTCGAACGACAGAGCTCAAGTCCTGGACGTTCTTGAGCGAGTCAACGATTCTTTCTAAGCGTAAGTCCAACCTTACCTTTTCCGGACACTTTTCTTAATATGTGACTTACACTATATGCAGGCGTTCACGAATTTCCTTTCTCTGTTCTACTAGATGGACATCTACCTGCGACAACGGACAATGCGATTGTTGCTATTCGATACGACTTCTTCGCGGAGGCTACGCCCCGAACAGGGCCTACTGTCAAGCTCACGAAGAATATCGACGTAAAGCGATCACTACAAGTGCCAGAACTGCCTCACCACAGCATTCGCGTATTCCCCCCAACCAACATCGCAGCTAGCGTACACTTCACGCAAGTTGTACATCCTATTAGCACTAACACATTCAACCTACGCCTTGACGGTATCGTCAAGCACAACCCCGATGTTAAGACTGTGGAGTATTGGAAGCTAAAGCGGCTTTCATGGAAGCTCGAGGAAAACATGGAGACCATAGCGCCAGCATGTGAGAAGCATGCGCCAAAAGATCCAGAAACCGGCTTGCCAACGAAGAAGGGTTCCAAGCGCAACGACGCACGGATAATAGCGCATGCGGATATGCATAGCGGCTGGAAGTCGGACTACTCTCCATCTGGATGCATTGAGATGGAAGTCCAGTACCAGATTGCACCTAATACAAAAACTGTGTGTGACATGAAGAGCGAAGATGGTACCCAAATTACACACCAATTAGTTGTGGAGATGGTTGTTGTCCAAGAATACGCACCTACTGCTCAGCCTAAACATATCACGCCTACTGGAGTAGCACGTATATTACGAATGCACTTCGGTGTCGTGATAACGGAGAGGGCGGGGTTGGGTGTCAGTTGGGACAACGAGGCACCCCCAATCTATCAAGATGTTCCGCCTTCTCCCCCTTCCTACTCGTGCGACATACCCTACGAGAGCATCGAGAGTGTCGAGGATTTGACACTAAGTCGACGAAGTCAGGAGGTTGGGAGCAGGGCCCAGAGTCCAGCATATGAGGAGCGAGCACCGTCAAGTGCGGGAGCCGATGAGGCCGCACGTTAGGATCCGTCCGACCGCCGGCATGGCATGTTTAGACGATGTTCGTTGTTGAATAAGTTGCGGAAAAAGTAGTGTGGGTTTCATTTGTCTTGCAGGAAATATTATACCCCATAAGCGATGCTTCAACGGATTGTCAGAGCTTTTTTTTGCATTGGACGAGGATAGATAGAAAGGTGGAATTCTTCCACCCACAGCTCACAGCGCACGGTATTGGCACGGAATTTGAGAGCCGCAGTCCAGACGGCAGTTAGACATACCCAACATGATGCCGCAAAAGGCAACATGATAATTAATATAATGAAAGATAATTTTCGAAATTTACGTTAATTTAAGTAATCGTAATAATTAGTTCGTTAGTGAATCATGATGCTCGGATTAGTTAGAGTAAATGGTTCCGAATTAGTAGGTATTCGGATTCCATCGAGTGATCAAGATTTCAGATAGTATACTATGTATTAGTGACCAGGATAGACGAGGCTTAATAGGCTTATTTCAGAGAGAATCTACAATTGGCAAGAAGTGCCTGTTTAATATTTGGCAGTTATGGAAATTTAAGCTGAAGTTATGTGTAATAACTATAGTTAAATGTAATAAGTTTTAAAAATTAGAGAATTAATATTTACATAGTTCGTAAAAATGAGACTGCTCGGGTGTCCAACTCACATCAATTCAAGATCAGTCTGTTAGATTTTCAAGAACGTTGATTATTGGATAAGGTGACAGCGACAGATAATGATGAGTAGTGCAACGACTCGCGAGAAAAGATTTCCAAGCTGGTTCATCGTTGAAATTAAAGTTGCAAGTGATGCGTTTGGATCTGGCGAAATGCCATAGGTCGACTTTGTCTGCCCTCTTTGGACCTGAGAACTTACACCACAACCCGAATATTTCCAAGTTTGGGAGAAAGTTCCACCGGTCGACTGCGAAGTCAACCAATAATCTCTTCACGATCTCGGGGTTGAACCTATACTTATCGTTGTCTGCAAATAGATTCACTTCTTCTAAAGAAGGTGGTAGGATCCTAACCAAACGTGGAATAGCTTCGAATGCCTCAGGCGGAATCTTTCGTAAGATATCCTCGCGAATTAACCCCCCTCTCTCCTCTGTTTCGAACGCGGGGGTGTGGAATACCCGGACATCAAGATCAAGCCTTTTGAGGCTTGTGAACTCCTTCATGGAGGTTACCCCGTTGGTTACATGACCATCGAGATACTCCAGCGTTACGATCAGCTCTTCCAAGTGATGGCCCACATTCTTCCCAATAGCAGCAATGAAGGCGGCTGCATCCCAGCGATCCAGCGCAGGCCTGCTATTATTCTTAGACACATAGCTAAACCTGAACGATTCTAGAGAGGGCATGCGGGAAAGTAGGTGAGATATACTGCCGCTATCCACATAAGTATGCTCTAATACGAGTTTGCGCAAGCCCAAACTCATATCCAGAGAGTGACGGTGGTATCCTAATGTGAGCGGTCCGCCACCATAATCCTCACAGTTAGTAAGGGATAATGATTTAGGATCTGGTGTAGTAAAAAATGACAACAAGGCGCGTAGGTCCATCTTCTCGTTGTTGTTTTCGAGGTCCCGAATCCACACCTGGGCCAATTGTCCTAGAGATGCCCCCTCGGGGTTCTCCTCGATCCTCCGACTGATCGTCTCCATCACACTCCGCGCCTGCGAATAGTACTCGTCATTCCAGGGAGATGTAGCCGGTAATTCCATAGCGTGTCGGTAACTTAGCGGCGGGGATAACATCAAGGACTTGAGGTTGGGCAAAAGCGTGAGTACAAATGTGCCCATAAATACCAAATATTTATCGCGGCCTTCGGTATCGAGAACCTCAACTTTAGAAAGCATAAATCTTGCCCATTCCTCTAGGTCTACTCCGGCACGGCGCAAATATGGCGATTCCATGATAAACGCTCTCAAGCGCTTCATAGCCAGCGGATTTCCGGTAAGACGTTTGCGCGGGTAGACCACGTCCGGCCCCCTCCGCCGCTGGCAAAAATCGACATGCCAGACATATCTTGCCACCACTGGATTATTCGCGACGCTGTAAATCCAGGTGACGATAGGCACGTAGTCCAAAATGCCTTCGAAATTGAGATATCGATTTTCTCGAATATAAGAAGCATGAGTATCGATTAAAGACCTCCCGCATTCGTAAACATAGCGACAAGTCAACATCAGCTTCTCAAACCCCTCGGGCATCGACTCCTGGATGACCTGGTGGAGAATCTCCGGGGGAAAATCCACGAGAAGCATAATGAATAAGTAGGACCTCGCGCAGGGAGGATTATAGATAGGTATATAGTTAAAATAATTATCGGGTTGAGACCCCTCATGGCGAGGAGTGTCGAAAGTGAATCTCACCGTAGCCTTATGATGCAGGAATTCATGTTAAGCTGCTGCGCCACAACTGGACATTAGGCGAATTCAGGCATCAGACTATTTAATGTAACGTCCCATTTTATATAACTACTATAACTACGGAGGAATATCTTTATATGTTTCAAGTCCGTTAAGGCATAGCTTTATCTGCTATCTTCTATCTACCTACTTATGAACTTGAGATAAAGAATATGAAGGAATTAGTTCACCAATCATATAGGAAAGCATCCTTATGTATGTCTTAAGTACTAGGCTAGTTAGTTACACTTATTATTATAAGATGCAATAGATACGCTAATTAATCTCGAGTTGGGGACTCGGTTTAGTGTGAAGAGTCTTTAAAAGTCAAGTATCTTCAACCCATCTTAATCATCTACCCCCCACAATATTAATTATATTATAGGTCAAAAGTTCTAATAATTTATGTAATCGAGCATCGCGTTCAATTGATCCAACATTAGCCGGAAAGGAAGTTTGTGCTTCAATTACTCTTTTCGTACAGTCCGATTGCGCCATCGATCCGACCAAAGTCGGCAGCGTCTAAGGCGGGGAATTGCATTGCATTGACACGGTATCACAATTTCAATTTCAATGCCCAAACGGCTCAAACTCCATAACATACATACCTCATACATACATACATACAAACAAAAACTTTACTTAGACTAAGTTTATTAAGACCGCCCCAATCATGAGAAACGTCCTGATTGAAAACCCCTCAGGCACCCCCGTGGCTGAGATGGCTACGAATAGTGGTTTGGCGGGACACAAGATCCTGCTAATCGTGCCCTGGGACCCTCCCGCGGGATACGTCGATGGCTTGCGCAAGACCTATCCCGGCCTCAAGGTATTCCATATTCGTTGGGATAGATGGAGCAAGCCCGACCTCCCACCCAATATTACGCCTGAGGATTGGAAAACAGTCACTATCCTTCTCATTGGCCCTCAGTTCCCTACTAGAGAACAGGCGCCTGCGCTGCAGCTGGTACAACTTCAGAGCGCCGGGGCAAATTATATATTAAACAATCCTCTGTTCACCGAGACTGATATTGCTTTTTGCACTGCCAATGGCGTTCATCCGTAAGTCTCATTCGTCTGTGTTATAGTACAATGTCAAATGTGTCCGAACCTGTCAAAACTGACCTCGAACCGCTCATAACACTAGACCGCAAATCGCAGAATGGGTCATAAGCACATACCTCGCTTTCCAGCATAATAGTGAGTGTTCCAAACACGATTCTGCTAAAAATCCTAACTCTGCCATTCATAGTCCCGCATTTCCTCGAACATCAGAAAGCGCACAGGTGGGAGCATAGTTATGACGACTCGGACACCCAAGATGCTGTCAACCAACGGGTGTAAGTCTTGCTATTCTAAAAATTGACTTTTAAATATCGACGCTGACAGTGCTACGTAGCGGCATATTTGGATACGGAAGTATCGGAAGACAGGTGGCACGAATAGCCAAAGCTATTGGCATGGAAGTGTATGCGTACACGAACAGACCTAGGCCTACGCCCGAGTCTCGTCGCGACAACTCATACATCGTCCCGGGCCTCGGCGACCCAGAAGGATCTCTCCCGTCAAAATGGTTCTCGGGGACGAAGCCAGAAGAAATCCACGAGTTCCTCTCCGCGGACCTGGACCTCCTCGTGCTAGCCGTGCCCCTAACGCCCCAGACACAGGGGCTTATCGCAGCGCCGCAGCTCAAGCTCCTCCAGAAGAAACACACCTTCGTCAGCAACATCGGCCGGGGCCCTGTCGTCAACACGGACGACCTGGTCATCGCGCTCAACGAAGAATGGATCCGCGGCGCCGCCCTCGACGTCACGGACCCGGAGCCCCTGCCGAAGGGCCACCCGCTCTGGGACGCCAAAAACGTCATCATCACGCCTCACATCAGCGGTAAGTCGACGAGCTATAACCGCCGCCTGCTGGATATCCTAGACATTAATCTTCGTAACTTGAGCGAGGGTAAGGAGTTTATGAACCGGGTGAGCAAGAAGAGGGGTTATTAGACTCGGTGTTTGATTGGGATTTGGGGTGGAGGATATGCTTCCGGCCTTTCCGTTGGTGAAGGAAAAAAGGAAATTAGGGGTGATTGAAAAGTCAAAGTCGTTAATTGTATCAATTACATATTTTACACATTTATCTTTGTCCTGTATAGTTCCTTATAGATATGTCAGGGTCTATTATATATTTGGATATACACCCTCTCTGTCCACTACCTCTTACAAACAACACTTCATTCACGATATGCTTAAGTCTACTAATCATAGTGATCGATTATCAACACTCAAGCCTCCTACTACTATTCGCAAATTCCAATGATGATCGTACAAGTTTTTATTTAATTCGTTCGCCACTAAGAACCATCCCATGTTTTTTGTTACTAACGTTCCGCAAATAATATACATCGCAATTTACACTTCAAAGCTAGGACTACTACTCTCAAGCTGGTCCAAGAATCTCATCAGCAATCGCCCTTCCCGCTGCCCTGCCCGAGAAAATACAGCCGCCGAGGAACGTGCCCTCGAGTGAGTTGTACCCGTGCACTCCACCGCCGCCAAACCCGGCTGCCTCGCCCGCCGCATAGAGACCTGGGAACTTCTCGCCATTTGCCTTCATGACATTACTTTCTAAATTCGTCTCAAGCCCGCCAAGTGTCTTGCGCGTTAGGAGGTTCATATGGACGGCGATTAGTGGACCATGCTTCGGGTCTAAGATCTGGTGGGGTGCCGCTACACGGCGGGAATCAGGCCAGTAGTTGCGGCCGTTGCGGATGGCCATCGCCTGAGCGTCCTTGCAGTAGCTATTGACGAACTGGTCGTCGCGCGTCTCGACGACGTCCCTAATAGCCACGGGGTCGAGTATAGGCCCACCAACAGATATCGCTATCTCGTTCATGCCGGCGACCAGGTCCTCGAGATTATCCCGTACGACAAAGTCTTCCCCAAATTTCTGGAAGTTCTGGACGGGAACCGTGCCCTTAGAGCTGAAGACTCGGCTTTTGAGAAGTTGCCAGATGCTCTTCGCTGTCAGGTCGGGGTTCTGTTCTGAGCCTGATAGCGCAAATTCGCGCGCGACGATGGACTGGTCGAGAATGAACCAGGTGTAGTCGTAGCCGGTGCTGCATATGTACTTGAGCGTTGCTAATGTGTCACATCCAGGGTATAGAAAGGGCGGAAGTCTTTTTCCGGTTGCATCCAGCCAGAGTGAAGATGGTGCTGGCAGGACACGGATTCCGTGACCTGGCCAGATTGGGTTCCAGTTCCGTAGGCCCTCAGTGTAATGCTGTATCGGCAAGTTAGTGATCATATAAGAAATAAACATAGGGATTTCGAGTGTGCTTCAAGGTAATTCCGAAAAGGTCAGGGATCTTTTGATATCGGTTCTAGAAAAAAACAAACTCGAAAAATTACTTACCCACATCCTGTCGCGATTGATGAAGTTGGCGCCCGCCGACTCCGCAATTCCCACCATCCGGCCATCAACGTGCGCAGGAACGCCAACCACAAAGTTCTGCGGTACCTTCGGACCAAGACGATCCACGGGCCACGCTTTCTTTACCGCTTCCACATTACCGCCAATACCTCCAGAGGAAACAATCACCGCCGCGCCATGGAGCTCAAAGTTACCCACCTCTTCTCTCGACGTCTCAACTCCTCGAGGCGACGGGTCTTGCGCAAGAACACGTCCTCGGACTCCAGATGCTCTACCGTTTTCATCGACAAGTAGTTCGTCCACCCTGTGCCTGAACTTGAACTCCACGATACCCTTTTTCGCCGCCTCTTGGACAGGTTCGGCGAACACCCGCACAACCTCGGGCCCGGCGCCCCAGGTAATGTGGAACCGCGGGACCGAGTTTCCATGACCATCTGCCGTGCCGTCACCGCGCTCGGCCCAACTCACCATGGCGAGGAAGCCAGCCCCACGGTCCTTGAGGTACTTCTCCATGCCATCCGTAGCGAAGTCGACAAAGGCCTCGGCCCAGCGGCGCGGCCAGACATCCTCATCCTCAAGGCGATCGAAGCGTGCTGACCCCAGCCAATCGCGCATGGCGAGCTTCCGGCTATCTTTGATACCAAGCCGTCTTTGTTCCGTCGAGTCGACGCAGAAGATTCCGCCTAACGACCAGAATGCCTGGCCGCCGAGGTTCTGCTCTCCTTCTTGGTCCACAATGACCGTCCGCACGCCGCGCTGTGATAATTCGAAAGCAGCTACCAACCCCGCTAAACCGCCGCCCACGATGATAACCGGGGCTTTCTGCTTGCCTTCATCTATGCTCGCCATTGTGTCTATCACTTTTTCGCTTTTTTTGGTTATGTTTAAAGAAGTAAGGGCCTGGGTTGGGATGGATTCATTTTGGGGGGGGGCAAAGCGAATTAAATAGAACGAACTTTTGTAAATTACGTCTGTTGTCTTGCGTACGTGTGTTAAAGTTAAAGAGTGGCTGAATCAATGGAATACACATGAATAAGGGAATATAAACCCTGTTAGTTAAGCCGTAAATCGCACAGCGGGGTTCGTGCTGCTGCGGTACCTGCCATCGCGTGGTTCCCCTCCCACCTGCTGCCGAGGCTTCAGTCGCCTGATGGTAGTAACTCCATGGTAGTAATTCCGCATTAGGTAATGAGTTTCGTGAACATGGTGAATATTAGCTAGGTACTTTTCTATTCAATTCATCTTCAATTCATTATTCAAGTGCTTAAGTACTGGGTGATACACGTCAATAGCTGTAAGGGAAGAGTCGCCCGGGAATATTTCGTATATAATAATATTTAATATCAATTTTGTTGAAAGATGTGGTATATGAGCTGTGTATTGTATATTTGAGGTACTTATTAGTCTATAAGTGAGGAAATAGGTCCTGCTTATAAGGTCTGCATTCCATGTTAAGACCATATTGTACTCAAGAATATCAACCAATATCGTAGCACATAACTAAGGCGTACCGCTGTGGAAGCTCCATATAACCCGGCCCGGATCACCGGGTCCGTTCCGAACGACAGCGGATCCAGCAAATTCAACCTTCTCGGACCGGACTCGTCGGATATTTTATATCTCTCAGATTAATTAAGTGCGCAAACCTTGCTATTATTACGCCATAAACAAATACACTATTATAATTGAACTAGTTCTCGGACGGTCCACTTGACTCCGGCCGACGCTATCACCACCGCGCCAGTAACCAACGCACAGAGCCAAACTGGTTGTCATCGTCGAAGGTCATGTTGAGCATATCTTGAGATAATAACTTTCCGTAAATTAAGCCTGAAACATATTGCGTGATCTGTAGTCCTGCTCAATTGGCCCGTTTAATGAGTGCAATTACCCAATAATAATTATTGATCTCCTACTTGCATTAAGCCAGCACACCTTGCTCTTAGCTGTAGTAAGTTAAGCTGGCACACTGCCCCTACTTCCCTCGAGGCCTCAGCCTTACATAAATAAAGAATACCAGTTCCTTCTGCAATTTCTTTCTCGCTTCTTCTTTTTGGAAGATGAGTCTTTATCCAGACCACAAAATCGGCGATGACATGAGCAACAAGAATGCAGCGCGGCGGAGAACTAGATCCGCTCGACGATAGTGGGCTCTGTCTATTGTCCCTCGATGGTGGCGGGGTCCGAGGGCTGTCGTCCTTGTATATCCTCAAGAATATTATGGCGCGACTAAACCACGAGCGTGGGTTAAAAAAATCTCCCTCCCGTTAAGCCATGCGACGTATTCGATCTCATTGGTGGTACGAGCATAGGTGGGTGAGTGTACTTCTATTCTTCTAATTGCACAACTAACAAGACAGACTCATTGCGATTATGCTCGGTCGGCTCGAAATGGATGTCGATGAATGCATCTCGGTATATAGCGAGCTTATGAAATCCGTTTTCCAAAAGAAATGGAATTGGTTCCCAATTAGCTTGACGGGGAAAAGCAGGTCACGATTCAAGTCTGAGAAACTCGAGAGTGCAATCAAAAAGGCGATTATTAGGCATAGCTCTAAGGAGACGGAGACCGATAACACGGAAAAGAGATTCATAGCTAACTGGCGTCAGCACTTCGACAAAAATCGTTACTTCCGCTTCAGTGTCGACCAAGGACTACAGCACATTAAACTAACGAAATATCAAGAGCAGGGCGCTATAGAGGCGGCAACAGATGGTTATCTCGATCATCAAACGCAGAGGTTCCGGATGCGGGACTGCGTTCGAAATTTGAAATTGAAGCAAAGTGTGTACATTGACAATTATACATGAAGTTTTCGTTCTCTAGTTAACCTTCTATAGATGTTTCTGCAACGGACGTCTCGCGTATCTTGCCGTAGGAGCGACACCTTCTCGTTCTATAGACAATATGTCAGCCTTATTGTCCCCGGTTTAACAGTGCTAAATGCTGCGTAGTGTTAGAGAAGACCCGGACGGACAGGTCAGATCTGAAGTACAGATGTGATATGTGGCTCAGACCATCAAATACGAGGGAAATTCACAACAACTAGATTCGAGAAAAGTTGAGCGGAACATGTGACTGGATATGGTCACACCCTATATTCTCAGAATGGAGCAGTACCTCAACGTATCCAGAAGCCGTAGACCGCCGTCTACTCTGTATCTACGGCACCCACGGTTGTGGGAAAACTGTCCTAGCATCATCGATTGTAGAGTCGTTGAGACACAAAGGAAACAAAGTGTTGTTTTTCTCTTTCTCTGGCTCAGATACCAATCTCCAAACCTTGGATAACTTAGCCCGGACATTGTTGTGGCAACTATTACAAGAGCCAGTATTATCGGACGAGAGCTTCGAAATCATGCGAGACCTCATGTCTCATGGTCAACCCTTAACCTCTGAGTTATGGGCTACCTTTAAAGACATCGCAATATCTATGCCAGGGCTCATATACTGGGTAATTGACGGAGTCGACAAATGCAAGGAATCCGGTGAAAATCTCTTTAATCAGGTCATTGACCTGCTCACTGCCAGCAAGGATGCTCACGCTGTCCTCTTGGGGAGAACGCATATCCTCCAACCAATTAGTCAATCAAATCACGTAATCGAGATTACTCCCAGCTTAATCAAGGCTAACATCAACGCATTCATCAATACTAAGATAGCAAAGTCCATCATTCTTCAATCTTCTGAAGTTCGCGACCTCGCACTCAAGACCCTCCGCGACGGCTCTCAAGGCATGTTCCTTTGGGTGAAACTGATGGTTCGAGACCTTTGCAAGTCTTTCTCTAGAATAGAAGTCATTGAAAGATTGCACAATCTGCCGCATGGCCTTGAAAAGACTTACCGGCACTTGTTTTTACAACTCGTGGAAGAACTAGATAATATCGATCTCAGATTTACTCGACGCCTTCTAGCATTCGTTATAGCAGCCCGTCGACCGTTGAAGGTCAGGGAACTGCAGTACGCCCATGCGCTCGCATCTAGATCCGATTCGAAGACATCACATGAATGCTCACTCGAAGATTGCATGCCAAAGGACAGCTGAAAAGATTCTCCGTATCTGCGGAATTTTCATACAGATAACCGATGGAGTGGTTTCGCTGGTTCATATATCCGTCAAAGAACTTTTGACTAGACCAAAGAGCGAATGGTCATGTGATGGTCATCACAAAATCGTCGGTCTACGGATTGATCCAGAGGAATCGCACTATTTGTTTGTCTTGTCCTGCATCGACTACCTAGAAGCTGGTAACTACGGTTTCCCACTCCGGGATCAGGATGAATCGTCGATGCCCTACGATGTTCATCCATTCCTAGAGTACGCGTCCAAAAAAATTAGTTTACCACGTTAATAGAGCCGGAAACTTTTCTTTTGATATCGTTAACAAGTTTCACCAATATCTCGGATCCGAGGCAAGCCTACCTTGGGTTGAATACTTCGCGATGCACTTAGTAGAAGATGGGTATTCTGGTGTTGAGGCTAAAGAGTTCACCACCTGGCTCGAAAATGGGACCGAGGAAAAGTTCTTAGGACGTTTTAATACTAAGTTACGCCGACAGCTTGAGAAAAAAGAGCAGAGCTTTGGCGAAAGTGACCGGCGGACAGACCACTACAAGATGGTCCTAGAAATGATTAAGGATGTTAGCTATGATAAATCTACTAGCAGCGTATCCGACTATCATACCTCCACACCCGACTTCGCCATACATAAAGGACCAAATGATATTGACCAAGCGGTTCCCGTGCTAATGGAAATATTCAGCCATAACAGAGTGTTGACGGCACCGAAGCAACTCGATTTGTTCCTAAGATTACAACACTATATCCAGCGAGCGAAGACTTTGACAGATCCTCTCGAACTTCTATTCCGTCTCATTTTACGAAATGCCGGGAACGTCCCAGTTTACGCATTAATGATGATTGGCAAGTTCTACAAAGAAGTGGATCAACCTGAGAAAGCCTTACAGGTTTATCACAGCGCAATAACGAAATTTGGAAACCGCTAGGTTCCAATGAAGTACAAAATATGGAGTGAAATTGGTTACATTAATTACGATCTCGGCCGATATCAGGAGGCAGAGGAGACGTATCAACGTATAATAGAAGGGAACAGAAGGATACTTGGCCAAAGCCACCCCGACACTATATTGGCCATGTACAAGTTAGGATGCACTTTTCAAGATCAAGGAAAGCATGCAGAAGCAGAAGAAACTCTTCAACAAGTAACAAAGGGACATCAAAGGGTATATGGCCAAGAACATTCCAATACTCTAACGTCCCTATTTCATTTAGCGGCGGTTTTCTACCTAACTGGGAGGTCTTTAAAAGCAGAGGAAATATATCGAGGGGTATTAAAAGTAGTAGAAAGGTTATATGGTTAAGAAGATACGTTTACCCTTCAAACTACATATTGTTTGGCAAATGCCTTCGAGTATCAAGAAAAGTATGTGCAAGCAAATGAAATGTATCAGCGGGCAACAAAGGGACGGAAAAAATCACTTGGACCAAGCCATAAAGACACTTTAAGAAGCATGGAACGTTAAGAATATGGCATTGGATATTTGGAAGAGTACGAACGAGAGGGAGAACAGATGTGAGCGCTATTTGGTTAGGATGACCTAATCCAAAAATCGCTCTTTAGGTCTAGGTATTGGTCGGTGGTATGCTTCATATTCAGTCATAGTTGTAAAAATACATCAACAATTGCAAAAAGGTCTTCCGTGATATATATGAAGTTCTGCTACTAGCTTCCATCATAAATAAGAATATATACAGAGAAATGTTCAAAAGAATAGTCATTAACAAGGAGAGCCAGATCCCAAGATACTGTGAACCTCCTGAGCGTAAGTGCAGCCATTGTTCACATTGGAGTCCGAGAAGCCAGCACTCCACATCATCACACCGCCAAACCTGGAGTTGTTTTTGTAGTCGTTAACGATGTCTGCGAGCTGTTCAGGCGTTGCGTAGTATGTCTCTCCGGTTGGGGCGCCGTTAGCAGCTAGCGGAGCGGCCGGGACCCCGATGAATATCTTGGCATCGGCTGAAGGGGTGTCGGCTGTCCACTCTACCCATTGGTCGTAGTTAAAGGGTGCATTGCCGTTGACGGGAAGAGCACACGGATAAGTGTAATTGTTGTTGTTGTAGAACTGTGGCCATAGGTAATCGAACGTGGAGTTGCCAATGATCACACCCATGTTAGGCTCAGGGATGGGGCATTGAGGTGCACCGGTGATGTAGTATGTGTGTGAGGAGTCGGACTCGAAGTTGGTACGAAGTTTAGATATCATATGTTGGTAGTATTCGCTTCCCCTGTTGACTTCTAGGTCAAAGTCGAAACCATCAATGACAACGTCGCCAAAAGGTCGTTGTACGCTTGAGTTTCCAGAGTTTCCGTAAGCTTGCCAAAGGTAATCTCCAATAGACTCTGCCTGGTCTTGCGAAGATAGAGAATAGGAGGCAGTAGCACCGCCCAATGATAGGATAACCTTGATACCGGCCCCTTGGCATGTTTTGATGGCTGAGGATAAATTATCACAGTTCTGTCCTTCGCCCGAGTTACTAATGAAGCACGATTGGCCGACCGTGCCAGAAGGGATGTCACTCCCACTTCCCCATGAATACAAGAAAGCCAGAACAATTATGTCAATGCCAGCATCAGCGGTACAATAAGTCGAGAGGTCATTGTTCTCGATCGTACCACCACCATTCTGACCCCAGTAGACAACGGTCTGAGATCCCGAGGCCTGCCGGGATTTAAGAGCATGAGGAAGAGCCGTTGCTGCGCCGAGCATAAGGCTAAGGTAGTTATATACAGTGGTTGAACGCATATTGATAAGTCAAAGATAAAAGATATGTACAGAAAATAAGTATATACAAGAAATGGATAACCTGTTTAAGGTAGTGGATAGTGTGTTCTGAAGGAGCGTTTAGAATGAAGGATAAAGGAGAGATTTGGTGGTATCATCATGGTATACCGAAGCCCTCTCGAGACTAGAGTAGATATATGTCATTGTGTTAGTAGGTTTTCATTAAGCCAACGCCTTCTCTATGTCAGGAGACGTTACATGTATCACGCGAAAAGATAGTCACAATACCTATAGCCCTTAATGGTAGTAGACCAAATCCCCTTGCAGTTTACTAGTACCATGCTGCTCTCACCGTCGCTCATTAACATACTTGGAAAGTGCTCGGGAATACCGCACTTATAATTAAAACGTAGAAACAAAATAATTGGTTAACAACAAATTCCAAAGGGGATTCGGTAAGCGTCACGTACTATAAAAAACTGCATGGGGTAGCAGTCTTCTGTCAACGATGGGATAGGGGATACATGAAGCTTGCCTATGACCAAAATGTTAGACAAGGTATAAGTTGCAGTAGCAGTTAATTCCGGACTTAGTAAAGAGCCGCGTAAGGCATAGTGCACATGTAAAAAAGGAAGTCGACGTGATAATGGGCAAGGAGCCTTGCCTCTACCACATCTGACCTCAGGGGTCCGGAGATGTGGAGTCGTGCATCGGCCGATAATCCCGGCCTTGGCAAGTCTGCCCGATCAAGGAGGACGTAACACAACGGGGTCTCATATCTCCATCACTACGTTACAGCAAAATTAACTCAAACGAACAACTTGTCGGTGTTGGAATAGTCAAGCGAGCAGAAGATGAATGCTTTTGCATAGGGGGAGATTAGAATGTTAAACCAAGCTCACGACAAATGACCTGCAACGTTAACAGTTGACCCGCTTTATCAGGAATACTAGGGTAGCAATGGGTGTAGAAGCAGCTATATCTATGTTGATCATGAAGTGAGCTACCTTTTTGGGTAATTCGCGGTAGCGTGATAAGAGAGAGGCATGATTGTCCGAGCTATACCGACGGGTATTTTAACTCGTAGGCATCTCGTCACCAATCAGGAAGGCTCTAAAGCGATTCGCTTCGCTGACGTACAGTTTCAATGCAGGTACTGCAAGACACGTGGAGGAGTTGCTCGTAAGGGTCGCATGTGACATATTGAAAGACTACGTCCTTGAATTCTGGGAAATTCGACCTCGGCGTTTCTATATTACGTACCTAAGATATCATTGGTAGGTAAACTTGCCATAGTTTGGAAGACTACACGGTATGGAATTAGGAACCTCTGGAGAGTAGGAGCTGACATACCCCCCACCTCTATCTCACCCTTCATTCTATGTATGGAAGAGGACGTTAGGACATCACAGAAGTCTTTCAAAAGATATCATAACTGCCTAACCTAGGTGACTAGTTAAATACAGATGAGTATAGAAAGCGTCCAAAGGCCTGGTAAAAGCTTACCTCTGATTTTAGAACATTATTAATCAAAGAATTAATAAGGTCTGAAAGGCTTCACTTGATTAAATCGATAACTACCTAAATAGAAACTCGAAGACACTACTCACCCTAAGTCTTTAAAGATTATATATAATGCATGGAAGTCGTTTATGTTAGTGACATACACGCTCAACATATATCGAAAACTGATGCTTCATTAATCAAACCGGACTGTTTATATAAAAAATGTATTATGAACAGTTGCTCGTCGCGACAACGCAACAGCACAATCGCAATGCTCAATATATTCTCACGAATTCATTCATATACAAAAACCCTGAATAAAAATCAACACTAGAACACATAACCCACCCCCTTCCTAAGCGCCCCAGCCCTTAGTCCTTAGTACTCTCCAGCACCGCCTTCACCATCGCGTTCCCGACCTCGATAGCGCCGGGAAACCTCGGCTCGAAGAACTTCTGCGTAACGACGAACCGCTCCTTCCACGTCTCGAAGTGGCCCAGACTAACACACTCCGCCCAGCCGCGCGCCGCGAACGTGAACTCGAGGTCGTCGCTGCGGAACGTGTTGTCCTCGACCGCGATCCGCAGCGCCTCGTCTAGCCTCCCCGCGTCCCGGAACAGGTTCTCCGTGACTCCGAGCCACAGCCGGAACAGCGGCGTGCTGCAGATCATGTGGTCGTACGGCACGATGCCTAGCGCGCTCCAGCAGTCTACCATCGCCAGTAGGCTGAGGTGGTTATTAGGAAGCGGCTGTAAGCGCTCTGCTCGCGCGCCTCCTAGATTGAACTGGTCTAGGACCTCGTCCTTTAGCAGTGGCTCATCGGCCCACTTTGGCTCGTGCTCTTTGCCGAATACCTTCTCCTTCGCGGCTAGGACGCGCGCGCGCAATTCGTCGTGGTGTCCGCCTAGCATGAGTTTGTATAGTTCCGTCACGCTCTTTGCGTACTGATCGATTTGCTTGCGGGCTTCTAGGTTTAGGATCGCGAGACCGGCGTACACGTGCCACTTCTGGCTGTAGATGCGCAGGGTTAAGTTGATCTTGACGTTCTCGATGCCGCCGACGTAGCGCGCGCCCTCCCAAGGGAACTGCCGTGTTGAATGCCACGCCTTGCCCATGCTCAAAAACGCTACGTGCGTTACAGCTTGTGTGTCCGCTGTGATGCGGTCATGCTCGTGTGCTGATAGGTACACGTGCGTTGAATGCAAGCATTGGAGGACGGCCTCGACTTTCGCAAAGGAGTCGTCAGAAGCCCGGTGCCTGATAATAACCTGATCTATGGTAAGCAATGTTAAATAGATAGATGTAGCAGGGGTAGTACTAATGGCTGGTCTTTCGTGTCGACCCCAGGGCCGTGGAGAGAATGGCAAGAAACTATGTCCACGTCCGCCGGGAGGTGGTCTTCGAATGCCTTAATCTCGGGGTCTTTACACGATGTTTGCCCACCTACGATGGCACCAAGCTTTGTTGCTGCGTATACTTCGTAAGCTATGTTTCAAATAGTTCAAAAATATGAAGACACCGTACATGGGCCATACTCGGCAACGACACGGTCAATCGCCGCAGCCTCTACGCTGTAAATAATATAATCACACGCGCGAGACACAAGATGGCCATTTCGGAGAATTTGTACATTGCTCTGGAAACCTCTCAGCATGGATTCCCTGAGAATGGATGACTATATATATGTACCCGACTTGTAAACTCTTCACATAAACTCTCATATTGATCCTCCTTATCGCAAGCCATTACTCTATCAACATCGATAGTTAGTTGGTACTTCTGGGACTTCATTTCGCACTGGCACTCAGTAAGACCTATACATCGCATATTAGCTTATGTTATGATAAAATGCGTCAAATAGAATGCGATATCGTAAAAGCGCTTCAGACAAAAAATTATAAGGTAGCTGAGAATTTTCATCATGGAAAGCCAACGACAGCCAGGAATCAGAATGATCGCCTGGAAGCCGAGGGCAATGCTCGAGCCAAATGCACTCAAGTCATCATTTGCGAGAAAATTTGTATGGATATAAAAAGGCGACTTACCAAAATAAATTCACGTAGGCTTAAGCGCGACAGCAAATTGCAGCCATACTAGCGATTTCTTACCTCCAGCCAGCATCGGTAAGTCTCCGTGCGTACATCTTCCCCATGTCGCCCATGCCAATGATGCCGACGATGAACTTCTCCATGCCGGGTGGCACGCCAGAGTTGTTGTCGGTCGCCATGTTATCGTCCCAGTATCTCCTACTAGAATTGATCCGAATGAAGGATTCAAGAGCAGAGTGATTACATGCTGGACACCTAGCACAAACAACTCGAACTCCTGATCTGGTAGGTTAGGGCGGGCAATGAAACGTTGGGTTTAGAAACTGGCGATAGAAAATATGAAGGAGGGTAAAAAAAAAAGTTTTTAGTGACGCTTTAATAGAAGCAGAAACTTTAAGTGGAGCTTGAGCTTGGACCCGTGCACCCAATGATGTGGGACCCGGATTATTCTCGGAATGATATAGGTAGTCCGAGGAGGTGTGGCTTGTGGGTACTTGGGTACTTAGAAGGTACCTAGGTACCTATATCAATCACCCAGACGCTGACAACTTGCTCTCTTCAACCACGCCGCATTCATCAAATCAGATAAACTTAGAGGAGTCAAAGATGCCCCAAGCTACGGAGAATGACTTGATATTTTGAGAAGCAGGCATATAGGAGAGGCTTTAGGCTATACATAAGCCATCATGGAAGGTCTCTTTGCGCTCGGCTCCAACGGGTCCGGTCAGCTCGGCATAGGTCACCAAGAGGATGTATCAGTCCCGAAGCAAGTCGAGTTCGCGGGCAAAGCTCCCGAGGACCCCGTTGTAACAATTGCAGCAGGGGGAAACCACACGATTATAATTACGGAACTAGGGAAGGCTTTCTGGGCTGGCAATCCTTCGAGCGGCGCCTGCGGGATCGTGGAAAATGCCACGAATGTGAAAGCATCCAAGTTTCATGAGTTGGTCCTCTCAACTCTTGAAAGCCACGGTCCCGTCGTTCACGTTGCCTGTACATGGGACTCGTCTGTCTTCGTGCTTAGAGGTGACAGTGGCAAAGCTATAAGCGTGTACGTATGCGGGGTCCCCGATGTAGGGGCTGCCAACATAAGTTCGGGATCTACTTTAAGTCCAACTCTGCTCAAGGACTTCCCTCCCGCCGGGACAGAGATTCAAAGCCTATCTGCCGGCTTCAGACATGTTGTTGCTGTATTGGACAACGGAGATGTCTACGGTTGGGGCAACGGGCGCAAAGGCCAGTTGGGGGAGTTATGTAACGAAGCTGATTCAAAAGGTGTCGTACACCATCCGCGAAAACTTAGCGGGATTTCTTTCAAGGTGGCTAAGGCCGTCTGTTGTCAATACACGACTTGTCTTATCAGCCAGCCCGGGGATGGCCGAATACTTGTCCTGGGAGCAGATAAATGGGAATTGAAAAGCGCCGCCCCCGTTGAGATACCCAATTGGAGTACGATTAGTGCAAGCTGGGGAAGTATATATGTTTTACAACGAAATGGCACCATAACCGCGTGGGGTCGAAATGATCACGGACAACTGCCACCTCGGGGACTTCCAAAACTGGAGAGCATCGTTGCTGGCAGCGAGCATATTCTAGCTGTGACTGAGGGTGGTGACGTAATATCATGGGGTTGGGGAGAGCATGGAAATTGTGGACCGCAAACCGAGAAATTCGGGGATGTTAAGGGGCGATGGAACGTGCTTGCGTCGTTGAAGCATTTACCGGAGGGATCTCAAATTACGATGATCGGAGCTGGGTGTGCTACAAGTTGGATCAACATCACAACGGATGGAGTATTTCTTTAAGCTACTAACTTCTGTGGTTAGACTTCTGGTACAACTCCGTACCTATATAGCCCGAGCTCAAACATCACACATCTAGCCACGACGAATGTGAATAGGGGTGCTCCCATGCAGCTCCTTAATCGTCAAAGAGGCCGAATCTACGAACTTGCGAGAGGCGTTGAGTTGGTTCAAAATGCGAGGGGGTATCTTCAGTAGCATCATTGATCCTCGATTCCTGAGTGTTCCGGTTCGTCATCATGGACCTTGCATTCGTCGCTGGTGCATGCTACAGTCATATTAGCTACGTTAACGTAAACGTCTTGGGTAAAGGGGATATTTACGAAGTCACCCCTAACATCCCATTCTAATCGGGCATTCTCTTCCTCATCCTCGTCTCCACCAACATTCACAGGATCCCATTGATGCTCGTCGTCCTGGGGAACGAAGAGTGACTCGGACTCAAACGTGGCCGGAGGTGGCCGCTGGGATGGACGAACAATCGATGGCCTGAGAGAAGGTACGGGTTCGGGCCGTGGTGCTTGTGGCTGAGGAGGCATCCTTGGAGCTGGCGTCGGTGCATGCGATGCAGCCCTACTAGTAGCAGCTTCAAGCTGCGGCGGTTTTGGTCCTTTGGCGCTACCGCGAGTTTTCTTGGTCTTCTGGCCGGGTGCTCCCCTTTCGCCAACTGTCATCAGAAGGAATTCGCATTTGATCCCATCGCCCTCGTACTTCAGCTGCAACGGTTTGGTCGGCACTGAGTAGTATGCCGAGATCTGGCTGCCGAGGAAATTCGCGTGCTGGATAATCGCCCTGAAATCTTTTACGCTGATTACGATATGCAACTTATCCTCCTGAACATCGAAGTCTTCAAACTCATCCCGTTCGACGGCAATGGATGTATGAAGAGGCTTCTTTAAAACTTCTTCCCCATTCTTGATCTTTTCAGTGAAGCAAGTAAAGTTGACAGTCTCATCGTCCTCGGAATGGAAATCGAGGTATTCTATGCCGGGACCAAAATAGTCCATAATGTGACGTAGGGTTCGAGACGGAACAGACCAACGATTTGACACTTGGTTCCTATCAAACTTGCCGTGGATTGGCACAGTAGGTTCAAAAGGTAGTCGGTATTTGGTGGTTATGCCTATGCTCTTATTAGCTAACTACTTGGACACGGGCAACTTTATTACTTACCATTACGGAACACGATCTTAGCAATGAATCTACTTTTCTTGCCAGGTTCGTCTACTATTGCCACATCGCAATGTTCAATAGTGGTATCTTTTTCTCTGTCATGCAAAGGGTCGCCACTCCTAGCTCTGAAAATCGACAGCAAGGCCTAGGAAGATTCGTGTGAGGGAAAAGAAGTTAAGAACTCAGAAGAGGTAGGTGACATACTCGATTGTGAAGCTTGCAAAAGAACTTCTCTCGATTTTGGGGTACACCTTCAAAATGGTATTTTGAGAAGAAGCGATGAGCTACAAAGGAGAAAGATAAATACGCCGTCCTGGAAGTATTTAGGGTGGTAAAGACAAGCTATGCGCCCGATTTTAGCAAAGTACTAGCTAGACTAGGATAACAATGAAGCTTACTTTGTCCTTTTTTGCTTCAAGAGAGACTGCTTCACTGAATTTACTGAGACAAGTCAATGCATCTCTTAGACTACTGACCCCTTCCTCACTTAAAGTGAAATTTAATACAGCCATGGCTGCTCGAAGGAGAGCCACTATGCTGTCGTGTATAAATTGGGTACTTCCGAAAGAGGATTATTGATCAAAATAATCGACGATGTAAGTTTTTAAGAGTTATGATGACGTATAACTCATTTTGGGGTCTCAGGCTTTTTGAATAGGCTTTGATAAAAACGAGGCGTCAGTGGTTATTGATGTTCTTGACGAGGCACTAGTTACAGATTATAAGTCAGCAGCTTCCACTTTCTAGGCTCTCCCCGGTCTCGGTTTCACTCCCAATTTACATAAGGAAGTTGGACTCTGTCGCGTTAAGCTTATCGAGACGCGTCGCGGGGTACCTACCTATCTATTAAGTACATTATGTAAGTTACCTAAGCTGTTTTCATCTGCACAGTGTCGCTAGCAGTTACCCTACGCTTGTATCTTATATTTCTACAAGCTTCGTACACTAATTTATGGTACAGCAATAAGTACTATATAGGTAGACAGTGAAAATGGCTGGAGTTACACATTGTGGGTATGTAGCAGTCCTAAGAACAGCCTTAGGTAACAGCGATAGCTTGTATTGTATAAAATACAAGCTACAGCTGCTTTACCTACATTTCATCCATCTCCTCTATTTTTAGGCCACATCATATTCCCAATGCAATAGGCAATCATAGGTACCAATTCAAATTGTTCAAGCATGGAATCCTCGGCTCTCCCTCAAGAGATTTTCTTATTGTTATGCGAAGAGCTTGCTGCGCGTCGCGACTTTGGAACCCTGTTCAACTGCTCGCTTGTTAGTCGACGAATTGCCAGCGTTGCATTAGAGCAGATATATAGGTGAGTCTTGCACTTCTGGGAAGTCTTAATTAGGAACTAACAGATTCTGCGTATGAAGTATTCAAGAATATTCCCCCGTAAGCACTGGTGATGCCATTTACAAGCTAGAATGGTTGCAATTGTGGAGGTCTATTATCCTCTCAAGTATTAAGAAAACCGCATTCCCATATTGCGTTTACGTCCGCGCCCTATCGCTTGGTAACCTCGAAGAATGCCTCCAAGACATCAACCGAGACAAATATTCCCGGGATATATTCTTCGGAGGCGCAATGAGGCAGTTTCTTGTACTAGGAAAGGGCCACGGCCTATTTAAGAATACTCGAGAAGTCCAATTGCCACCCATAAACATCCAAGATACGATAGTCAAGTGCGCGGATTCCATTACTCGATACATCAAGAGGCTAGCAGACGACACGGGAACCGCTGTATCTTTGGCGCATCTGGAGGGCACATATATTCCACACGATGAATTACCGACCTGGATAGCACGACTTGGAACCCTAACGTCTTTGCGTATCCGAGACGGATCGGTACTCGGCGTGGAAGCGGCTAGTGCTATTTTCGAATGCTGTCCACGATTTGTCGATTTAACATGTTATTATTGGTATGCTTAAATGTTCTCAGTTGGTTTCATTTCTGGTGTCCGTAAATGCTAACCTGTCTACAGTATGTCATTAACTCCTGTCCTTATTGTTTTTTTCCGTCCAAGTACTATGGTAGAAGCTAGGTCTTCTAGTTCGCGTTTATGATACTAACAAATTGTAGATTCAAGCTCTACCGCAGACGAAGATTTGGCCGCATTTTTCCAAACGCTACGTCCTAACAGTTTACGTAGTTTTGAAGTAATAAGCCAGAACTCAATTGGGGAAAACGCCTTGACGGCACTCAATTACCATGCAGCATCTCTCCGAAGGCTTGTACTTCGAAATCTTACACCCCAGGCTATGAAGGCCCTTAACTCATTGCCCGATTGTACATTCCTAGAAACACTTTTGATCGAGAACGACCGGTACAACTTGGTGGACGCGGCGGATTACCCCGAGGAAACACTCAAAGAGGTCTCCGCGTGGATCTGCAAATGCAAATCTCTTCGAGATCTCAGTTTCTCGCATTTTATTGGTTCCGATCCGGTGGTCAAGGATATTTTGAATTCGCCTGACATCCGCCTCACGTCCCTGTCTTTAATATCGATTCACTCAGAAACCGAGGCAGAGGATACCGCTACCTGGACTGCGCTTGGCCTTCAAGATCGTCTTGAGTCCCTAACCCTTGGTCTACATGAGCTCGGCTACGGTCACATAGCCGAAGCAAAGCCACCACTAGTAGACTCAATTTGCCGGCTTAAAAATGTGGCATCGCTGAATTTAATGCAAGTGCATCTCAGTGAGGACACAGTAGAACGCATCGCGACATCATTACCGAATCTATCCGAATTTAGCTTCAGTGGCAACCACTTATATAACCCTATATTAATTCCCCTAAGTGCCATCCCCAAGCTCAAATTACTCTGCATCAGTTCTCTCTCTTCTTTCACTTTCCAAGGTCTACGTGACTTTGTCTTTAGGCTTATCTCCCGAGGCCGAACAGGAATTAAGATAGATATCTTGAACCAGTTAGGCGAGTGTAAACTCACAGCATCCGAATCTGTTTTGCTACAAAAGCATTTCATGGATCTCAAAGGTCGGCTTGAGATTGCCTATTTTATGGATCCGGACGAGCTCCACGAGACGGACTTTTCTGATGTTTCCGACTAGTTATATGCATAATGCGATGTTTGGAGGTAGTTTATAAGCCTAATATCACAATAATATCATTAGAGCGGAGGTTCTCGAGAAGTTATAATATGTAATTCCATTCAAGAGAAGTATTTTTGTTCATAAGCACGGAGACAATTTCGGTTTACACATTATACACGAAGGAATATATCTTTCGACTAATTACTCACTAACGAAGAAAAGCAGGGCCTGCTAGTCCACTTGGACGTTATACACATCTTTGACATAAAGTGCAAGTCCTTAGTTAAAGACATCTCCGTCCTTCCACCAGTCTCCAATGATCCGCACTTCATCCTTCTCATCTCTCCAACCTACCCCTATTCGGGGTGCTCCGTACTGCGCTCCCTGCATCCCTAGTGTTCCCGTTGTCCCTATCATGTTCGTTCCTGTCTCCGTACTAGATACGACAGGATCCACGCCTGTCATTTCTTTGCTTGTGGTCATATGAGCGATTCCCGATCCTACAGACACTGTGCCAGACTTATCAATGGCTCCAGCAGCCGGATAGGCACCAAACGCATTAGAACCTAGGACATAGTTCGCGCCATCATACTGGTTCATAGGACGACCGTCGTTGACGTGGTAGCTAGGAGACTTGTACTCGGGATACGTGCCCTGGAACTTATTTCCTTGCCAGCCGACCTGCGTTGCTACAGCCATGCTGTCGGTTGCGGGGGACACTTGGCCACCGAAGGAGGTGATCCTATCGCCTATATGCTGCGTCGAGGCAAACGTGTTCTGACACTCCCAGCCGCACCATTTGTCGGAAGGTACGGGGACCGTGTTGTGGTCGCCAGGCAGACATGCGTTCGGCCAGTCGAAAGGGAGAGTCTGTTGGCCCTCGGGCGTCCAGCCCTCGGGCTGGTGGATGCGGGATAGTTGCGTAAGCACGAAGGTGCAGTTAGGCCCGGCTAGGAGCTCGGTGTGTGCGCAGCGGTAGGTGACGTACATGTACTGGCACATTGTTGCTGCTGGTGGTTTCTTTGGTTTGCGGGGGTGTGGCGCGTATTGATACTTATTGTGGATTAGGAGGGGTTTCGAGAAGAGCTGAGAAGCTTGGTGTGTTATATCGACGACGGAAAAAGGATTCGTCGGCGTAGTCAGGGTTAGGAACTGCTGGGTTTTATTCCAGGGGTCTGGCGGGTTCTGGCTAGGAACGGGTGCTACGGGGTCGGCTTTGTTGCTGCCTTGCTGGGGTTGAGGTGTTCGTAACGGCGCTGTAATGCACTTGTATGTGTGATGTGTGGTTCTAGTCCGGATGAATAGATTGAGAAAGTGGTTGGAATCAAGGAGTGTCTTGCTGACAGGTGGGCAAGTATGATGGTATCTATTACTGAAGGTATGAGCTTCAGTACACCACGAGTAATCAACTAGGATATACACGAACAGACACGGTGGTGGGTGAACCGTGTTTTTTTGTTCATTTAGTCGGGCTGCCGCGTGGCATTTGTACTTGCTAGTTGCTCGGAGAGTTGAACGACGTGTATTTCAGGATAAAGCCCTTGAATTCATCTGTAAGAGGCAATCGGGGTATCCGTGCTTGCCATCAACAGATTTGTAGGCTAGGTACCTCTTATATTGGACCAAACAGAGGGGCATCATGAAGACTGCATTGTTCAAAACATAGGCAACTTCCGGTTCAAACAGGCAAACGCTTCGTGTTCTTCCGTCTACTTACTCAACGATGCCTGATATCTCCCCTTAAGACTTCAGGCTACTTCATAGTTTTTCTTATAGCTAATATCCTGCTGAAGAGGTAACTCAAAGCAGAGCTCAGCGATCCGCAGTTACAGTTGCCTAGCTGTTTCTCCAGTATGATCGTAGAGCCAATCTACTTGTCGACGCTTGAAGATGAGGCCAAGACTAGTAAGAGGAAGAGGGGGCAATATCTGTTTCTACCCAAGTACCACCATGATGCTAGATATGAATCAAGAGATTAAACGACCCAGGTGGGCATTCTTATCATTTAACACACAACACCATTCACATCCCTTCTATTCTTACTGTCTATCGTAGGATTCACGGGTACAACACACCTACAGTTTCCCCATGGTAATACAGGTATAGCGGTAGCTTCGACAGCATTGTCTCATGTTCACTGCTCCCTCTGCCGGTTATTTAATCACGAATGGTCTTTTACGGCAGATAAATAACTCAGACGGCCTGGAAGATTGATACCATTGGCAACGCCTTGCATACCTATACTTGACTCTTACTCTTTATCTGATGCAGTCACTGTTATTAGACTATCAGATCTAACGAGCCTCGCTTCAACATTTAAGCAAGCAACCTAGCCGTACTACTTCCCAGAAGCTCGTCTGAAATTCGGTAACGTAAAGTGATACACGCGCAGCGTCCTGCTAATACCCGGTGTGTTTACCACATGTTTCCCACGGGGCGGCGAAACATCTGCATGGTTGCACACACTGGGGAAGAGAGCTTCAGGTTACCCTACATGTTCCTGGAGGAGATTGTTCAACTGTAACTGTGATAGATCTTGTGCCGGCGACCACTATTATTAAAATCTTAACGCGGACTATATCTTTCGCAAGTGGGTATCGATTCTTTGTTTGCTATTTCTATAAATGCATTCATATGATAAATCCTTATTCAGATGACAAATTGTAACTCCAAAATCCCGCCCAAATCATTTCTCTGCGCTTAAATCTTATAGTCCACTCATTAACCGCGTTGAGCTTCCATCTTCTCATGGGCTGCCCAGTGGTCTTCGCCAATACCATCTATAGCAATATCATGGCTAATTCCAAAGTTTCGCTTCGAATCCATCTTCTTGTTTAATTCTTTCGTAATGGCATCCACGTCGACGTTAAGATAATCCCGCAAGTATTTCCCTACGTCAGTATTCTCTACGTTGCCCCGAATCGCTTCCGCGCCGGGACCGCCAGAACTGTAGATGTTAACATCTACAGCTGAGTGGCCGTGAGTGCTCCATCCGATCTGTGCGCGAACGCTGATCATCTGGGCGAATAAATCCTGGGCTTGTTCCGGGCTTAAAGCTATAGTCGTGAGCTCCTCATCGGAGGCATCATGGATGCCAAGGCCAGGCTCAACAAGTTCCTCATTAATATATTTCTTGAGCTTGTCGATGGAATGATCGGTGGACTGTGCAAGATGTCCGTGAAGGCGATAAGCGAGATACTCAGAAGACGACGAGGCGTTGGCCAATACAGCAGGATACCACAAGTACTGCGGATAGTCGACGTTCACCTCTGAAAGCAAAGTTAGCCAAGGTTCCCCACTAGTATTCAACAAAAGGTATACTGACGTCGTGCTACCGATAATCCACCTGTCTCGTGATCACTGGTACTAACCAAGACTCCAGGAGTCTTGCTATCGTCTAAAAAGTCCAATACAGCTTTGAATGTCTTGTCATATTCAAGGACCTCTCGCACTTGTGCGGCCGGGTCGTTCTCATGGCCAGCATGGTCGATTCTACTGCCCTCGATCATCAAGAAAAATCCCTTGTCGCTGTCCTCTGTAGCCTTCTCGAGAGCTCTCAGAGCTGTCTTAGCCATTTCGCTCAGACTGGGGTAGATGTCGTTCATGTTTCGCCTGTCCAGCTCAAATGGAATGTCTGTTGGGGCAAAAAGTCCTAGCATCGGAAGGGGGACTTCCTTCTTACCCTTCCAGAATTCATCGAATGCTGCCCGGTCGTTGATATAGTTCCAACCATAGTCTTTCTTTGCCATTTCTACTACATCGATATTGTCTGCACGGCATGCACCGTCGGTTCCGTTCGGAAGGAAGTGGCATCGTCCACCTCCAAACACCAAATCTACCACACGACCAAGGGGTCCATTTCCGACTTCTTGAACAGCAATTTCGTCGTTTTGTTGACGTAAATTGACATGACTAGCAAAGCAAGCAGGAGTTGCATCAGTTATATCCGTGGTGACAACCAGTCCAGTCTTGTATCCGGCCTTCTTGGCAGCTTCGAGCACAGTCCCGCAAGGGGTCGAATCAGGTAGCATCGAAATGGCGCCGTTATAACTCTTCATCCCGCAGCTGAATGCCGTCGCTCCAGCAGCTGAGTCCGTAACTAGAGAGGAGCTGCTTCGCGTTCGGCTACTACCCCAGAAGTGCTTATCAAGGGTGAGGGTATCACCGTACTCGAGGCCTTCGGTGTATTGCCTGAAACTGCGAGTCAGAGACAGCGTAGCAGGGCCCATGCCATCAGAGACCATGAAGATTAAATTACGCTTGCCGGTAGGTTTGTCGAATGATGTCTGTTGTTGATGCGATGCCCAAATAGCAAGAATTAGCACGGCGGCGGTCGCGAGAAGGGCCCATGCGAATAGCAGAGCTTCTCGTAGCCTAGATCGTCCACGAGGCACATCTTCTTCCGAGTCGCTCAGCGCGTCGAAATTCGCATCGGGATCGCGACGGTCGCCGGCGAGGAGAGGTGTTGTTGCATTAGCCTAGACGATGAAGGCTACAGTCAGCTTAGTTCATAGCTAAAGGGCGGTCGCATGCTAACGCCCAACGGTACGCGACACACATTTCGGCCTAAATGCGATAAATAGCATTTAAAATAAAAGTATTAAGAGGTACTTACCATGTCGGTCGTAATTCATTTGAAGTTGAAGCTCTCAATGCGATGATGGATACGGTGGCTTGTGATTAGAGATAGTTGTAAGTGTGTATGTTGAAGCTCAGGTACACAGTCCGAAACCCTTTAAGTTTAAGTTGAATAGTACCTACATGTAAGCTTCAAGGTCCCTGGGTCCCTGAGAACTAGCTGCATGCATCGACCCCCCAACAACCTTGGTCCCATGACGTTATCCTGCGTAACAAGTTATATTACACCAATGTACCTAATATCTTGGCAAATACATATACTTTTTAGCAGCATATTCAGTATTTGGCAAGCCAGCCCCTATTATTCATCTAGGCAATGCCACTTAAAAATGAGCAGTACCTCACTTAGAGCCCTGGAGATGACAGCCATCGCTTTATTTCAGGTATCTAAACACATAGTGAGAAAACCATTGAGACAGAGTAAAGTACACCTGTGAGTAGAATATCATCAAGTACCTACCTATACACTATCAGTTTAAGAAAACAGCATAAACTCTTTCACTTGGGATAGGGGTGTTTAACCTTAGTTAGGGTCTTTAAAGTCTTAGTGAGAATGCCTCGTTGATGACTTCTAACCTTTGAATATGAAGGTGCCATCTTAGAGTCTTTATTAGAGCTTATAGTAATGGATTTGATCGCTTCCTTATGCCATAGTCGGGCAGCTTAGACAGAAAAACTGATTTGGGTGATCGTAGTAGGTAATTCCAGAAATTCTATTCTCACATGAACAATGTCTTTGTACATATCCTTGAAGAAAGGAATAAATGCCCATACACGTCTGTTATTGTTCCTCATTGTTTTTCGTAGGCAGTTCCAGGAGTATCTTTGTTCCCCGTGCTTTATCGAGAACAATAATCATGTATTTTTGTTCTAGAACGACTACTGTCTCTAAAATGTATAAAAACCCAAGACCATGTCTTACCTTGGAGTCGAGTATACACACACCATCTTCTGTTATCAACATCTACACTTACCAACATTACATATTACCTACAAGCGAGCCGGCCTCGGAATACATCGATAGTAATCTGGTACATTTTACTGCTCTTTTCGCAAACGACAAAATCACAAAACCATCACAATGTTTATGAAATATTACTCAGTCGCGGCCGTCTTGGCCCAACTCCTCGCCACATCTAATGGCCACATGATCATGCAGACCCCGAAACCCTTCGGAGGTCCAGACCTTGATAACTCTCCTTTAACTGCAGGCAACTTCCCCTGTAAGTTAAAGGGCGACCCAGCTACATTTTATTCGACTTCTGGCCTTGACAATACCATGGCGGTAGGGGAGAGTCAATCCCTATCGTTCAAAGGCTCGGCGGTTCATGGAGGTGGGAGTTGTCAATTGGCAATCACCAAAGACCTTCAGCCTAGCGCATCTACATCTTGGCAAGTTATCCTTTCTATCGAAGGCGGTTGCCCAAGCAAGTCTGGCCAAGGTCCTGACACATATGACTTCAAGATTCCAGACGGAGTAGCACCTGGCAAATACGTCTTCGCCTGGACTTGGATCAGTAAACTCGCGGGCCAGCCCGAGTATTACATGAACTGTGCGCCTATCACGGTGACAGGAGGAAAGACCAAGCGGTCGGATAACGAGACTATGGAACTCTTCCCTCGCGATGGTCAGTTTCCCGAGCTCTTCGTAGGTAATCTCGCCGATATCAACTCGTGCAAGACGGAACCTAGCACTGACCCCCAGTACCCCGACCCCGGCCCTAACGTCATCCGCCCGGGTTCAAACAACAACTTCGCCAAGATCCAAGGCGACAATTGTGTTCCCAAGGGTGCCAAGTCTGGCGGAACAAGTGGGGGCGCCGCTCCTGCTGGCCCGAATACTCCCAATAGTGGTGAGAACGGCGGAGGCAATGGTAGTGGCAGCGGGAGCGTTGGCTCCAGCGCTGCCGCCCCAAGTAGCAGCGCCACTCCAGTTACTAGTGCCGCTCCCGGTGACTCCTTCGTAACAGTTGTTCCCGTTGGCAGCAGCAGTGCTGCTGCCACTCAGAGCTCCTTGGCCGCGCCTGTAGTTAGTTCTCTAGTTAGCTCCCCAGTCAGCTCCGCGGCTACTTCTGTAGCAACTCCCATAGTCAGTTCCGCAGTTAGTTCTGCAACCCCCGCTCCAGTTAGCACCGCGAGTCCCGCCGGTAGCGCCTCTCCCAGCTCTGGCAGCTCTTCTGGAGGACTTACAGGACCGTGTACTACGGAAGGAATGTTCAACTGTATTGGTGGAACCGCCTACCAGCAGTGCGCTTCTGGCTCGTGGTCTACAGTTATGCAAATGGCCCCTACTGTTAAGTGTGCTGAAGGGCAAACAATGACTTTGTGGGCGCGTGGCGAAACCACTCGTAGGATTGCCCGCAGAGTCAACTGGTAAGACTAGTTGAGATATTACTATGTTAGCCAAAGTGCCTTATATCATCCCTAAACAACGCGGTGTGTAGACCAATAATAGATCTTATGGAAAAATAAGATATGAGATAGTCTCAATTCAATTCATTCGGTTATAGTATAGTTGCTAAGAAGTCCCAAAAGTACCTAAATTTAAAATTTGTTTCTCGCCTAACCTAGATCATTATTTGTCTAATATGTGGAAATGTATAAAGATGTGGTGGCATTATTAAACCATTAAATCCAAGTTGAAAAAAATCGTACATCTCCTTATCTTAAGCACTCTCCAAGACTCATCTGTAACTTTCATATTTATATTACCGTCCAACCTGTATTCCTAAAGTTATACAAGTAGACACGCCGAGCACCGATGATGCACAATGCAATTCGGGCACGTTGGAATCAAAGACACCGTGCACGGCCCGAATTCACACAAACACTACAGAAGTTAGCATTTCTAGAAAACTTTGTATTTATATTGAAAAGAAGAAACACTCACACAATACCATAATTTCGCTGTAGTAGATGGTAGTGAAGCTGCTGCTGTTTTTTTAGTTGTTTTTTTAGTCGTACTATTAATAGTAGGGGGGAGCTGGTCTGTTATTTGCTGATCCGTTAAAGTTCCAGAGAGTTCAATCTTAGGCAGCATAAGATCTGTCGCTAAAGCCCATTGATATTTAATTGTGTCATAGAATTCAAAATTGCTCCAATTGGATTCCGGAATGCTGGATGATACTGTGGTTCTTCTGTCTTCATCCTCTTCTTCATCCTCAGGGTAGCAAGGTAAGGCTGCTAGAGATATTTCTTCTAGGTGTCGCGCAACATGGGAAAGTGTTATAAGGCCACCCTCATTAATAACCGTAAGACATAGCGGGCATGTTTTGTCATCCCACTCTGGGTGGCTTTTATGTCCCTTGTAAAGGTGTTCAACCCACTCTTCCCGTGTTTCGAAGGGTTTACGGTCACACGGACAGGCGATCTGGCAACAGATCCAAGGCTGGAGGTCGGCAAGGAGATGTCTCCTATATAGATAGGTACCTGTAAGTAGTCGCAAGATGAAGGTAGAAGAGGGGTTCATTCTTACATCCATACCCTCATGTCTTGTTTCTCTACATATTCTCCGCATATCATACATGAGAACAATTGGCCTACTTCTATTTCGCTTGGAAGCGACGGGACCCTTGTTCCCACAGGCTTATCTCCGTTAGCATCATCTCCATTAGAGGAGAGGATAGTAGTTGCACGGAGGCTTATTTTAGGCAAGCTACTCTCTAAGCCGGAATCCTGGAAAATTGTTGTTGGCTTATCGACAGTAGTTTCGGAGGGCGACTTCGAGGTAACATTCCGTTTTTCTTGTAGCCTAAGTGTCGAGTCCCAGTTCGCATGACCTAGCGCAATCGCAAGGTCAAAGTCGCACTTTGGGAACTTGGTTAATACAATATCAACGAAATATCTAGCAGGGCCTGAGGTAGTGGGGGGTCTTGGCAACACTGTTTGCTCCTCGATGCAACAATCAAATACGGGCTCTTCCAATCGTGGGCCAAGGTCAAACAAGCACTCGATCTCATTTAGCAATGTTTCGATGGTGTCTTGTAGACTTTCATTGCTGTCTTGATTCTCGTCGCTACTTGTATCACTTTCGCCATCGGAAGAGTCCGAGGTATCTTGAGCTATGTATGAGGCCTCTTCAGTGACTATCCAAACAGTTCGGCATAGATTTTCGAGTTTGCTATCCAGAATCGTATTTACGCATACTAGAAGGTAAATAAGGGAAATTTAGCTAGAGACCGAATGTTTCTATAGAATGTAGACATACCATTGCGTAGTGCTGCACACGTAGTAGCCAGTATCTCAATAACAGATATATAAAGTTTTTGGGAGTTCTGAAGTAGGCTGTCCAATCCTCCACCTTCAACGTCGTAATCACGAGCCCAAATTATATACTGTGAATGGCCACTCTGTAATTGACGGTATAGTGACTTGGATAAAGTTTTGTTGGTGGACAAATCCCTCATAAGAGCTGTATATAGGTCGTTGCCTACGTCAAAAAGGCGAGTTATGATTCCGTCATGGCATCCATTATCTTTTCGAGAGGTATCCAACAACCACTGGTACACCCGAGAGACTGGCCGGGTTGTTGGATCCTCTCTATTCAGTTGGATTGTTTCTGACATGGAAATATCATAGGAAGGTACCTATGCTTATTATGTGCAGATAGTAAATGATATTTGTGAATTTCATTGATTGAAGATAAAATAGTGTTTGCTTTTTCATTAACCCCGCTGCTGAAGTTCGATAATAGTCGGCAGGCTCTGTATGTCGTGCAACCCGAGACCGACGAGGCTGTGAATGTAACGGTCACAGCCCCAACATTCCCAATATCCCCTCAAAGAGGGCAATGCCGTATTTACCTTCTCTGATATCAAGTTATAGAAATATGGCAGATCCAATATCGCTAGCTCTCGGCATTGCCCCCCTATGCATAGCTACTATCAAAGGGTTAATTCTTCTATATTCCAAGCTTAAAGCATTCCGTCATCTCCATAAAGAGGTTGAACGAGTCCTGAAGAAGCTAAAGATTCAAACAGATTGCTTTCAAGATGAGCAGCATCTTCTCTTGCTCAATATACTTGATAACCCGATCGTTGCTACTATGATGAATGACTATGATGATCCTCAATGGAAGTCGGAAGATCTGGAGAGGAAAGTCAAATCATATCTAGGCCCTAAATACGATTCTTTCAGAGAAACCGTTAAAGAAGTAGATGGGATAATTGATAAGCTCGAAGCAAAGCTCTCTCTCTTTACTCAGCCTGGAGCAACAGTGAGTATAATGCGCCATACCGGACTAAAAACAAAATTAAAATCTTTCTAGGCAACTCCGTCGAAAAAAGCCCGGGATGCCTTTCGACTGGTGTTCAAGAAAGAAGACTACTACGAACTTCTTGGAGATCTGAAAGGTTATAATGCAGAATTAAGAAGACTCCGAAAAATAGCTGCCGAGATACAAAGCCCCGCAAAGACGGCTCATCTTACAATACCATCTGTGTATGAGAATACTCGAAACATGTGTTCGCATCTCTATCATCTACTACAAAGCTGGTCATCCTGTGACGGGAGCGTCGACGCTTGCCATAGTGCTAAGCTATTGCTTAATCCTGCAGACGAGGTAGAGCCTAATGTGAATATATTCTTCGAGCACAATGGAGGAGCAAAGATTTTCTTTCGAAGGTTTGTGCAACCCTTCAAACATTTGATATTATCTTCTAATAGCACTACGTCAGGGTGCCTATCCATGTGATCTGTAGGGACTTGGGATGTGTCAACGTTATTCCGCCACGTACTACAGTCCCAATGGCAGGGATCACTTTGAAAAAAAGACGAGTTCTCAAGAAAAAAGACGGCCAGCATGCTATTGTTACGAAATCGACCGCCGAATGCACTAGTATATCCAACGGCGAGGGCGAAGATTTGACGCAAACAAGGATCAAGTGCGAAAGCCTACATTTGAATTGGCCGATTACTTGTCCATCATTTCCACAAGGCTCTCTTGGATACTTAAATATCGAGGGCAACCGGAGGCTTGTCCTCTACCGGGGCCTACGAAAGCTGAGAGCTGATTCCAACAGTCTCAAATCGCAGAAAACAATATTCGATTTTCTTAATGACCCTGCCTATCAAGTTATAAATCAAAGCACCCTTACAGGGGCCACCCTAATGGGGGCTACCTTAAATTTTTAAACCTTTAAAATAAGTATTTTAATTTTAATTTAACGTTATTTAATTAAATTAAATTTAATTAATTTATAATTTATTATATTTTAACAACAATATAATTTTTTATTATTAATTTAATTAATAAGATTTTATTTTCCAAATTGGTATTAAAATTATTAATTATAATTATACTACTTAATTTTTAAGCTTTTAATTATTTTTTTTTATAATAACCTTAATATTTATAAATATTAAATTTAGGTTAAATAATATTTTATACTATTTTTACAATTTTATATTTATTAATACCTTTTTTAAATATTTAGTGTAGGTTTTTATTATAATTAATTTTATAATAATTTTATTAAAGGCCTTACCAATTTTATTAAATAAAAGTCTTACTACAAATTTAGCAAATATTATATTAACCTTAAATAACTCTTTAACTAAAATATTAATATCTTATAAATTTAAAGACGTTATTAAAAAGATTAAGGTTATATTTTTAATAAAATTAGGTTTTTTTAAGTTAGAAATAAGGTTTAAAAGGGTTAAGATAGTATTAAGAACTTCTTAAAGTATAAACCAATAATTTAACAACTTATTCCAATTTTTAAAATAAATCCCCGTAGTTTTCTAATTAACTAATATATTATATTTAATTAAACGTTTTTTTTATATTATTTAATAGATTATAATAAATTTCTTTTTATTAAAATTAAAAATATAATATAATTAATATATTTTAATAAGTTTACAATAATAATTTCGTTTTATTGATAAAAATATACCTACATTAATAACTTATAAAACATACAATAAATATACTAAAATAAAAATAACATAAACCTTATTTATAAAATATTTTTAAAAGAATTTTATTATGATATAATTACCGTAACTATCAAAGATTAATAATTATTATTATTAATAATTTAATAGCCTTATTTCTTTTAAAAAAACCTTACAAAATTATTTAAATACAATATTATTATTAATTTAATTATTAAAAAACATAATAAACTTCTAACCTTTAAATCTAACGTCTTTATTATTAAGAAATCATTATTATTATATATATTTACCTACATATATAATAAAAAGATTTAAAAATTAACTATTACTACTAACATATTTAATAATTAACGTTTAAGTTTTATTACCATAATTTTTAACCACAATATACTTTTTATAAATTTTATCAATAATTATCCCGTTATTTCTAACCCTTTTTATAATTTTTATTTTATTAACGCTATACATATACCTAATTAAGATATTCTTAATTTTAAAGGTTTTAAATTAATTAAAAAAATATTAATATTATTAACTATAACCCTATTAATTCGTTTATAATTAATTAAATAAGCCCTAACTAATTTAATATTAAAATAACAAAATAAAAATCGTATATATTAATATTTACCAAAAATATTAGGCCAATAATTATAAACTAATAATCTTCTTGCGATATTTTTAAATTAATATAAGGGAAATATATAATTAATACAGCTTAACGTAACGACTTAATCGGCTAATTCTTTTTTTTAATACTTCAATAACTTCTAACGTTTCTTTAAATAATTATTTTATATTTTACAACCTAATATTCAATTCGTAAAATAATATCATAATATAAAATATTTTTTAAACGCCTACCATAAGGATACGTTGTTAAGAACATTATTTATTACTATAACGTAATATAATTAAGTTAAAAAAATAAATATTTTAAAATTATAAAAAAATAAAGATTTAAATAATAAATTTTATTTTTTAATTAACTAAAAACTAATAAAATTATATAATAATTCGTATGTGGATCTTATTACAAACGCGTCGCGTTTTTGAGGTGGCCCCCACTAGGGTGGCCCCCGTAAGGGTGCTTTGACTTATCGGACAAAGACCGCATTCAACTCGGAATCACGCTGGTGAAATCAATGCTAAAATATCACTCGACGCTGTGGTGGCCTCAGGGGTTGACACTCAACCAAGTATACGTCTTCTGCGACAAAACGGATGACTTGTCCTCATCTCTTGATACAGTACACCTTTCTATAGAGTTCAAAGCGATCCCGTCCGCCGCAGAAGATACCAGATTAGATCTTACACTCCAGGGTGAGCAGAACTGCATGCCCAAGTTTTTACCCTCAGAGTCAGTTCAAGAGGCCATGGAGAACTATGGTATAAGAAATATAACGCTATACGCTCTAGGGGTGGCTCTTCTCCAAATTGGGCTCTGGGAACGCGTCGCATGGGAAGATCATGTGCAGGTTCGCAGGAAGGTAGCGAGGCTTTCCTATCTTGGGAAGAGGTTTAGGAACGCGGCCAAGAGACTGATTGACTGCGACTTTGGCTTAGCTACTGAACAGTTGGAGGACCCAGAACTTCAGGACGCCATCTTCAGCTGTGTTGTGGGCGACCTAGAATCGTTATATCGTGACTTGACTAGCTCAAGGTTAGGATGATTAATATGTATGTAGCAACGAGGGTGTCCGGTTCTTATGGATTATTATGTACATATCTCACATATACTATTTGTTTAACCTCATGTGTTTTATATTAAAAATAGTATTCGGATAGTAGCAATGATAGCTAAGCTCATTCTCATCATTACAATATTTTCGTCACTTGATTCAAATTTTGGCCAAGTAAACTCTTTACGAATAATTGACATATAATACTAGGTGCACGCTATTATATTACATAATTTAAACATAGTAAAAGGCTCAAGTTTTTGTACACCGCAGTAGTCTACGTGTACATCATGTAGATGAAACTGCCAATACTTTGTGACTTACGCCCCAACGAGATACTTCTACTACATATATTTCACTGAAGTGGAACTTACCTACCTTAGGTACTTTACCTAGATAGTTAATTGTATTATATATACCTCTATATGGTAGGTGCGTGGTCTCTGGTATCTCTGTATGGCCAACCTTCGTTACATATAGATAGTTACCTCCGTAATCTTTGCACGAGCTCAATGGAAAGCTTCATCATGGGTCCCTGCATTAAAATTTTAATACGTTGGGTACCTGCTGATCTAAACTTTGGGGTTCACCTTTCTTGCCGCAAAGCCAAATTCTGTTCAAATCAGATTGCTTGGGCATAAACAATGACTACCAAAAGTAGAAAGCGATACCGTACAAGTTACTATATACCAGGAAGCCAGAGTGGACTTTGCATGTTCTGACCCATATACCACAAGTCTTAACGAAACAAACGCTATCTATCAAGTTAAAACTCGACATAATCAATCCTATTTGACCTCCCCCGTCCCGAATTCGATTGCAAAATGATTTCAAAGTTAATGACATCAATGAGTAAGGGCTGGCCAAGATGGCTAAGCATTCGAGGAAATTCCGAAATAACCGACCTTACTATTCGAACCTCGCATTACCTTAGAGAAGAAGCCACCAAGCAAAAACTCCCAGCTGATCCCGCATTGATCGTCCAGTCGACCAGGGACAAATCCACCATTGCCGAAGAATCTGAGGAGCTTGGAGCAATGATCGAGGACAGCCTTGTTGAGCTCGTCTACTCATCAAATTTCATCGAAGTCACCGGCTCTGATTTTGACGTGACAGAGAAGTTGGGCCGTGCCACTTTCCGAGGTCGGCAGGTTCAGGCTGAAGTCGAACCAAACAGCCCAGAATACGAACAAGCAAGAACTGCGTTGGTTAGGTTGGGGCGACCAAGCTCCTTTCAGGACGTTATACAGAGTCGGCAAGAAATCATCAACCATGCCAATGCACTAAACTATGCTATCGATCATATCATCCTCAATAGCGAACCAGTCACGGAAGACTTCCTTCGAGAGACACATGGCATATTATGTGCTGGCAGGGTCTTAGGGGAAGATGCAGGACAGCCCGGGGTGTACAGGACTTGGGAAATCGCCGCAAGACACGGTCAGGATATGAGAAAAAAGTCAATTTTCATACGCTCATCAGCCGTTCCTCGCTACATGGAGGATCTTGTGGACGATTTACGCAAGGATATGATGGCAGCAGAAGATAACCAGGTGATTGACCCCTTTGATATGGCAAATCGATATTGCCATCGCCTTGTTTGCATCCATCCATTCGGAGATGGAAATGGAAGGATGTGTCGGATTCTACTCAACATCATTCTCCTAAAGTACGCTGGATTTGTCAGTACGTTTGGTGGCACCGAAGCCGAGCGGCAAGAATATCTGGACATAGCAAAGCGAGCCAACAAGAAATTCCATGAAGAAGACATGGAAGTTCCCGAGGAGGACAAGAAAGGTCATCATGAGTTGGCGAGATTCGTGCTGAGGACATCTAAGCAGACATTAGGAAAGTTGTGGGCATGGGCTATGGTTTAAAAGGAATTATAATAAAGGGGGTTGCAGAACATCGCCAATTGAAAGAAATATCATTCAAATACAATTACGTAACTCGTATGAGATCAAAGGTCCACTGGTAGAGATGCCAGGGGGTCTTTATTCTACAATGATCTGATAAGAAAGTACCTTGTATCGTGTGACGCGTAATACTAGACGAGCTAATCTTCATATAGCATAACGATTTATTAGTAGTTATCGAGAGGCAGTAAGCAATATATATCATAGCATTTGTTGTCTATTTACAACATGCTAAACTTAGGACTCTTTCGATTTGAGCCGAAAAAAAACTTTACTAAGACGTAATTCAGTTTATGTTAATAACTAATAATTATAATGTCACCACCTATCACACCACCTATCACAATACTCCGGCTAGCGACGCTGGTATTTGCGACAACTTCGCTTGCACTCATCAACGCTGACTTACCAGATGGATTCGGTCCAAACCTCGACAGCGCCCGCGAGAACGGCCCCCAGATATTCAACGCCCTTCACAATGCGATGCGCGAGTTTGGGTCGGCCTTACATCACAATGGGATGTCTCTATTTCCGGCAGTAATACCCGAGGGTGTGCTCTTGTATCATGGAACCGATACCAAAGAAGTACCTAAGGGGTTTGAATGGCTCGCCTTCGAAATAGAGCACGCGGAATCTTTTGCTCGTTGTCGAGGACCTCCCCGGAAGAACGTCGGCGGGGATCAGAGCCAGAGTTCCTTGGGGTTTGCTACGTATCCTCCTATACCACCGCCCGGAAAGGGCCGGCGACCTAGATGTCCCCCAGACTCCCCAGCAGGCCACTTGCATATCTACCAGGCTTCGCGACCGCTGAATATCCTTTACATCGATGGCATGGCGGCTGGTAAGACAGTCATGGGTACGGTCGATACCCAAGATATCTTGCTGTCAGCTAATAGAAGTCGATCCTCATTTAATGACTGGGCAAGGGCCGACAACTTATGTGCGTTGGCTCGGAATTGGAAGATTGACGGTTTTATACGCATGGAACCTGGTTTCGAGGTTATCTATTGCGATTTTACGGATGGCTTAAGACTCCTATCGGCCAACCAGCGACCAGCGACAGACGAGCCTGGTGATCTGGATAACATGCAAATCTCAATGTTTGAGTGGGCGAGGGCAGCTTCCCAGAGGTACCAAGGCATCGGTTCATCGCGTGTGATACTTGATTATTCTTCCATGATCTCTGCTTTCTTCTATCCGATCAATTTGACGAATCCGGATCCGAAGAGACCCGATCTACCCAGATTGACGCAGGCTAGCGATGCAGAGATGAGTGTCGTAAGGGAGCAGGTTGGCGAGTCGGTGCTTCGATCGGTATCATCCCGAAAAGCTCCTGTAGACTGGCAGGGGGTAACGGATATGATTGTTACTCGATACGCCAAGCGGTTACCCTTTATTGCTCAAACGGATTCAATCGACATTATAAGAAACGAGATAAACGGCCTCCTCAACATCTTTATTGACTACGCAGAAACCGACGCCAGCTTCTTGGCTGCGCGACAACGCTGTGCGCAGTTCTATCTTCAACCTGTCCACGCACGAACACTGCAAGATGAGCTTTTACACGCGGCCATTGAAAGCACTACTACTGCGATCTGCTCTGCGCTTTTTAAGACGCGAGAGATTATCGTCGAGGATACAGACGTTGATGAACAGTTAGCAGTGGGTGCAGCAAGGCAGATTATCCACGACCTACTGGAAGTACTGCGCTGGTCGGAGTGGAAGGAATGCGGCCCCTGCCAAGCGGACGAGTTATGCTTCATTGCGATGTGGCCGTTCGGAAATGTTGAAGACCATTATAATCCCAGCTGTTTGAACTACTCTGCCGTCGTCGGCCGCCGCGATTACTGGCAGCAACGCCCACCGCCGCTTTGTTTCAACGAACAACCGTGTCAAAAATATGACGACATGAGGAATGAAGAATTATGATGATGGTGATGATGATGATAAGGTCTAGTATCAAAGAAAGCGAGGGGTTCAAGTCATGGCGTGTCTGACAATCGAGATAAGCCCAACTGAGACAGTTTAGCACCGGGACTATTTGTTATTTTTTACATGAGATATCCCAGTTATTTCTTTACAGTTTTAAAGCTACCTACCTAAGTTAGCCTGTTTTCTTACTCTTAGTTTGGTACATGTTTTATGCCTATTAGCATCGGCGATAGAACTACCCCTGAGGTACTGACTGATTCCAGGCATGAGAAATTAGAGCGTCGTCAGTTCATATCAAGTCTAGAACGAAGGGTTTATAGCTACCTATGGTTATTGCTGATTAATCTTAAATATGCAGATTCACAGTGCCTTGCATAATAACAAACCCGTTCTCCCGCTATCATCACACGTACAGCAGCAATGCAACCGTAACGCTACCAGATCCCTGAATTTTCTTTTCCCTTCTCGATTTGCCTAGCCCTGGTCAATTTTAGCACCAATCCATCGATGCCAAAAGCCTAAAATTTAATTAGATGCCTATCTTGTGACATCTAATTTTAATACGTCAAGGACTCTTGTGTCTCGTCCTATCTGTCGACTTTTAGGCGTTACAGCTCACGTAGACTGCACCACTACACCGGTGGATTAACTGAGCTGTGTTTGCGTCGCAATACAACCTCGAGCTGCTGAAAGCCGCTCAGCATCTGCAAGCCAAGGATCGTTATCGTACCTGAGCATGCAGATCCTGCGGGTGGGAACATCAGCTTTCAGGCCTGATGCAGCTACAGCTGCCTCGGCTCTTCCCGCCTTATCAGCCGCAGGGGGCTTGGGCGGGATGTTGTGATAATCAATGCTGTCGTTGCCATTTGTCAATTGATAGGGAACATTAGATAGGCACCTATATAAGAGTTCTGTCTGGGCGAGTTGCCGGCACCGTTCTCTCAACGCAACTCTCTCTAAACCTAGAAAAGTAGCGCATCACGATGCAATTGACCGACCGGCGGCTTTTTGCTGTCCTGTGCGCCCTTGCCGCACCTCTTGGATGTGCTGGGGGGGTGGTAACGCGGGGAGTAAATAGCGAGGCCGAGTGTCGCAAAACGACGGTCGCGATACTTGGGGCGGGAGTTGCCGGTATCACGGCCGCTCAGGCGCTGTCGAATGCGTCGGTTTCGGATTTTCTAATTGTTGATCGTAACGACTATATCGGCGGTCGAGGTATGCTTAATATATCCTAGTTTTATTCCTATTTCATTCCTATTTTCATAGTATTTCATATTATTTATAATTTGGAAAGATCGTTAGAAGAGAGAGGTGATGCTTGAGACATTCGATGGTAACGCTGATGTCTGAAATAAGAACAAAGACGAATCTGTGCTAACTCCAGGACGTTCGGATATAGTGGCTCATACTAATTTCGGATCGAAACCTGATGGTACACCCTATGTTATCGAGCTGGGCGCAAATTGGGTGCAGGGACTTGGCTCTGAGGGCGGGCCTGAGAATCCCATATGGACGTTGGCAAAGAAGTATGGGTTGAATAACACGTACTCGAATTACAGCTCCATATTGACGTACGACAAGGCCGGCGTTGCTAATTTCAGTGACCTATTCGACACATTCGAAAGTGCATATTCGACGGTAGAGCAGGATGCCGGGTATATCCTCACTGATAACTTACAAGACACTAGCGTGCGGGCGGGATTCAGCGTTGCCGGCTGGAAACCCAAGAAGGATATGCGCGCCCAAGCTCTCGAATGGTGGGAGTGGGATTGGGAAACCGCTTGGTCGCCCGAGCAAAGCGGGCTTCTTTTCGGTATCACGGGGTATAACTTGACCTTCTACCAGTTCAGCGACGAGAACAACTTTGTGTGGGATCAGAGGGGCTTTAACACGTTCGTCGTTGGGGAAGCGCATGAATTCCTTGAGGAAAACGACCCGCGACTTCTGCTAGAGACTACCGTAACAACAATCTCGTACGGACCTGGCGGTGTGATTGTTCAGCTTCAAGATGGCGGGTGTATCGAAGCTGAATGTCAGTTGATCAACCCCCTGCTTCTTATTCCAATTTGCCTCTATTACCCAGAGCCCATTGTTTAAGAATTATACCCTCTATTAGTGTATCCATTACTGATTCAAAAGTTACAGATGCCATTGCGACATTTTCGTTAGGGGTACTGCAGAACGATGTTATTGAATTCGACCCCCCGCTACCACGATGGAAGTGCGAAGCTATCGAGCAATTCCAGATGGGCACCTACACCAAAATCTTCTTACAGTTCAACGAGACCTTCTGGGATCGGGATACACAATTCTTCCTGTACGCTGACGACAACTCCCGAGGCTATTATCCCGTCTGGCAGTCACTTGCCGCCCCTGGCTTTATGGAAGAGTCCAACATCATCTTCGTGACGGTGGTTGCTGGCCATTCATACAGGGTTGAGCAGCAATCTGATGAGGAGACGAAGGCAGAGGTCATGGCAGTTATTAGGACCATGTTCCCAGACAAGGAGATCCCAGATCCTATCGATTTTCACTATCCGCGATGGAGCACAGAAGAGTGAGTGAGAAACCCCTGACTACAATATGCGTGTTGCTGATACCTGTTTCAAAGATGGGCCTATGGCTCTTATAGCAATTGGCCGGTGGGCATGACGTTGGAGAAGCACCAAAACCTTCGAGCCAACGTAGACCGGCTCTGGTTCGCCGGCGAGGCCACCTCGGCGCAATACTATGGGTTTTTACACGGGGCTTGGTTCGAAGGTCGGGATGTTGGGATGCGTATTGCTGGTCTGCTTGGCCATGGTGGAAATCACGAATGCGACGGAAACTCGACACTGGGCTGCGGAGAGATGGTGGACTATAAGATTCTCCACGGGTCGACTTTTGCTGATGAGTATGGCGTGGAGAATGGGTGGCTGGCAAGTAGTTTCCTGACGTATGGTTACGAGGAGTGAAAACCTGAGAGGAAATGTAGATTGTGTTGATAGCACTTACTTTCCCCCAGAGTCACACTCACACTAGTTATTACCTAACATCTTCATGTTTACCAAATTCTGCACCATCTCTCACATGTATGAATTAAATACTAGCCAAAATATCATAGACGATATGGTGAACTATTCGCACTCCTCCCAAAATCGATCTAATGCCTCTTGCCTGACTTCCCAAGCCCAGTGGTGGCACGTCTGATGCATAGCAGGACTCACTTCTTCCTTCTGATCGTCTTCTCCCTCATCAGTTACGCTACGTATGCCGTTTTGCACGTACTTCTTAAGGAGAGCCTTGCGCCATCTTCCATTTTCCCCAACGCACCTCTTCCACCTACTTACTTGACGGTTGTCATCTGGACAACGACGTCCTTGCCAGAATCTGCAGTACCACTGAAACCAGCCGCGGACGTCGTATTCGTGCATAATCCATCCGGAGGCTTCCCATTGCTCGATGCTCTGCCCACATGCGACCCCGTACTTATTAACCTCCGGGTTGACGGTCTCGCTAGTGAGGTACTTTCCTACGTCGAGGCCCTCGGTCCATTCTGCTGGCAATTCTTTCCAGTCGTCGGTTATAGTAGTACGAAGACGTCGCGAGTAGAGGGGACGCCAGTATGTTCCTCCGAAGGAACCCTCACGAATGATAGCCTCGGGCGACTTATTAGGGGTAAATGTAGGATGCGACTCAAAGTGATAGTTCCCCTCGTCGTCGCGCGTTGGGGAAGGTGCTGCAAGAGTCCACGAAGACCACGCTGTAATTAGAGAATCAAAATCCAGACTGGGTTCTGGTTTTGGACTGGAAATCTTAGAGGCCAGTTCACCACCACGGCTAGGTTTTGCCGCCCGGCTCTTATGAGGCCGATTACTTGATGATGAATCTGAATCGTCTTGGACATCTTTATGAAGAGGTAGCCCCATTAGAGAATTTGCAAGGCGAGCTGACGAGCGCCTAGGAGAATTAATGTAGAGCTTGCGGCGTTTCGCAGGAGATGGATTATGGTCTTTGACTTTTTGATTTCTTTTACTTGAAGAGATGATGCTATTATGCAGACCTAGATCTTTCACAAGAGCCTCGTTGCGCTTAATATTTTCAAGCCGGCGAGCTTCATATTCAGCCATGATGATGGCTGAGATATACTCGTGGGTAAGCTATTATGAATGAAAAGATTTACCTACGTTTATGTATCTAGCTTGAACGTGTTTGCGTGGTTTGCATGTATGATGTAGTTATGGACAAAAAGTTGTTGTTTGGGAACGCCAATACCTACGTCATATACCAATTATGTAGCTTCACCCACCCCGGAATACCTAGGTAGATTACTTAGATAAATAAGTATAACGTATACTCAATTGTAAGGTACTCCATATTTCTATAATTTTACTTTTTATTACTGCACATCTCAGGTACTAGAAGAGCCTTATATACGATTACCTAAGATGCGAAAAGCTTAATCTCGGCCAAGAACATGCTAACATTGGACTATCTTTTGTTCCGCTACATAAGACCAGTACGTATCTAAAAATTCAATATCGGTATCCAATAGCGTCATCTCTTTTCAAATTGCCAAGTGCTAACCCCTGACGTCTCGTTGCGGGATAGCCTATTCTAAGCTTCAAGGTGGAGATTCTTTTTTTTATTTTCACAGTAACCTTCCTTAGTCAGTCAATCGGTTCTTTTCAACACTCTACACACTCACGCACTTCCAACTTTCTTAAAATATCTATATACATGCGTTAGGTATTCCTACAACCTGTGGCCAATCAATGGATATATTTATTGAATATCCTATTCAATTCCCCAACTCCTTCATCGCAGTTTCTTAGGAGTTCTACCTGTCAGCACCCGAAACGTTCGTGAGTGTACCCAGTTTCTCAGCTGCTCGTTTCAGACTTGGTAGGGGGTTGTCTTTGACAACAAATGGCGAACGCGCGCGCGACTTTTCTAACCCTATGAAGAGGTTAGATCAGTAGAAGTTATCCTTTCTTCTATCCGCTGCCATTGTCCTAGAGTTGTTGATCAAGCTGAACCTCATCTTGCGTCTCGAAAGGGCAATTAGTCCTGGTCTTACACAATGTCGCACCGATCTTCCTCAAACAGTACGGCGTTGGAGAAGTTCCCCGATGTACCGGACGATCTGCCCGAAATCAGTCCTACAACATCGGCGCCAATTCCCAAGTTTAACCCCAGTACAAGCGCACCATTTGCTACATCTTCAGAGAGTCCACAAGATAGAACTAGGGCACGCCGTGGTTCACGCCGTGGCTCGCACGTCAAGATCTCAACTCCTCGACAATCTGCCGAGAATAACCTTCCTCCCGTTTCGCCGATTTCTGCATTCAGACGACGTATGACTAGATCGAATACGTTCCTAACTGTAGAAGAGTTTGAAGAGTTTGAAAGCCAGCCAGGGTGGAAGCCGGGTGCTGAACCAGGTGTTGACCCTTCAAAGCCCGATGGTGGTCAGGAGACGGTACCCACTCTCCACGCAGAGTGCCAAATCACAGTTGTCGACTTCTCCCAAGACGATCTGGAGATACATGAATTAGACAATCATCAGCTCATCGAATTTGTCCAAAAGTCACAGCCTAGTTGGGTAAAATGTCGATGGATCAACGTCAATGGTCTATCATGGGATGTCATTCAAGCCTTAGGTCAATACAAAGACCTACATAGATTGGCAATTGAGGATATCATGAACACAAGGAATCGCACCAAAGCTGACTGGTAAGGAAATCTCGCTCTGGAGATATGTACTAGGTGACTAATTACTACCCTTCAAAAAGGTATACTAATCATGCTTTCATTGTTCTCACGTGTCAGAAGCTGGTCCGCATAGTAGAGGATGACAGCAGTGACGACGACAGCAGCGATGACGAAAAGAGTGTGAAAAGGGGAGGTAAGAAGGCTAGGCGATGGTTCCGCAGAAAATCTGAGAATTCTGTAAAAAGCGATATCGTTCTCGAGAGTGGCACGAAGTCAACGTCGACACCAGTTCAAGGCTTCACACATCAACCCACTAACCTCTCTAATGTCTTCAATCCAAACACACTACGTACATTGCAGAGATACCATGCTTCACCAAACTCTGCACGGACAGAATACATGGAGAAGAACTCAGCTCTGGTCTCCAGAGGGGTAGCGGTCACTGCTGAGCAAGTGGCTATGTTCATAACCTCGGACAACACAGTAATTGCCTTCTTTGAGCAGTCGGCTGATGATGTGGAGAAACCTATATTGGCTCGGTTGGCAAGCCCAACCACAATCCTAAGGAAATCTTGTGATGCGTCAATGGTTGCACAGGCCATTATTGACGCAATAATCGACATGGCTATACCAGTTACCGCATGTTACCGAGATGTTATCGAGGATCTGGAACTTGACTTTTTTATAAGTCCCAAGGTCACCGACACCAAGTACCTTTACATCGTGATCTCTGAAGTCAGCAAATTATACAGTCTCATCAACCCAATTCAAACGCTTATCAGTGCGCTCCGCGACCACAAGACGAAGATGAGCCAGGAAGCCACAGCGCGGGAACTGCAGAATCCCAACGGAGGGGTTATCATCTCACCGCTGACTTGCACTTACTTGGGCGATGTGGTAAGTTTCTTATCAAAGTGCTATATCCCTTTAAGCGCTTTTCTTTAGCACTCATCTTCTATAGTCTAGCTGAATTTATTTACTCTCTTCGAGCTCAACCACTAATTCACGTTCTAGTACGATCATTGTGTTCTCATCACGGAAGGTCTCAATCAGATCAAAGAGTTGGCTAATCACATGATTAACCTCACCTTTAATACTGTTACCACGAACCAAAATGAGAACATGAAACAGTTGACCACCGTTACCATTATATTCCTGCCGTTAACATTCTTAACTGGATACTTCGGCCAGAACTTTGTTGACTTTGAGCCGGTCACAGGCTCTGTTTCCTACTTGTGAGTCTACCCCTGATATGAATACCCACGGAAATATTTACTGACGCAAGACAGCTGGTGGATTGCAATTCCCGTCATGATAGTCACAATCCTAGTCTTGATGCGCGATACTATATTTGCCTGGGGGATTAGGTTCCGACAGCGAAGACATGTTAGAACCATCAGGAGGAAACAGGAAGCCAAGAGGGCACGGACACGTGCCATGATGATCAAAAGAGCACAATCTCGATTCTAGATTGTGATTAAACAGGAACGCCGAATGAACACCATATGAAGGCCATACATTTCGCATTCATGATACATGGAACTTTCAGTTTGCATAGGGGGTGTCTGCTTGTTTAGGCGTTGCGTAATTCCAATGATACCCTGCACATAACCGTTTCTATCAAACTTGTGGATATTGCCTTCTGGATTGTCATCAGTGGTCGATGCTGGATTATAAATTTTCTAAAAACTATGATAATAGTCAGGTTCAATCATCAGTAAATATGTCAGTTTTAGTTTAATATGTATGAAATAGTTATTTTATATAGCAGCATCCCTGAGGTGCTCTGGTATATGTATGAACGATTATATTTTTTGTTATAGGGGTTGTACGATATGATTACAGCCACTCAAGCTTGAGCGCATCCCACATTATCCCTCTCCACCTGTGGTTTTGCGTCAGGGTCCTGCGGTTTGGTTAGCATGAGCACACAAGGCTCATGGAGGAGATCGGAAGAAGCTCCCTGGTTTAAGGCGGGCAGCGTATCAGGGATGGTTTATACTACTTACAAATCCAGCCTGTTGGCCCTGTCAGAGAGAAACATTTCACCGGGAATGGTGAACTGCCTGGCATAATAACCGCCGGATGTCGTCGCGCTTCGATACAGGGCCCCGTCTGTTGCGTTTTCACTCACGATGGTCCCGACCATCTGTTGGTTCATGCTGACATTAAGACCCGTCGGCTCTACCTCCGGAAAAGCGTACGAGTCCCTGCCAAGTCCGTATCCGTTCTGGCTCGTATACCCCGCGAACGAGAGGCTGAGCACGGCACCGCGCTCCCGTGCTACTGGGTCTGCCTCGGGGAAAATCACGGTCCAGTTCCCTTGCGCGCTCTGTGCGAAACACCAGTCCCCTTCCTGACTAGAGCCAATAGCATATACAAGGTTCGCCGGACACGCATCGCTTAGTCCGTGTTCCATCTGGGCTCCGCCTAATCTGAACCCGAGCGTCTTGCGGTCGAAGTCGCCGATTTGCCATGCCGGACGCCGGCCTGTTGGAACTTCCCACGCGATGGTGCCTAAGTCGATATCGGAACGGTTTGTACCAGCGAACTCCACCGCCGTGCCATTGTGCACGCCTTCTACGTCGGCAAGAACACCCCCGTTGGCCCACGCTAGGAGACGATACCCCTTTTCCCGTCGAACGTGGCTCAGAACAAAGGAACCGTTGGCATCGGCGTACGTAGTGTACTGGTAGTTGGAGCCCTGGTTATTGGTTTCGGCGCCGTCCGCGTCGCCTAGGAAGATAGCCGCGCCGGCTGCGGGTCGTCCGTCGCTGAGGACTAGCTGCCCTCGCACGGTGCCTCGCTGGCGGTATTTGGTATCCTGGAGCCAGGGGTACGGCCACGCTGCGTTTTCTTTTTTACTCCGCGCCGCGGCGTCGTCTAAGTCGCCGTTGTTGATGTAGAAGAGCCATGGCCCCCACGTCTTTCCTGGTGGGATTAGGTTGCTGAATTCTGAATTGTAGTGTGTCCCTAGGTCAGACGTTAGTCCTACTAAAAGGAAAAAAGAAAAAAAGGGGGGGTTGGTGGTTCGTTAGCAAATCGTGGTCTCACCATGATACATGTGTAGCAGGACTGCATCGTCCGTGGAGCTCTCCCTGTGAAGCATAAGCTCCTGCTTGAGGTGATCGCCGATGTAGTAATCCTTCCCCGGGGCGATCACATAAGCCCCAACGTCGTCTCCGTATAAGCCGTGGAAGTCAAGGTCTCTAACATAACACGAGAAATCATATTTAGTGATATAGCTACCATTAGGCCTCTGCCAAGTTTCATCTTGCACCTTATACCCAGTTTTGATATCTTGGATCGTGGGCAACGGCGCGTTCTTGATGTTGGTTCGACCCCAAGTAAACTGAAGCGGGTCAAGGCGGTATAGGCTCCGAACCTCGCCCTGGTATCCCAGATTCCGGTTGATGACGTATTGGTAGTGACCATTTAAACCACTGAAAAGAACGTAGTAGACATTGCCAAAATCGGAGTTGTTGAATCCAACATGGATCATGGAGTCCGTCTTCTCGATTAGTGTCGGGCCGGACGTAAAATTGAACATCGTCTTGCCGCCCGTGTCGGTGTAGCCTCCGGTGGCGTTACCTACGATTTCCCGGCCGTTCCACCACATCTTGGTGACGTAGCCGGACGACTTGACGTCCATTGAGAAAGTGTCGCCATTGGAAATGCGCGTTACATTCTCGTTGATGATAGCCACGGAAGGCTCGCCACTGACCAAAGGGAGAAAAGCGAGTGCCGAAGCCCATTGAGCAAGTACGTTGACCCTCATGATAGCGGCCAGTACTAACTATAACAAGGGTCGGTGCAGACTTCGAACAAATATATAATCGCAATACCTCCTTGCGAAGTTACTAAAGATAAGTCTACGTTACTTGCCTATTTATAAATAGTGTTCTCCATGTAAACTTATTCCTGATCTTATGAATCCATATCTTCAGCTAACAGCAGAAGGGAGAATACAGCCCGAGCTTGATGGCTTAACTTGCATGGCTTACATTGCTTAAGCACGTTGGTGAAGACTACAGGGTATAGTGTTCGTGGAAATGTTTACCGAAGAGGGGAGCTGTGGGGTTACCCCATACCCCGGACGGCAGGGTTAGGTTAGTTAAGAGGCGACAATGGCTTCTTACTTGGCTATCGTCGTTAGTAGTTTCGCAATTGAGTTGATTGTATTTATAGGACAACTAAGTAGAAACAGAATGAGAGAACGGGTCGAATATGATAACGCTATTTGAATAGACTTAAAGAATACATATTAAGATAGTTACATATTAACACTTAAATAAGTACGTTAGTACATAGGCACTAGATATAAAAGGGGTTAACTACGGTATAAGTCACTTATAATATATGCCAAAGGATAAAATTGAAACTGAAATCAACATTGTCGTCTTGATCTTAAGTACATAAGTTCACACTTGACTTTATACTGTCACGTTATTTTTTCTAAGGATATAACATATAGTTAAAATAAGTTGATGTAGATATCATTTACTGAATGGTCTTTACCGGTACTAGTACTGAATAAGTGAAGGTATTATGAATCAATTAAAATGAAACATTCAAATAAGTATCAAATCTGTCAAAGAACTTCGTAGCTTAAAACAAGTAACTACGTCTGTCTCAGACGCACTGAATTTATCTACCTACCTAGGTACCTCTAAGGTTAGATACCTATACCGCTAATGTAACAAGGGTTCTTAACGGTTGCCCGCCAACTGTTCGCATCCGACAACCGTCTAAGCCTCCTTCACTTATTATTGTTTTCGCATTCCAACGCGATCATTATTGGAACAATATAAAGCAGATATTGCTTTATACATAAATATATCAATAATAATGGACGCTCACAATAACGCAGTAGCATCCATATCCAAGAGGTTACAGAAGTTCTACCTGCAACGCCAACCCTTCCGAGTCTATCATGGCTCTACCAACAGCACTCGTACCTCAGAGAAGAACAGTGACAACACAGTAGACACCAGCAGACTTAACCATGTTCTGGGCGTTGACAAGGCTACTAAAACAGCGCTGGTAGAACCTAATGTCTCTATGGATAGTCTTCTCGACGCGACCAGAAGCGCCGGGCTGGTCCCACTAGTTGTTATGGAGTTTCCGGGTATTACCGTTGGCGGCGGGTTCAGCGGCTCGGCCGGCGAGAGCAGCTCATGGCGTCATGGACCTTTCGATTCAACTATCAACTGGATTGAGATAGTCTTGCCTAACGGAGAAGTCGTGTGCGCATCCAAGTCCGAGAAATCCGACCTCTTCTGGGGTGCGGCATCTGGCTTCGGAACCGTCGGAATCGTCACCCTCTTAGAGGTCCAGCTGAGAGATGCCAAGGGCTTCGTAGAGTTGACACACTATCACACAGCAAGCTTCTCGGATGTTCGCAAAAAGATACAAGATGAGCTTGCGAACCCTGCTGTGGAGTTCCTCGATGCTATTGTCTTTTCGCCAAAGTCAGCTGTGGTTTGTTCCGGTCGCCTAGTCAATACTATACCTATAGGCTCCAAGCCCCGGCGATACTTGCGCCGGCAAGATCCATGGTTCTACCTAGATGTCCAGAAGAGGGCCGAGCTGGCGAAGAAACCGGTTGTCGATTATGTTCCGCTAATCGATTACCTGTTTCGATGGGATCGCGGCGGCTTCTGGGTGGCCAGACACGCCTACAAGTACTTCTTCACGCCCTTCAACCGAATAACGCGCTACTTATTAGACAACTATATGCATGCCCGCGTGATGTACCATGCTCTACACAAGAGCCGCCTGTCGGATACTTATATAATACAAGACGTCGGTGTGCCTTTCGATGACGCTGATGGCTTCTTCAACTGGGTAGACCAGACTTTCAACATCTATCCAATCTGGCTGTGTCCGTTACGTCTACGACGCGACACGCCCGATGCGGCACATGGACTACATGCGAATTTTGCCGACCCGAATTATCCCGAGTTCATGCTTAACTTTGGCATTTGGGGGCCCGGTCCTACCGACTACCAAAAGCTGGTACACCTTAACCGTGCAATCGAGCAAAAAGTCCACGAGCTAGGCGGTAACAAGACGTTGTATGCCCAAGCCTACTACACCGAGGAAGAATTCTGGAAATCTTACGATCGGCCTGCTTATGATGATGTGCGCGAGAAGTATCATGCATCTCATTTGCCAAGCGTGTATGATAAGGTTAAAGTTGACGAGGACGCAAAGAGGAAGGCCATGGAGGGCTCGAGGATGCCGGTGGTTCTCCGCAATGTGAGGCCGTTTCAAGGCTTGTATGGTGTGTATAAAGCATGGCGCGGCGGCGATTACATACTGCAGACGAAGAAGACGTCGGCTTTAACTGTAAAACCGTCGAAACGAGATTCTTAATTCATAATGTGCCTACATTAGGCGTGGCACGACTAGGTGGCACTCGTATTCTACGGCACTGTATCATCACAAACATTAATTGAACCATTGGCCTTGCTATGAGGTATTTTATAAATTCATGTCTATATCACTATGGCATCTTAAGTATTCTCTGACTTCGTTATAAGTTAGATAAATACAATTACTTCCTTACGAGGATAGCTTAACGATGTAGGCTCCACGCTCGATCGTGTTGATCAAGATGTAGCCGCTCTTGAAGTAGGGGTAGTGAGACCAAGTGCCCTGGAACTCGACCTGGCCACCGCCCTCCTCGTCATCGTCCTCGGGGTAGATGTCGAAGTAGGCGACCTCGGTGACGCCCTTACCGGTGGGGTCGGAGGGAATGGATGAGATGTCGAGGATGTGGAGACCACCGCCGTAGTTGCTCTGGTACACGAAGTCGCCGTTGACGAACTGGTTGTGGTCGATTCCCTTACGAGAAGCCTTGTAGTAACCGGTCTGCTTAGGTGCCTCTAGCGAGGAAATATCCCAGATGTAGGTGATGGGGTATCCTGGCGCGCCTAGGCCAGCCTTGTCGTACTCGTCGTATTCGTCGTCTAGGACGAGGTACTGCTGCCACTGACTATCGAGGACCCAACCTTGGTGGGTGTAGCTGGCGCCCTCGTACGAGGTGCGCGAAATGATGGTCGGATTCGCCTTGCTCGTCACGTTGTAGATGGTCAAGGTGTCCTCGTTGTATCCGTAGCAGATATCCTCGCCCACGTACTTCTCGTCCGGACCGCGGTAGATCAGACACTGAGCATCGTGCACGTAGCCGTCGGCGGCGGCGCATCCGGGGGAAGTCAAGTTGGACATGTCAGACAAGTCAATGAAAATGAGACCAGAAGCGCAAGCAGAGGTGCGCGGCTGTGCGCCAGAGGCGACAGCATAGCCGACCTCCTCGTTAGTCTGGACAGTGTGGGAACGGCCAGAGGGAAGGCCGTTGAAGTGGGAGATGTCATCGTCGCCGAATGTGATAGGCTTAGCAGGGTCGATGTCGAGGAGCTTAGACATGTCAAAGACCTGGATACCGTGGTTGTTGGCCTCGCTACCAATGACGATGTAGTTCTTGTAGCCCTTGATCTCACGCCAGAGCGACGGCTGGGCGGCCGAGTACTGCGGTAGTCGGCCGAGGTAGATGAACTTGCCCTCGGGGCTGATCTCGGCGAATGCGGAACCGTCGGACTGCGCGACAGCCACGAATTCGCGGCCGTCCGGGCTGGTCCAACCCCACGAACCGGCACCCTCGCCGCCGTTGCTGCCGAGGTCGGCGTGGGACTTGAAGTCGTACAGGTCGAGCTTGCTGCACTTGAACGTGTAGAGCGGGTCGCCGGCTTGGAGCTCGGCGATTCCGTTCACACAGGGAACCACATCGACGGCAGCGTCCATGCTCTTATATTGGGAAGAGTCGAAAAGACCTTGCTCTCTTCGGCTGTCCCAGTACGCCTATGAGTTCTTAGTTAGCATAACCGACATAACCGACACGATTGTGTTTTCCATACCATCTTAGTCGACATAATGTGCTCATGTCGAAGACCGCTGTCGAAGAGCTCCGCCGCCAGCTTCTCGTCGGGCGGCAGCTCTTTTGCCGCCGCGAAGCTAGAGAGCGCCGCAAGGGCGACTGCGTTCAGAGAGTACTTCATCCTGCTTGACGTCTATTTCCCCAGATTTGCACTGCGATTATAGATCCTCTCGACTTGTATCCGAGCGATGAAGACGGAGAAGAGGGGGGGCTAACTTCAGAGCTGACTTCGCCCTGACGGGCCCTTAAGTATTCATCTACAAAGGCTGCCGCGATAAGGCAGCTCGGATCGAGAAGCCGTGGTCGCTAATACGTTCGACCACATATCGACGAGGGTGTTAGCCTTGGGGAGATGGCATCATGAGCGTAGATACTGTCGTAGTATCTCAATCTACCCAAAGAGGTAGGTGGGTGGACGATTTAATTTGTAGAGCAGCGCGGCATGAGACGAATTCTGGAATATAACCCGGCACTTTAGCCTGCGCCTAGACCTTGGCATCTAGTTACGCTATCATCTCATTGACGGTCAGAAGAATCACGGTTGCTGGGAAAGCGTCCCTGTTCGCCCAGCCCGTACCCATGTCATAGCTCGTCCAATTAGCAGCCTTCTTTTAGGTATATAGCATAGAATGCTCGAGGATTTATAAGGTTGGCACTTTGCCGCGATGTCTATCAATTGCCGAGAGAGGCAGGAGGATTGCCGCTCGTCCCCACGCTCGATGGAGGCTCTTGGCGGCTCTTTGCTTTGTGGCTGCATGACCATTTTCCTTTATTTACAAGATCGATATCGAAGCCGGATGGGTGGATAAGAGAGAGGGGGTTGGAGATGAGAAATACCTACGAGGCCGAGAATACGAACGACTATATCGTCGCATGCGCACGCACGCCATCCCTACGTGCATTCGTATTAATAAGGTCTTACAGCCTGGGTCGCGATCTGGCGGTTAGCAAGTGGTCGCCATCAATGATGCAAAAGGCTCTTAAGAATAAGATACCAAACAAGAAAGGGCCGAATTCCCCTCTTGGAACATCTGAATGTGTACCAGTAGTGCTGACATGTGGATGTTGTCCATCGGTATTTCGATCGTCGACGATCATTCAGCCTCCAAAATGAGGCGTGCAAAGAGCCCAACGTGCCTTACGAGCCAGGTAGCGGTAGCAGTCGCAGTCCTAACAGATAACAGATACGTTCGGTATGCAGCCACCATAACGTCAGACTATGTACAGTTAGCCTATTCCATGCCGGTGTTGTAGAATACGGGTTCCGTCGGCGTCAAAAAGCCGGTGGTATCACCAACCAATCGCCTCTCCGCCTCCGGGATCTAGAGTCCCGATTTAGGAAACTGTCCGTACTCTGCCAGGTCGATTGACTAGCTTATCTAGGAAGCTCTCAAGATCCTAAAGTATGAACCTTCTCTTGGAGATCGGGCTTGTAAAACGAACGAACCTACTTGGCGGAAAAACTTCAGAGGTTCTAGAAGATACTTACTGGTTCATTCTCGTGTTACTAAAGCGACTTCTCGACTTGCCTTCCTAATTTCGTAAGAGGAACGTTAGATAAGAGGCTGGGCTTCTGTACTTGCTATTACTAATAGGTACGGCTCGTATGAAAAAATAGGGGCAGTGTGGCATCAAAATCACAACTAATATATTTCGGCACTTCAGTACGTGGGCACCATTGGGTGTTAATTCGCTTATGGGTTCTAGCCTCTTGATATCTGCTGTAATATAGCAGTTGTGTATTTATATAATAGATGGACTAATGGCAATATCCGTATCTCTAATAACGTTTCGATCTCTTAGTATTCAATAAAAGTTGTCGAATACTACTACTATCGTCACGATAAACTTATGTTTCATTACCCTCTGAACTGAGGTTATCTACAGCGATACATATATTTTACTACTGCAATTAGAACCTCAAGAATGTAAGATAGTTAATTACCTTCGGTACCTAAGGCATCATCCTTACCCACAGATTGATATTCCATGCCAATTGCCTAAGTTTGAATTCGTGGTTATTTAAGCCGGTTTCTTCTAGCCCTTGTAAATTTCAGAGGCGCTGCTCTACATAGCACAATCATTTTAGTCAGGAGTAGGCTAGCTAGAGTATATAATCAACCTCTAATATCTGTGCCTTCTAAGTTTGTAAAAACATGAAGCAGAAGACAGTGAGTATGTGCAATGGTAAGCCGTAGCATAAGATAAAATTATGCTACACAAAAGTTAATCATGCATCCCGATCAAAAAAATACTCTCTATGATACATAGGTAGGGTATTATAAAGGATTTTAATACTGACATGTAGAAATAATAACATGTCTCTAAGCCTAATCGTAATTCAGCTCGATGTGTAGAACTATTTCTCGCTTCACCTTTAAAGTTTGATGAGTATGGCTATATAAGAAGTGTGCAATAGTAGCTTATGGACGTATCTATATTGATACTCTGTGAAATAGCGTATTGTTATATTTCCTAGTTAGAACTCCACTAATTCGGATATTTTCCCCATTTCCAAGTCACGCCGACTTCGCGACAGCAAGAATGCGCAGTTGATAGTCCAACTATCAATATTTTCATCCAGCCCGATTCTAGGAGAGTCGATACATGGCAACTATGTTTATAGCTTAAGCTTGAAAGTGTGTTCAGATCAAAGGATATGGCAATGGGACACATCCATCCCCCTTTCTAAGGGTGAAGATGATGCGATATTATACTAAAAATATTAAACAGGTGCAGTTTACGAAGCTAGTTATGGGGTAGCCTATTATGTAATCTATAGCTACACAGATCATATAAAGATCCTAAAACGGTTGTTTCTTCTGATCAAACACACGGAGACAACATCATCTAGTTATGAATCCAATATACAGTCTTTTCGTTGTTTTCCTAATATACTGCCCAGAATCCCCCCCTATCTTACTATCTCAGGTATAACATTTGACCAGTAAAACCTCAATCTTATTCAGAATATAGTGCTATCATCAGGTCTCTAGGGCTTATATAAGGATCCAGTTGGCGAAGTGATATGTCATATTATATACAAGAGATACAGACTCCTGCTCAATACTTCAATCTAAGCTAAACTATATAAGAACCAAGAGGTTAATAAGTGTAAGATTACGCGCGCTCTCTCTATTTTCCTCTCTTCTGCCTAAATTCTTAACAGAGAATTGTAATCAATATGGTGTTTTCTTATATGACCTCGCCAAGTAGAAATCTGACACTTCCTCTACAGCGAACAGTTAAGTCCATTTTAGTAATGAATATGAGTAACAAATATGTTGCAAGACCTAAGAGAAGCATACCCGGAGAGATTTGGAATGAAGAAAACATAATAGTAGGGTTGTGTCGCATATATTAAGTAATGAAATTTATGACTTTACAAGATACCTTTTGGTCAAGTGGTTAATTTGACAGGTTGTTAAGTTGCTCGCACAGCGTTTCTCGAGTGTAATCTAGTTTGCGTGCTTGGTATAGTTAAGTGTTGATTAAAGTACATTATCTATAATATTATCAATAGCTTTATAAAAAACTAAACTCAGACTTAAGTCTTTCTGTTTTGTTGCTATTTTGTGTCGGTTTAGCATTTTAGCATTAAATACTAAAATAAAAGGTTGTTTTCTTTTAGTTTAGTGTACAGAAGCGGGGTTCAGTTATATTAAACTACATATACTAACTAACTAGGTTAAACCCCGGTTGTTCCCCACAGTACCCAGCTTTCTTTTCTTTATCTGATTACTAAAGATTTATGTTGAGGCTATTCAAACCGTTGCGCCGACCCACTTTATACCATTTTAAGCAGTTTCCTTGAAAATGATTGGATAAGAGCCGAAATCTTGAAACAAGCCTAATAAAACAACTTTCATCTGTTAAATCTAAATTTAGCCATCTTTTTAATAATCAATTCGACCATCAAAACCATAAATCCTTAACTCTTCCAACTACAAGCATCCTCGAAAATCCTGATATCCTGTAATAATCTAGACGATAATGTCAAACTAGTCTATGTTACACAACGAATTAACTCGAAAAGAACGGCAGTTTGTGGAGACTCGGTAGTAATCTATCCCTAAAGTGGCTAGGCTTAGGGTCCTAGGGGACTCAGCTATGCAGGGCCATCCATGGTCCCCTAGCCTGCCTTACCATGTATCTCGCCGAAGAATTCTTGCTGGAGAGGTACATATTGTCATCGTGAATCCCCTGCGAACAGATGGCCGGAAAAAACTCCGCAGATAACATTTTGGGGGGAGGGCTGGTGGGTGACAACTCATAAGTCGCGTCACAAAATAAGTTGCTTCCTCGGTAGGCGTTTTTCGTATCAAGCCACCGGGGAATTCTTTCTAATCATGGAAAGTGAAAGCCCAACCGGTTCTGGTCCTCGAAAACGCCGTCTTGTTCCACTTGCACCGGCTCCGGCAGGTGGTTCGGGACAGGGTGCTTCCGCGGGCGCCGGCTCCAAGGGTAGAAGACAGGTTACAGCTGCGTGTGAGGCATGTAGGAGGAGAAAGTCGAAAGTAAGAAAGTGTCTTCAAGACTCTTGGGATATATCTTATTGTCTATCCCAGCATCTACACTAAACAGTTCCCCAAATCTGGTGTAATGTATCACGACTAACAACCACTTCCACGCAGTGTAACGCTGAGCGCCCAAAGTGTAGCCTCTGCGTGAGACATGACTCCGAATGTCGATACGCCACAGCTCCGGCAGAGACTCACTCCCAGGCCCTAAAGCGAAAACACAGTGAACTGCAGAACCGGATAACCCCCTTCGAGGAATTATTCGGTCTGCTCCAGAAGAAAACCGAAACCGAATCTCTCGAGATCCTCCGGAGAATCCGGTCTGGTAATGATGTCGGTTCTATTTTACGTCACGCAAGGGATGGAGATCTCTTAATTCAACTCTCGCTAGCCCCTGAGGCTCGCCGCCGATACGAATTCCCCTATATACAAGACATGCCTCCCTCTATCCTGGTGTCGGACAATCTCTACCTACGCTCCTT